AGCAGGGGGTGCCCAGAACTGGACACAGTATTCCAGGTGTGGTTTGACCAAGGCAGAATAGAGCGGGACTATGACTTCCCTTGATCTGGACACCAGACTTCTGTTGACGCAGCCTAGAATTGCATTAGCTTTTTTTGCTGCTGCATCACACTGTTGGCTCATGTCAAGCTTGTGGTCCACCAAGACCCCTAGATCCTTTTCACACGTACTGCTAGTAAGCTAGATCCTATAGCCCCATCCTATATTTGTGCATCTACGAGACCAATGTCACCATCTCTGGCTGTAGGTTCTCCTCAGATTTCAATGATGGGAAGGTCTGTGCTGGGAGATCCAACAAGCCTGAGCATCCTGCTAAGGCATGGGTAGGCAACCTAAAGCCCGGGGGCCGAATCCGGCCCAATCGCCTTCTCAATCCGGCCTGCGGACGGTCCAGGAATCAGTGTGTTTTTACATGAGTAGAATGTGTCCTTTGATTTAAAATGCATCTCTGGGTTGTTTCTGGGGCATAGGAATTCGTTCATCCTTTTTTCAAAATATATTCTGGCCCCCCACAAGGTCTGAAGGACAGTGGACCGGCCCCCTGCTGAAAAAGTTTGCTTAACCCTGTGCTAAGGGCTCCTGCACGATTCCTCTTGTCCCACCAGAGGTAATAAAACCCACGTCGGTCAAGAGGCTGAAGAGTTAAGTGCCAGGCATCTCCCACCTGGGCAAGCATCAAGACCACGGTTGCTAAAGATACTCTATTTCTTCAGAATATTGCAGTGACTTGTACTTCTCAAAAAGTCCCCAGCCCCGTGATTTCTAAAGAAACAACACCCTATAGAAAGTTTGACCACAGCTAGTTTGAAATATGCTAAAAACAGCCACCCACACCCTGGCTGCAATATTCCTAGCCTTAGATACCCCTGCTGCAATTTTTCTTATTGCCCTATTATTTTTATGATTAATCAAAAAAATGTCCTCTTTTGCAGGAGCAAACTGAAAAGACACCATATACATTTCTCACAATACACATTTTGGTAGGCAATGTCTTCCTAATTAAATGCATTTTTGTACATCAGTTTTACCAATAGAGTGGTACCTCGGGTTACGTACTGAATTTGTTCCGGAGGTCCATTCTTAACCTGAAACTGTTCTTAACCTGAAGCACCACTTTAGCTATTGGGGCCTCCTGCTGCCGCAGCACGATTTCTGTTCTCATCCTGAAGCAAAGTTCTTAACCCGAGGTACTACTTCTGGGTTAACGGAGTCTATAACTTGAAGCGTATGTAACCTGAAGCGTATGTAACCTCAGGTACCACTATATATGCATTTATAGGTGCTCTTTCTGCTAACGTACTCTACTATGTATATATTAACTGAGTGGCCAAAGATAACTATGTGATCAAAGGTAACCGAATTTCAGTTCCGTTATTAGTTCAGAAAGAATAAATTAGCTCTGCTTGTGTTCAAAATGTGAACCAGACCTAGGGCGGCATCCCATAATATTATGAGACACAATGAGTGTTATTTCAGCGGGTCTGCTCTCAGTATGACTTAGGGCTTGCTTGTCCTGTCTGAGCAGTTTCCCCCTTGCCACACGCCTTTCCCAGGGAAAATTAGCTCTTTACCTCTAGGTAAAGGTAAAGGGACCCCTGACCATTAGGTCCAGTCGTGGACGACTCTGAGGTTGCGGCGCTCATCTCGCTTTATTGGCCGAGGGAACCGGCGTACAGTTTCCGGGTCATGTGGCCAGCAGGACTAAGCCGCTTCTGGTGAACCAGAGCAGCGCACGGAAACGCTGAGGTTGAGGGATGTGGGACGTCGTCCTCTCAGCCAACAGGGAAGGACTCTATCTCATTTCTAAAGGGATCCTCTCTGTATTTCATCAGCCCCCCAAAGACCACCCTAACCTCTAGGTTTCCTAGATGCAGATCCAAAACACTTTGGCACCCACAACATCTCACAAATAACCATTTCACAAAACTCCCCTAGGCTGTGGGTTGTTGTGATATATTGTAGGAATGGAGGAGACATTTAATATTCAGCCTGGGTTGAAAGTTCACACTTTTTGAAACAAGGTTCACACCAAAACAGTCATCCTCCAAAATTCACATTTCTCCAGATTTTGCAGTTTAGGTCCCAGCCAAGTCATGTTTACGGGAATGCACTTAATGGGGGTAACGTGTGTCCTTTGATGCAAGGAATAGTTTAAAAAAAGCATGCCAAAAATGCATTATCTTACAGCAAATTGCTTTGCAAAAAAATGTGAATTTGTGGCACAATTGCATACAAAAGTGTGTATCCAAAGAAATTCACATTAAAATGCTGTTGAATTTTCATGAGTTTTCCATCCGTTCTTTTAAAAAAAAAACAAGCCTGCAAACTTATACAGATATTTGGATAACTGATGGGAAAAAGAAGAAGCTGGAAGGGATAAAAGTGGACAATTTGTCCATCCATGTCTATGCCGTAGGCATGGGCGACTTCAACTACCTTGACATAGACAGGCTGCCCTTGTGTCCCTGCCATAACCAAGAGGTAAAAATGTCTAGTTGCGTGGCGAGTTCCCGCCTCCCCCGCAGAAATAAAGACACGAGACACAAGAATTCGAGTTAATGGGTCAAATTAGGCCACAACTTTATTGATTACAGGAATTGAGCGGTATTGGTTTAGGCATTGGTCCCATCAACTAACCGGCTTCAGTCCGCTTGCTTGAAGACCGGTAAGGGTTAACCACCAGCAGGGGGAGTCCCACTGATGCACGTCAACTAGGAGCTCCCCCGGGGTCACCGCTCGGGGGCGTGCCATGGGCCCACACCACCATAGGCTTAGGACGAGACCATGCCCCTCTGAATCCTTTACCGGACTACCCTTTGTTTTGGGGGGAAGGTGATGGCGCTTCCTTCCCCCCCCATCATCTGCATAATAATACCCCCACCAATGCCTAACCGCCCATACTGGGAGTTGTGACGGTTTGCTACGAGGTAGGCGAAAACAAAGTGGCTGGTGCCAATCTGCCAATTGGAAGAAATTCCTACCAGCCCCTTGATGGCGACCAACCGAAGTCCATAGCAATGTCAGAGAGCCTAGCCTAAAGGGTGGGAGGGAAGGGAAAACCAGGTCAGCTGTGGCATGGGAAAGAGGGAGATCCTCGGCCGCGCAGCCCTAAATAGAGCCAGCCACGCCTCCCGGGCCAGCCGATGCGACGCGGTGATGCGTCCGCGGATTCCGCGTGTGTGGGGAGGGGTGTGAAGCCCACAACCCCACCTCCTCCCTAGCTCGGAAGTGGCTTTACCCCAAAGGACTGTGTCCTATAACACCTGGCCGCCTCAGGGGGGCTCAGGCGGGGCTTCCTCTTAAGTGGCCCCCTTGACGCGTCAGTATCGTTGAACCAAGTGGGAGCAGGGACTGTAGTGCAATTAAATTAAAGACACACCTACAGGGCCAATGCCAATGTCAGAAGGTGGTGTGGTTGCTCGAGAGTAAACAGGCAAGACTCCAACCTGTCTTTTCCAGGCCTTATTCTCTTATTCTTGGTGCAACCTATTTACAGTGAAGAGCGTCCTAAGTTCATGTCTGGCTCAAGCACTAGCAGAATCTGGGAGTGCTCGGCCTTTGTACCTCCCCCAGCATCAAAGCCGTGTGACCCAGAGCCTTTTCCGCCCCTCCCTGTGCCGAAGCCGACTGCGCAGAATGGGCGCTGGCAACGGCGCACTTCCCGCCTCTCCGGTATGCTCAGGCAAACAACAAAAACACGTTTGTGTGGATGCATTAGCAGTTTATTGTGAATTACTCTTGAGATACAGAGTTGCATGCAAGTTTGCCAAACTGGCGCGTCTTTGCAAAGCGATTCCCCCAAAATAAGGCATTTGGGGCAGGCTCCTTTCACTGCTACGCACACTGACGGACACACCTCATTCCAGTATCTGCATTTATGTGCACTAGACTTGTCTGGAGAGCCAAACTGCAAAATTCAGAGGAGGGCGGATTTGAAAGGATGGCTGTGTTTCGGATCTTATTCTAGAAAGTGTGGATGAGGGAGGTTCAATCTTACCTTTGAGCTGAATTTAATTTCCCCTCTGTCCCTCTGGTACATCACCACAACCATTAGCCTGGAGGAGTTTGGCATGTGAAATGGTAAACTGGTAACTTTCAACTTTTGGTGCCAAGGTCTTTTGTATGATTGCCTAGGAATCCTAGAGCTCAGACCAGTGATTTGGACATCGAGGAAATGCACAGAGGAAGTCCCCTAGGGCTGAAATGAAATATCTCCTCTTGAACAGGGTGAGAAATTCCCACAGTCCTGACCCTGTGGTGTCCCAGAAGGCAGCGTCCAAATCTATACCAGGCTGAAGAGGGAGGATGGAGGAAGGTGGAATCATCTAAAGGGAGGTGCCGTTAATCTTTTGGCCATCCAGATGTTGATGGATGTCAACTCCAGTCGCCCCGTATTGGCCCTGTTGTCTGGGGCTGATGGGAGTTGGAGTCCAACAACATCTGGAAGGTGACAGGTCCGCCTCCCCTGACCCAGAGGACGAGGAGGAGATCTGTGGAACTTTGGTCAGTCCAGATATTTGGACAACGGTGGAGAACCTTTAGTCCTCCAAAGGTTGCTGGACTCCCATCATCTGCAGCAAACATGGCCAATGGCGAGGGATAATGGGAGTTGCATCTCAGCAGCATCGAGAAGGCCAGAGGTCCCCTTTCCCTGCCTTAGGAGAAACCAGGTAGGGTAGGAGGAGGCGCTTCAGGGTGTCAGAGGCATATGGCGCTCTGAGAGATTGTTCCAGCCGTATGGGGATAGGGAGAGAGAAGAGACAGAACAGTTCTAAAGGAGAAGAAGGGCACCTTTTTCAGATGAGAGAGATGGAGCAGTGAAGGTCGGGGGAAGAGGTATGATGGGGAACACGGTCAGGGAAAGGAGGTGAGCGGTTTTCTTGAAGGGGATGGGGAGGGACTGAAGGAACTTGTGGAAACCAAATCGTGTACGGAACACCTGATACTTTTGCAGCTGTTGAGGGGGGTCAGTGTGTGTGTGGTTGCAGGATTCAAGCCAAACGGCTTATGTAGCAAGCAGAAGCATTAAAGGCGAGAAGAAGAAGGAGGTCTTCCTTCTTCTCTTCACTTGGCCATGGTTTTCTTGATCCAAGGAAGGTACTGGGCGATGCGAGTGTAAACGGCAGGAGGGCAGGGGTTGCTGTAGGAGAGGATTCCATGCGCTACGCCGTTGCACACCAAAGGATCACCCATCTCCCCCTGTGGAAGGAAGGAAACAAAGATGGCAAGTGGGGGAAGATTTGGCTCCACCTCAAGGAGGACTTCAACTGCAACAAGATAGGCAAACCTGCCAATTCCTGTTTCTCTCTTGTTTTGAATTTTCCTGATATTTAATCTCGGCTCCCCACTTTTGTACATCGCTTCATAGTTTTCTCTGAGTCCACACACAAATACATATTGTATTGACAGACTTCCTTCTCCTGTAAGGAGCTCAAATATGGCTTCCCTTCCTCTCCCTGTCATCCAGAAAACAACCCTGTGAGGTAGGCCAGGCTGGGAGCTAGTTACTAGGCCCCAGGGTCACTTGGGGAGCTGTGTGGCTGGGGATTGGCATGCACATGTTTCCTGAGATTCCTGTATGGCGGGGGAGCGGACCTCCCCCACCCTTGGGGGTCCCTTCAATCTCTACATTTCTATGATTCCACCATCTGTGACAGGGGGGCATTCAGTTCTTGGAGGCTCAGCCCTGAGGCACCGAAATGAAGAGCAGCAATCCCCATCTGCCCAGTGACTGGCCTCTGCCCACGTCCATGTTGCTGGAGAAGAGGGTTATCCCCTTTCCTCGCTTGGCTCCAGCTGTGGCAGCATCTGCAGCTGTGGCTGAGTGGGAGACAACCCCGTCCGAAACCGTGACAATGCTGAGCTAATCATTCAAACCCATGAGGACTGGAATCTTCATTTGGTTAAAACCAGAGCTCACTGATAGAGCACTTGCCTGGCGTGCAGAACGTCCCAATGGCATCCCCAGGTAGGGCTAAAAATGTCTGCTGCTGTTTGCCAGAGTAGGCATTACTGAGCTGTTCCTATGCATCTCCCGGGGCGAGGGAAGGGAAAGCTAATTTCCTAGGTTTCTATTTATTATTAAGTTTCCATGCATACATACATACACATTCTACGTATTTTCCTCCACCGGTTCCCACCGCCGCTTCCTATTTTCCCTTTTCCATGCTGCGGATCCTGTCCAATAACAGGACGGTGCTCCTCCTGCTCCCCTGCTTCTGGTCCTGCCGCCTGCCGTTTCTGCTGACGCTTACCTGATACTGATGGCCTGCACAGATCTTTCCACGGTCGATCTTGGGATAGAACTTCTGGCACTTGCGTCGGTCATAGATGCTGGCGTAGGCCGCATAGAGCATATATGGGCAATTTTCCTCATTCGGGCTCCAGCCGGCCACAGTGCAGTGCGTCCCCTCAGAGAGGTCTCTGCTAGATGTTGGCAATGGCAGGATGCGAATGTTTTCATTCCGACGAACCTTTGACTGCAGTTGGGGAAAGGAGAGGGAGATGAGGCAGAAATGAGCGCCTTAGCGTTGCAATAGGAAGCCCTTGAAACCTGTTCCTTTATGAATGCAGAACTGCGTTCATAATACAGTGGTACCTCAGGTTACATAGGCTTCAGGTTACATACGCTTCAGGTTACAGACTCCGCTAACCCAGAAATATTGCTTCAGGTTAAGAACTTTGCTTCAGGATGAGAACAGAAATCGTGCTCCAGTGGCACGGTGGCAGCGGGAGGCCCCATTAGCTAAAATGGTGCTTCAGGTTAAGAACAGTTTCAGGTTAAGAATGAACCTCCGGAACAAATTAAGTACTTAACCTGAGATACCACTGTAATGAACTCTAATAAATCGTGAGAGTCCCAAGGACTGCAAGAAGATCCAACCGATCCATTCTGAAGGAAATCAGCCCTGAGTGCTCACTGGAAGGACAGATCCTGAAGCTGAGGCTCCAAGACTTTGGCCACCTCATGAGAAGAGAAGACTCCCTGGGAAAGACCCTGATGCTGGGAAAGATGGAGGGCACAAGGAGAAGGGGACGACAGAGGACGAGATGGTTGGATAGTGTTCTCAAAGCGACCAGCATGAGTTTAATTAAACTGCGAGAGGCAGTGGAAGACAGGAGTGCCTGGTGTGCTCTGGTCCAGGGGGTCGCGAAGAGGCGGACACGACTAAACGACTAAACAACAACAACAACAATAAATAGTGATAATAATCTGATCATACTAATGATCAAAGAGCTGGAGTCAGCTGAACGAGTCCATTATATTTCGCGCCTTCAGAATCGCTGCCCTCGGGGGTGCTTGCAGAGTGAGAAAAATGCTTGGGGTGAGATACCTTGAGCAGATGGATATCATTTGAAAAGGTGATGTCCTTAGGCATAAACTTTGGATGCCGGTAGACGTGGGCCACACTGTAATTTTTGCAGACATATTTGAGGTCATGTGCTCCCAGGACAACCTTATCAACACTGGAAACAAAGCAACGGTCAGGGTCAGAGATCCCATGAATCAATGCTCTCCCAGTCCCTGTGCAAAAGACCACCCTCCACCCCACGGCCCTTAATAATAACAAATTGTTTTTGTTGTTGATCTTACTGCTGTTGTTGTTTGTACCCGACCCATCAGACCTAGTTGCCCAAAGCACACTGGGAAACTTCCAACAGAATATACAAAAACACAGCAGAACATCAGACATTCAAAGCTTCCCTCCGCAGGGCTGCCTTCAGATGTTTACGGAAGGTCATAACTTTGTCTATTTCTTTGACATCTGATGGGAGGGCATTCCACAGGGAGGGCGTCACTACCAAGAAGACCCTCTGCCTCATCCCCCATAACTCCACTTCTCTCAGTGATGGAACCACCAGAAGACCCTTGGAGTTGGATTTAAGTGTCTGGGCTGAATGATGGGAGTGGAGATGCTCCTTCAGGGATACAGGGCTGAGACTATTTAGGGCTTTAGTAAAGGTAAAGGTAAAGGGACCCCTGACTATCAGGTCCAGTCGTGGCCAACTCTGGGGTTGCGGAGCTCATCTTGCTTTATTGGCTGAGGGAGCCGGCGTACAGCTTCCAGGTCATGTGGCCAGCATGACTAAGCCGCTTCTGGCGAACCAGAACAGCGCACGGAAATGCCCTTTACCTTCCCGCCGGAGCGGTACCTATTTCTCTACTTGTGCTGGCGTGCTTTTGAACTGCTGGGTGGGTGGGAGCAGGGACCGAGCAGTGGGAGCTCACCCCGTCGCGGGGATTCGAACCGCCGACCTTCTGATCGGCAAGTCCTAGGCTCTGTGGTTTAACCCACAGCGCCACCCGCATCCCAGGGCTTTAGTAGCCAGCACCAATTGTGCTCAGAATCGTAGTGAGAGCCAATGTAGATATTTTGGGACCGGTGTTGTATGGTCCTGGCAGCCACTCCTGGCTACCAGCCTAGTAGCCACATTCTGTATTAGTTGTAGTTTCTGAGTCACTTTCAAAGGTAGCCATACGGAGAGTGCATTGCAGGGGATCTACCACCAAGCTCCCCATATCAAAGATTTTACTGGCAGCTGCTGTCCCTTGCACATAAATCAAGGAGCCCAACAGCTGGTCAGGCACAGAGACAGCTCATCCTAGTTTCCTCTCCATCCTGCTCTCTGCTGAGTTCCACAAGGGGCAACACAAGAGCTACAAGCATGGCAAGTGAGCACATGCTTCACACTGTTATGACCGCCATCATCCCATTTGTTAGGGACCTCTGACCCCCCAGATGTTGTTCTTCTGTAGTTCCCATCAGCCCCAGAGATGGATGAGCAGCTCTGCCAATTCCGGGTTCAATCCGTTTCTCCTTTCCCCAGTCTCCTTATATGGCACCAACAGAACCAAACCGCACAAATCATTTTGCTATCTGGTTACCATCGATGGGTGGGGTGGGGTCTGTCACATGGATGGAGAGAAAAGATAAATGTGTTGAAATCCGCCTATCAGATCTCAAGTCTAGATTGCGGCTTCTGGGCGAAGGTGGAGTCCAGAGGGTGGAGGTAGTGAAAGCTGCAAGGGTTAAGATGCTGAAGAGTTAAGATCAGGCATCTCCCTCCTTGGCAAGCATCAAGATGTGGAAATTCTGACAACCTCTTCTACTCCTTCTCTTTGGCCCGGATGGATGACCAAAGCAACAACCCACCCATTATCCCTGGCCATTGGCCATTTTTGCTGCAGTTGATGGGAGTCCAGCAACTTTTGGAGGACCAAAGGTTCCCCACCATTGTCCAAATGTCTGGACTGACCAAAGTTCCACAGATCTCCTCCTGGTCCTCTGGATCAGGGGAGGCGAACCTGTCACCTTCCAGATGTTGTTGGACTCCAACTCCCATCAGCCCCAGACAACAGGGCCAATACGGGGCGACTGGAGTTGACACCCATCAACATCTGGATGGCCAACAGATTAACCGCACCTTCCTTTAGATGATTCCACCTTCCTCCATCCTTCCTCTTCAGCCTGGTATAGATTTGGACTTTGCCTTCTGGGACACCAGAGGGCCAGGACTGTGGGAATTTCTCACCCTGTTCAAGAGGAGATATTTCATTTCAGCCCTAGGGGACTTCCTCTGTGCATTTCCACGATGTCCAATACACTGGTCTGAGCTCTAGGATTCCTAGACAATCATACAAAAGACCTTGGCACCAAAATGCATTTAAAAAGGGGGCGGGCAGTTAAAAGTTACCAGTTGGGAATAAGATCCAAAACACAGCCATCTTTTAAAATTCACCCTCCTCTGAATTTTGCAGTTCAGCTCTCCAGGCAAGTTTAGTGCACAAAAATTCAGATACTGGAATGAGGTGTGTCTATCAGTGTGCATAGCACTGCCAGGAAACAGGGAATTGTGTTCACATGTGGTGGGGGTGTAAATATGTACAATTTTTCTGACAAAGGGAGTTTAAGGAAATAACAGAAACCACTGAGTTAAAGCTGACCGAAAGTCCAGAGGAAAATTCAACAGCATTTTAATGTGAATTTCTTTTGATACACACTTTTATATGCAATTGTGCCAAATATTCACATTTTCTGCAAACCAATTTGCCCTAAGATAATATATTTTTGGTATGCTTTTTTAAAAACCATAAGGTAAAGGTAAGGGGACCCCTGACCATTAGGTCCAGTCGTGGCCGAATCTGGGGTTGCGACGCTCATCTCGCTTTATTGACCGAGGGAGCCGGCGTACAGCTTCCAGGTCATGTGGCCAGCATGACAGAGCAGCACATGGAAACGCCGTTTACCTTCCCGCCAGAGCGGTACCTATTGATCTACTTGCACTGGCGTGCTTTCGAACTGCTAGGTGGGCAGGAGCAGGGACCGAGCAACAGGAGCTCACCCTGTCGCGGGGATTCGAACCGCTGACCTTCTGATCGGCAAGTCCTAGGCTCTGCGGTTTAAACCACAGCGCCAGCTGCACCCCTATTACATGCACTATTACATTAAAACTATTAAAACTATTACATGCACACAAAATCTGGAGAAATGTTAATTTTGGAGGATGACTGTTTTTGGTGTGAATCTTGTTTCGGAAAGTGTGAGTGAGGGAGGTTCAACTTTCAATCCAGGATGAATATTAAATGTCTCCTCCATTCCTACAATATATCACAACAACCCACAGCCTAGGGGAGTTTTGTGAAATGGTTATTTGTGAGATGTTGTGGGTACCAAAATGTTTTGGATCTGCATCTAGGAATCCTAGAGATTAGAATGGTCTGGGGGGGGGGGCTGATGAAATGCAGAGAGGATCCTCTTAGAAATGGGATAAAGTCCTTCCCTGTTGGCTGAGAGGACGACGTCCCACATCCCTCAACCTCAAGTGGCTCAACCTGACCTTGTCCCAAAATGCAGGTTTCAATGGAAGGTCTGCGGGGCTCTGGAAGGAGGAGCCAGAGGAATCTTCTAAAGCAGTAAGTACCGCCCCATGGTGTGCCATTTTGTCACCCCTCAGGGATGACACCCAGGGTAGGCCGCACCCCCCTTCCCACGCCCTTGAGGGCAGGTATAAGTAGACTGGCATCTGCCCATGTCTGTTTTGCTGGACAGGAGAAGGATCCCTCAGAAGGGTGGGATCCATAACGAGGAAGCTCTCCCACTTCTGATCCTGTCACTTGCAGCTTCTGCTGACTCACCATGAAATCAGTCTCTGGCTTGTCGGATCTTCCAGCACAGACCTTCCCATCATTGAGATTAGGATATGGCTTCCCATACTGCCTGCAGTCAGAGATGGCTGGTGACCAGTCTTTGTAAACTGTTGGCTCATGTTCAGTTTGTGCTCCACCAAGACCCCTAGATCCTTTCCACATGTACTGCTAGTAAGCCAGGTGTCCCCTATCCTATATTTGTGCGTCTGAATCCAGTCGCTCATCAAACTGTAACATGTAAGACCATATGACTTCAGCGCAGAACCACCACCACCTCAAGTCTCTTGATCAGTTCACAAAACAGATGGGAAAGTCTCTTTGCGCCTTTCAACCAAGCGGCCACAGAAACCATTAGGAATCCAGTGTCCTGTCACAAAGTAGGGCAGTATACAAATTTAATTAATTAATTAATTAATTTCGAAGAAGAAGAAGAAGAAGAAGAAGAAGGAGAAGAAGAAGAAGAAATTAATAGTAATAGCCACTCGAGTGTATCGAAAGCTGGTCTATGATTTTGTTTGAATGAATTACATTATCTTCACTCCTCTGATTTCGTTTGCTTAAAAAGTCTCCAATTCTGGGATCACTCTGCTTCTCATTTTTCCCAATCTCCCCATCTGACTATCTGATTGCTGTTCGTGGTGGGATCAGCCACGTGGCTAGTGAGAAATGATAAGCCTGCCTATCAGATCTCAAGTCCAGATTGTGGCTTCCTAGGGAAGGTGGAGTCCAGAGGCTGGAGGTCATAAAAGCCACGGGGTCGAGAGGCTGAAGAGTTAAGCTCCAGGCATCTCCCTCCTTGGCAAGCATCAAGATGTGGAGACTCCGCCAGGCTCTTCTGCTACTGCTCCTGTCCTTCTCCTTTGCCCAAACAGGTGAGTAAAAGCACCATGGGAGATGATACACCATGGCGTTTCTCCTCCCTGAAATCTTCCTCCCATTCAAAAGCGCAAAGGGGGTCTTCCTAGGCTCCTCTTTGCTTTCGCTTTGCTAACTTCCTTGCTAGGAAAACCAATTGTAAGCTCATTGGGACGGTGACCCGTCCTTTTTGCTCCCCCAATAACTTTGGAAGTGTGGAAGACAGCCCAGAGCATGCAAGGAGGAGGAGAAGGAGCTGATCTCTGCATATGGTTCTTGCAGATCCATTGCGGAGTCAGATTGTTGGGGGCCATGAAGCCAAGCCCCACTCCAGACCCTACATGGCTGCCTTGAAGTATCACAATGGGAGATTGGGCTGTGGCGGATTCCTCGTGGCACCCCAGTGGGTAATGACGGCTGCGCACTGCGAGGGGTAAGTCTCACTAATCCCTCCTTGATTTTTAGCAGGGATGGTCATAGAATCATAGAATTGTATAGTTGGAAGGGACTGCAAGGGTCCTTTGGTCAGCTAAAGCATCCAAGACAGATGACCACCTAACCATCAAGGTGCACAGCTGGTTGTATGGAGGGAGCCTGGTCTTTTGCACGGGGGCCAGGAGGGGATTGAGTCCTAGGATCTCTGACACTAACTGATTCTCTGTTTCCAGCAACTATAGGGTCACCTTGGGGGCACATAACATCTCCAATAAAGAACCCTCTCAGCAAGAGTTCAGGATTGAGGCTAGCTACACACACCCAAAATATAAAAGATATAACGAAGATAACAAACTCATCTTATACAACGATATCCGTCTGCTCAAGGTAGCTTGCTCCAAGCAATCTCTCCTTCTATCTTTCCCCCGAGGTCAGTGATCTTGAAGGCAGAAGGAGCCAAGGCTCTCCTAACCATCCCAATGTGTGCAGCAAAATGAACTAGATTTTGTGCAGTTTACCCTGGCATTGGATGACCAAAAGTCTCTTCCGTAGCAGCCCAGAAATCATTAAATTCGGAGTAGGCAGTTGCTTGTAGGAGTTTTTATCTAATTCTGGGAATGTTTTTTCTAAAAGCGATTTCAGTTGTATTCTTTTGGTATTGAAATGTTTGCCAGAAAGCAGATTTGGGAATGCAGTGGAGAAGCCCCATCACATTCTCAAGACTCTTGCTGGTACAACCATCCAGTTAAACGTGCGCCATTAATATTATCCATACCGTAATATTATCATTCTGTATTATCAATACAGTCTGCTCCTTTTTTGCCCAAGGTTCCCCATTTTAGAGGCACCAGACTCCCCCAAGGGTTTCCTCAAGCAACACTAAACCAATGAGCTCTCTCCCATCTCTCCTTTCCGCAGCTGAATTCCAAGGCTACTCTGAATGAATATGTCCAGATCCTGCGCTTGCCGAAATTCGACCGTGACCTCTCCCATGGGACCCCCTGCAGCGTGGCAGGATGGGGCCGGGTTTACAAAGACTGGTCACCAGACACTCTCTACGAGACCAATGTTGCCATCTACGACCGTGGGTTGTGCAGTCAGTGGTATTCACATCTCAATTATGGGAAGATCTGCGCCGGGAGACCCAACGAGCCTGAGGATTCTTTCACGGTGAGAGCCAGCAGAAGCAGCAAGTGACAGGATCGGGCGGGGGTTATAGATCCCACCCTTCTGAGGGATCGTTCACTTCTCCAGGAAAATGGACATGGGCTTGTATTCTGCTAAGGGCTCCTTCCCACTTTCGCTTGTCCCTCTGCTTTCCCGGGGGGGGTCACTCCTTAGCGCTCAATTGGAGCAATCGCCCATCAAGCTTTGCATGGATTGCTGTTTGTTCCGATTTAGAACTTAAATAGTCGGTTTTCCTGGGAAAGGAAGGAGCGGACGAGCCCCAAGTCGTACTGAGAGTAGATCGACTAGTAACCTGGCAGTTTGCCCTGGTTCAAGAAGAAGAAGAAGAAGAAGAAGAGTTTGGATTTGATATCCCACCTTTCACTCCCCTTAAGGAGTCTCAAAGCGGCTAACATTCTCCTTTCCCTTCCTCCCCCACAACAAACCCTCTGTGAGGTGAGTGGGGCTGAGAGACTTCAGAGAAGTGTGACCAGCCCAAGGTCACCCAGCAGCTGCAGGTGGAGGAGCGAGGAATCGAACCCGGTTCACCAGATTACGAGTCCACCGCTCTTAACCACTACACCACGCTGGCTCACGCTGGTTCAAGCACGAGAGTTGACCACAATGTGGATCCAAATCTTCCCCCAGTTGCCATCTTTGTTCTCTCTTTCCTCTCCACAGGGAGATTCGGGTGGCCCCTTAGTGTGTGATGGCGTGGCACAAGGAATCGTCTCGTATGGCAAGCCCTGCCCTCCTGGAGTTTACACTCGAGTCTCCCAGTACCTTGACTGGATCAAGGAAACCATGAGGTCCTGAAGAGAAGAGACGTCAGTAACGCTATATTTGCTTTTGCTTTCCCATGCTTGTTCTTGCATGGATAACCTGCTTGGCTTGCATTCTGCAACAAAACACACACACACACACACACACACACACACACACACGTTTCATACAGGATGGGGTTTGGGCAAGTTCCTTCACTGCCTCCCATCCCCTTGAAGAAAATCCTTCTTTCCACCCTTGTGTGCATTAAAATCCTCTTCAGCCTGGTATAGATTCGGACGCTGCCTTCTGGGACACCACAGGGTCAGGACTGTGGGAATTTCTCACCCTGTTCAACAGGAGATATTTCATTTCAGCCCTAGGGGACTTCCTCTGTGCATTTCCTTGATGTCCAAATCACTGGTCTGAGCTCAGGGATTCCCAGACAATCATACAAAAGACCTTGGCACCAAATGCATTTAAAAAGGGGGTGTGTGTGTGTGTTAAAAGTTACCAGTTTACCATTTCACATGCCAAACTCCTCCAGGCTAATGGTGGTGGTGATGTACCAGAGGGACAGAGGGGAAATTAAATTCAGCTCAAAGGTAACATTGAACCTCCCTCATTCACACTTTCAGGAATAAGATTTGAAACACAGCCATCTTTTCAAATTCGCCCTCCTCTGAATTTTGCAGTTTGGCTCTCCAGACATGTCTAGTGCACAAAAATGCAGATACTGGAATGAGGTGTGTCTGTCAGTGTGCGTAGCAGCGAAAGGAGCCTGCCCCAAATGCCTTATTTTGGGGGAATTGCTTTGCAAAAGATGTGCTAGTTTGGCAAACTTGCATGCGACTCTGTAGCTCAAGAGTAATTCACAATAAACTGCTAATGCATCCACACAAATGTGGTTTTTTGAATTGCAAGCTGATGTGTATGTGTGGTGTATTGAACTGAAGAGGGGGAAGATGAGAAACTGGGAGACACCCCCATGGACAGATTCCCCCCTCCCTAGTTGTGGACTTGTGGGGAGGGGAGGGTTTGAAATCAGGAGCTTTTTTATGAGATCCCCACTAATCTGTCTACTCTTCTGCACGCAGGGCTGGGGCTCCACCCCCAAAGCCTCTCTCTCCAAATCAGAGATTTGGCCTGTTTCAGTGCTGGCTTCTTGCACTGGGACTTGCTGGCATCCATCTGTCTCAGGAGACGACATCCCCTCCCACCTTCCTCAGGGGCAAATAGGCCTGGGCTTTGAGGCTCTGCTTCTTCCCCAGTGTCAGGTGGCTATGGCAGGTGCCCAGTTCCACCTCCAGCACAACCACTTTCTCCCGCAGGGTCACCACCTCAGAGCCTGGTGGTTCCAGGGCTTCGGTTCTCCTTCAGCTTCACCATCTGCCCCCATAAAGCTCCTCCTCCTCCTTGGCTGGAGCAGGGAGTTCAAGTTGGTACACACCGCTATCCTCCTATTTTATCTTCCAACGACACCATGAGGTAGGAGTTGGACCGAGGGGTGCAAGAGACCGAAGGTGGCACCCTTCTGAGTTGCTGTTGTTTAGTCATTTAGTCGTGCCAGACTCTTGGTGACCCCAGGGACCAGAGCATGCCAGGCACTCCTGTCTTCCACTGCCTCCCGCAGTTTGGTCAAACTCATGCTGGTTTCTTCGAGAACACTGTCCCACCATCTCGTCCTCTGTCGTCCCCTTCTCCTTGTGCCCTCCATCTTTCCCAACATCAGGGTCTTTTCCAGGGAGTCTTCTCTTCTCATGAGGTGGCCAAAGTCTTGGAGCCTCAGCTTCAGGATCTGTCCTTCCAGTGAGCACTCAGGGCTGATTTCCTTCAGAATGGAGAGGTTTGATCTTCTTGCAGTCCATGGGACTCTCAAGAGTCTCCTCCAGCACCAGAATTCAAAAGCATCCATTCTTCAGCCATCAGCCTTCTTTATGGTCCAGCTCTCACTTCCATACATCATTACTGGGAAAACCATAGCTTGAACTATACGGACCTTTGTTGGCAAGGTGATGTCTCTGCTTTTTAAGATGCTGAGAGCTTAATACTTCTCAGTATCCCCACTGAGAAAGGCCCTCTGGTACTGTATCTTCCCCCAATCGCCACATCCTTGTGCCATCTTTAATAATAATAATAATAATAATAATAATAATAATAATATATTACTCATACCCTGCCCATCTGCCCAGGCCTCCTCAGCCACTCAGGGTGGCTCCCAACAGAATATTAAAAACACGATAAAACATTTAAAAATATCCCTAAACAGGGCTGCCTTCAGATGTCTTCTAAAAGTCGGATAGTTGTTTATTTCCTTGACATCTGATGGGAGGGCATTCCACAGGGTGCCACCACCGAGAAGACCCTCTGCCTGGTTCCCTGTAACCTCACTTCTTGCAGGGAGGGAACCGCCAGAAGGCTCTTGGAGCTGGACCTCAGTGTCCGGGATGGATGATGGGGGTGGAGAGGCTCCTACAGGTATACTGGGCTGAGACTGTTAAGGTCAGCACCAACACTTTGAATTCTTCTCGGAAACATACTGGGAGCCAACGTAGGTCTTTCAGGATTGGTGTTATATGGTCTCGGCGACCGCACCCAGTCCCCAGTCTAGCTGCCGCATTCTGGATTAGTTGTAGTTCCTGGGTCACCTTCAAAGGTAGCCCCACGTAGAGCGCATGTCAGTAGTCCAAGTGGGAGATAACCAGCCTTCTCAGCCCTTCAGGGCCAATGTGCAACTGGTGACACCCCAAGCTATCTGCCACGAGCAAGATCTGCCACCTTTGCCTGTTGCTCAGTCCCTGCTCCTGCCCACCTAGCAGTTTAAAAGCACGTCAAAGTGCAAGTAGATAAATAGGTACTGCTCTGGCGGGACGGCAAACGGCGTTTCCGTGCGCTGCTCTGGTTCGCCATAAGTGGCTTAGTCCTGATGGCCACATGACCCGGAAGCTGTACGCCGGCTCCCTTGGCCAGTAAAGTGAGATGAGCAGCCACAGAGTCGGTCACGACTGGACCTAATGGTCAGGGGTCCCTTTACCTTTACTGTAGTGTAAACCACTTAGAATTCACAAAAGAAATAAGCTGCCGTCCTCGCAATTCACGTTCCGCCATAATCTAACACGGGGCAGCAGAGATCGTTTCTTCCATGAGCGTTCCTCCTTCCTCTCCCTTCCCCCTCCCATTTGCCTTCGAAGCTTAATTAATTAATAATTGCCCGTAAAATACTCCACGATGCTTAGCGCTAATAAAAAAGCCTCACCGCTTAAGTAGCATTTTATTATTATAGACGGCAAAATAAATAAGAGCCTTCTTTGGCCACCGCTATTTAGGACGAAGGGAGGGAGAAGACAGAGAGAATCAAACCCACCGGTGCCTCTCATTTAAAATTGCCCACTTTCCTGTGTTTTGAGAGCTAATAAAGTGTGTGTTTTTTGGGGGGGGGCATGTTTCTGATGAAGCCAACAGTTAAGAGGGGAAGATTGGGGGGCTGGGGAGAGAGACAGGTTGGTTATAGCTGAGAAAGAACATACCCACAAATCATTCCCACCACCCTCCTCCCTTATCAGTGACTTGAAATAATTAAACTCCATACATCTTGTGTGGCAGGAATCCTCCCTCCCCTCTCCCCTCCTTTAGATTATTTGCATTGCAGGCTGATTAAGCTGTAATTATCACCCATTTAGCGCCTGAGATGCAAAGAGCATTTTTCACTCTTGACAGGAAAGTGCAATGCTTTTTTCTGTGTGCGGTTCCAGTTGAAAACAGGGGAATAGGGAAGAAGAGCAAAATATCCCCCCTCTCTCCTTCTAGCAGTTATAAGCGCAAGCTGCAAGCCGTTGAAGTCCTGGGGTCCACGCTGGGGACTGGCCACTGCCTTGGTTATACAGCGAAGTCAGTTACCGTATTTTTTGCTCTATAAGACTCACTTTTTCCCTCCTAAAAAGTAAGGGGAAATGTGTGTGCATCTTATGGAGCGAATGCAGGCTGCGCAGCTATCACAGAAGCCAGAACAGCAAGAAGGATTGCTGCTTTCACTGCACAGCAATCCCTCTTGCTGTTCTGGCTTCTGAGATTCAGAATATTTTTGTTCTTGTTTTCCTCCTCCAAAAACTAGGTGCGTCTTGTGGTCTGGTGCGTCTTATAGAGCGAAAAATACGGTATTTGTTTTTTTACCTGCTGTTCCGGCATTGCAGAGGGTTGGACTAGATCAGGGACAGCCAACTTCCAAGATCTACTCTCACAATTAAAAACTGACAGTGATCTACCACTTCTTTGGGGGTGGGGTGGTTTCAGGTCAAAGTTGTTGAGCTTTGCCAGTGTGGTGTAGTGGTTAAGAGCGGTAGTCTCGTAATCTGGGGAACCGGGTTCGCGTCTCTGCTCCTCCACATGCAGCTGCTGGGTGGCCTTGGGCTAGTCACACTTCTCTGAAGTCTCTCTCTCTTTTTTAAAAAATAATATTTTTATTAATTTTAACATATAAATTATAAAATGTACCACAAAACTTTTCACTTATACAATCTTTTTAGACTTCCATCAGCACCTCTGATGATCCACAGTTTTAACCACTTCTTATGCATTTCTTAACTTTATATTGCCTTTACATTTCTTAACAAATCATCCTCTCCCTTGTCCATTTTTACAATACTTCTAATAATACTCCTCACAAAACTTCTTGCAACCCTACAAACGTCGTCTGTTCTTCACAACTACTTTTCAAATAGTCCGTAAATTTACTCCAGTCTTCCGTGAATTTCTGGTCTCGCCGGTTTCGAATCCTTCCTCTTAGTTTATCTAATTCTGCATAGTCCATTAACTTCATCCTCCATTCTTCAATCGTCGGTAACTCTTCTTGCTTCCATTTTTGGGCCAATAATATTCTTGCTGCTGTATAAACACTTCTCTGAAGTCTCTCAGCCTCACACACCTCACAGAGTGTTTGTTCTGGGGGAGGAAGGGAAAGGAGAAGGTTAGCCGCTTTGAGATTCCTTCAGGTAGTGATAAAGTGGGATATCAAATCCAAACTCTTCTTCTAATGAAACAGTCAGCCTCGCTGCGAGAGCTACGTCTTCTGGTATCATGATCTAGAGGGTGGAGCAAGGGGCCGGGGCCGGATGGAGGAGCCAGCGATCGACCGTGATCTACCAAAACCTCCGTGTATTGACTAGTAGATCGCGGTCGACCTGTAGGATATCCCTGAACTATGACCCTTGGCGTACTCCTTTCCACAACTACAATCCCATGTAACTCAACCGATTGGTAACCAATTAGAGTTACGATGCAACTGATGCAAGGTCCTCAACGAAAGAAGGTGTTACGGAAAAATCTAGGCGTGAGGCTGCTCAGTCACCCAGCTCATCGGGCAGAGCCCGTGGGTCCCTGCGGAATAAAGGAAGGAGTCCAGCCAACCGGAGCAAATAGCTGTAGACCAAAGTTTATTGCGCAATAGGTTCAAAGAGCAAATTTGAACCCTGAGGATGGGGTGACAAAGACTTTTGAACTTTCCCACCACATCCCAGAATACAGTTCGAAGGGGAGGGGTTAACCTTGGCAAACATGTCCAGACAAGTCCTTGGTACCAGATTAGCATAAGCAGACATGGCAGGGCAAGACTCAGGTATAAGATCAGCATAGACAAATATGTCTTAAGTACCCACCACCCAAAAGTACAACAGAAGTTCCTTTGCATGTCTGGAGCCTGAGGTGAGTCAGGTGATGAGATTTGGCCAACAATGAGCCCAGCAATTGTCACCTCTGGGAACTTCCTGGAGTTCTTTTTCAAGGGGAAAATAGCTTTGGAATGGAGGAAACTGGGAAAGGAGATGATTTTATATTATTTTTAAAGCTAGGTAACTTCCCTGAGCTGTCAAGTTGAAAGGATACATTCAGGCATAATATTTGTAATATTTAACTTTAAAGATGTGCCCCCTCCAGTAATTTCCGTAACAAAGGCAATCGGATCCAAATAAGGGATGAAGATGAGATCATCATCCAAGTTGAGTTATCCACAAATAGGTGGCATGAATTTGTTTCCTTTGCCAGAATCAAATTCAGTAAAACGATGCCTTGCTTCTACAGATTGGTCCAACTCTTTTGCTTTTCTTGATGCTTTCATTTTGTGCGTGCGTCCTCCTCACTCACCACCCCCAACATCAAAGCAGCTGAACAGATCTCCAGGTACCAAACAAATTCAAACAGGAGGCTTTCCAATGTTTCGCTAATGTTAATCTAAGCAGCTGCCGGTGGGAGAACGATCTTGGAACGTAACTCTGCCGTTCTTAAGAGAGAGCGAATGGTGGCAGGAAAATGCAGGGAGAGGAGCTGCAGAGAAATATGGCACAGAGACAAAATACAGGATGGGGGGTGAAGAGGAGGGGGCCAAAATAAAAGGGGCACCCCTTCTTTATTTATTTGGAGTCTGCATCTTGCTCTCCAGCCAAAAAGGCTCCCGGAACAGCTTAAGGTAAAGGTAAAGGGACCCCTGACCATTAGGTCCAGTCGCAGACGACTCTGGGGTTGCGGTGCTCATCTCGCTTTACTGGCCGAGGGAGCCGGCATACAGCTTCCGGGTCATGTGGCCAGCAGGACTAAGCCACTTCTGGCGAACCAGAGCAGCGCACAGAAACACTGTTTACCTTCCCGCTGGAGTGGTACCTATTTATCTACTTGCACTTTGACGTGCTTTCGAACTGCTAGGTTGGCAGGAGCAGGGACCAAACAACAGGAGTTCACCCCGTCGCGGGATTCGAACCGCCGACCTTCTGATCAGCAGTTCCTAGGCTCTGTGGTTTAACCCACAGCGCCACCCGCGTCCCTCCCGGAACAGCTTACATACAATCAAAACAAGGCAGTCTCTGCCCCTGCAGGATTAGAACCACAGAATTGTAGAGCTGGAAGGGACTCCTGGAGTCATCTAGTCTAACCCTCTGGAATGCAGTAATCTTTTGCCCAAAGTCGGACTCAAACCCACGACCCTGAGATTAAGCGTCTCATGCTCATGAGACGCCTATTCCCTTCCCCATGTCTCCTAACAGCACCCTTAACGAACTACACTTCCCATGATTCTTTCTCGTGGGGTTCACTAATCATCATTTTAGCTTAAATGACAGGAGGAAGCCAGCAGTAAATGACACAGAGAAAGGTGGAGTTAACTTTGTTGTTTAGTTGTTTAGTTGTATCCCACTCTTTGTGGCCCCCTGGACCAGAGAACGCCAGGCACTCCTGTCTTCCCCTGCCTCCTGCAGTTTGGTCAAACTCATGCTGGTAGCTTCGAGAACACTGTCCCACCATCTCGCCCTCTGTCGTCCCTTCTCCTTGGGCCCTCCATCTTTCCCAACATCAGGGTCTTTTCCAGGGAGTCTTCTCTTCTCATGAGGTGGCCAAAGTCTTGGAGCCTCAGCTTCAGGATCTGTCCTTCCAGTGAGTACTCAGGGCTGGTTTCCTTCAGAATGGAGAAGTTTGATCTTCTTACAGTCCATGGGACTCTCAAGAGTCTCCTCCAGCACCAGAATTCAAAAGCATCCATTCTTCGGCGATCAGCCTTCTTTATGGTCCAGCTCTCACTAGCAAAACAGGATCTGAACAGAAGTGTGGGAAGGCCACCTGGGTGGAGTTAAGGACCTTATAAGGGCTGCCTAAAAAGGACTGTTCTGAATTGAAATTCTTCGGGGGAAGGGGAGGCTAAACTGAACAGAAATATCATCCAAAGTGCAACAGTGACCTCTTCTGATGAGAAAGGGGGACACAAGAAATGCAATTCTATCGTTTTTTCTGTGAGATGTGCTTTTAAAAGAAAAGGTAAAGGGGACCCTGACCATTAGGTCCAGTCATGGCCGACTCTGGGGTTGAGGCGCTCATCTCGCTTTACTGGCCGAGGGAGCCGGCGTTCAGCTTCTGGGTCATGTGGCCAGCAGGACTAAGCCGCTTCTGGCGAACAAGAGCAGCGCACGGAAACGCCGTTTACCTTCCCGCCGGAGCGGTACCTATTGATCCACTTGCACTTTGACGTGCTTTCGAACTGCTAGGTTGGCAGGAGCAGGGACCGAGCAACGGGAGCTCACCCTGTTGCGGGGAGTCGAACTGCCGACCTTCTGATTGGCAAGTTCTAGGCTCTGTGGTTTAACCCACAGCGCCACCCGCTTCCCAAAGAAAAGGTACTATTGTCTAAAAAAATCACTTTTGCACATGCAAAGCACTCAGCCCTCCCTTTTTTAAAAAAATAAATATGCTGCTTTAAGTCAGAAGAGGAAGGCTCGGGAACACTATGCACCTGTAAGTCCTTAATAATAATAATAATAATAATAATAATCTCTTCACTTGGGATTCCTTAGCAACTGGAATTCAGAAGTGTACCTTATCAACCAGGAGGAGATAACACAACTCTTAAAACACAGCGTCATTTGTTGTTGTTGTTGTTGTTGTTTAGTCGTTTTGTCGTGTCCGACTCTTCGTGACTCCCCGGACTCCCTGGAGCTGGAAGCATCCATTCTTCGGCGATCAGCCTTCTTGATGGTCCAGCTCTCACTTCCATACATCACTGCTGGGAAAACCATAACTTTAACTATACGGACCTTTCTTGGCAAGGTGGTTTCTCTGCTTTTTAAGATGCTGTCTAGGTTTGTCATTGCTTTTCTCCCAAGAAGCAGGCGTCTTTTAATCTGCAGCGATCATGGAGCCCAAGACAGTAAAATCTCTCACTGCCTTCATTTCTTCCCCTTCTATTTGCCAGGAGGTGATGGGACCAGTGGCCATGATCTTCGTTTTTTTGACGTTGAGCTTCAGACCATCTTTTGCGCTCTCCTCTTTCACCCTCATTAAAAGGTTCTTTAATTCCTCCTCACTTTCTGCTATCAATGTTGTGTCATAAATCTCCCCAAATTAGACTGGGATTTTAAAAGGGGGTTTTAGGGTTCTTCTCGCAGTCAAGGCGAAGGGAGGATATGTATATCTCATGGGAGTTCAAGGTCCTGAATTATCTTGCTTGAGCTTTGGAATCCAAACTGCACGTGAGAGATAAGTAGGAGAGCAATTCCTAGTGCCGACCTGGGAGGGTTGGCGCCTTTTCCAGAGCGGCAGAGAAAACGAGAACGAACTCGGACCGAGTTCTCTTGCTCAAAATTTTCCGGCGATTTAAAGATAATCGGGTCATTAGGGTTGCTTTACAGCCGGCTACATTGCACCGTCCAAGGCTACACAAAGTCCACGCAAGTAGGAACAGGTGGAAGAATGGGGTTTTGCTTCATCGGGAAACTGAAGTGATGGGATCCAAAATACAGAAGTGTTGGATTTCGGCCTTTGCTTAGCCAGAGCAACGGCTCCAACCAGCCTGCTGCAAATTTAATGCCCTGCAGATGTTTTGTCTTATGACTTCCATAAGTCCCTGTAGGAAGCAATGGTTATGCACCACCCTAGAAACGTTCATGTTGGCGGGCAAAATACAAATCCACCACATCATTGACCCATTGATGTTAATGGCCATGACTAAAATTAGGTTCATTTATAAAATGTGGCCGCCAGGACCACATAACACCAGTTCTGAGAGATCTGCATTGGCTCCCAGAACGTTTCCGAGCACAATTCAAAGTGTTGGTGCTGACCTTGAAAGCCCTAAACGGCCTCGGTCCTGTATACCTGAAGGAGCGTTTCCACCCCCATCGTTCAACCCGGACACTGAGGTCCAGCGCCGAGGGGCTTCTGGCGGTTCCCTCATTGTGAGAAGTAAGGTTACAGGGAACCAGGCAGAGGGCCTTCTCGGTAGTGGCACCCACCCTGTGGAACGCCCTCCCTTCAGATGTGAAAGAAATAAGTAGCTATCCTATCTTTAAAAAGCATCTGAAGGCAGCCCTGTTCAGGGAAGTTTTAACATTTAACGCTGTATTGTTTTTAATACTTGATTGGGAGCCGCCCAGAGTGGGTGGGGAAACTCAGCCAGATGAGCGGGGTATAAATAATAAATTATTATTATTATAAAAACATTTGCATACTGCTGTGTCATTAAAATATGCATCATAGCAGCTTGCAACCATAAAAACATAAACTATGAAATGAAAAAACCTTTTAAAAGTTCAAAACAGACATCAGTTAACGATTGTCAAAGGATGTACAGTGGTACCTCTGGTTACGTACTTAATTCGTTCCAGAGGTCCGTTCTTAACCTAAAACTGTTCTTAACCTGAAGCACCACTTTAGCTAATGGGGCCTCCTGCTGCTGCCGTGCCACCGGAGCACAATTTCTGTTCTCATCCTGAAGCAAAGTTCTTAACCTGAAGCAATATTTCTGGGTTAGCGGAGTCTGTAACCTGAAGCGTATGTAACCTGAAGCGTATGTAACCCGAGGTACCACTGTATTCGCAATCTTGGCAGAACAGAGAAGGTTTTCAGGTGGGATTTTAAAGTGGATGAAGAACAGGTCTCTTGAGTAGCTCTAGCACTAGATACAAACCCCATCCTTTTTATCAGCACTGCAGTGTTTATAATCAATGGATGGGAAATATCAAACTAGGGTTGCCATTAACCCGGGAATTCCCGGTCGTGTCCTCTTTTTGGGGTCCTGCACACACTTTACAGTCACCACAATAAAATGCGTTGTTGCTGTTTTGGGGCCAGACGGCTAGAAAGTCATGTTTTTCAATACGACGTTTTCGGTTCCTGAAATTCATTCCGATTGCGCAGATAAAACATAACGGGCAGAATTCTACAGGGTGTGTTACTAGTCCGTGAAAATAGTCAACGTCCAATGCTCCCTTGGCATGAAGATGTCAGAGATGTCTGCAGGGCCACACTGGCTCTGTGGCACTCTCTTTTTCTGAAATTCCATATATATATATATATATATATATATATATATATTCTCTTTTCTGGAAGCTCTAACACACACACACACACACACACACACACAGAGAGAGAGAGAGAGAGAGAGCTTGAGAAATGCTTCACCTTCCTGGTATTGGTTTTGAGCAGGTGTCAGACCCTTCAGGTGTCCCTATTTTCCAGGGGCATCCCTGATTTAGAGAAGCCATCTGAGTTTCTGACTTAATCCTGGAATGTCCAGCTTTTCCTTAGGACGTCCCTATTTTTCTTTCTCTTTAAATTTTATTAATGTTTTTAATGCTTATGGGACGCGGGTGGCGCTGTGGGTTAAACCACAGAGCCTAGGGCTTGCCGATCAGAAGGTTGGCGGTTCGAATCCCCGCAATGACGGGGTGAGCTCCCGTTGCTCGGTCCCTGCTCCTGCCAACCTAGCAGTTCGAAAGCACGTCAAAGTGCAAGTAGATCAATAGGTACCACTCCGGCGGGAAGGTAAACGGCGTTTCCGTGCGCTGCTCTGGTCCGCCAGAAGCGGCTTAGTCCTGCTGGCCACAGGACCCGGAAGCTGTACACCGGCTCCCTAGGCCAGTAAAGCGAGATGAGTGCCAGAGTCGGCCATGACTGGATCTAATGGTCATTAATCATTTTAACATTTCAAAACAAATGAACAGAAAAAGCCTCAAAAACAAAAACGCAAAATAAATAGTAAAAAGAATAGCGCCAAACTTAATCCGTTCCAGTTTGACTTCCGAAGTGTTTGAAAACCAAACACGGATTGGTGCAGGCACCCCGGAAACAATAGCCGACAGCCACGTCGGACGTTCGGCTTCCGAAAAATGTTCAAAAACCGGAACACTTAAATGCTGGAAATAAGCACATGAAATTAGCAAGTGAAAAATACGATAAATGGTATGGTTTTTTTTAAAAAAAACCTTCTGGAAGGGCAATTTATTCAAATTTATTCATGGGTCTTACAGAGTTCTGGTTATGTCGTCCCTCTCTCTTCTTCATATATGTCCTTTTCTGTGCTTTTTTCTTTTTCTTTTCTCTCTTCATATGTGTGGTTTTTTTTCTCTCTTCCCCATTCTTTCTCTTTTATTTCACTTCTTTCTTTTTCTTCCTTGAAAAGCAAGGCTGTTTCATGTATAATGGGGTTTTTGGGGGGGGGGGGCTACATATTGTCCACAACAATAAAAATGCTACAACTGCTGCTCAAATTTTACTAGCCAAAAAGTGGAAAGCGCAAGAATTACCAACGGTGGAAGAATGGCAGATGAAGATGGTGGATTTTTTGGAGCTAGCTGACCTAACCGGAAGAGTCCGCGACCAGAAGGAGGAGGAGTATCAGGAAGATTAGATTAAATTTAATGATTATTTAGTTAAATATGTTAAGTCAAATTAACTGGAAACAGCTTGCAGATACTTAATTGGTTTAGGATTTTATTTAAGTGATGAATTAATATGTTTAATTTCAAAATGAAAAGATCTAAGGATGTAAATGTTCAAGTTAAACTGTGATTTGGAAAACCGTTAAAAGGACATGCAATGAAATTCAACCAAGGGGAAGCGAGGAAGTCACTTAACAATGTTAATAAGTGTAATTTTTAATAAGGTTATGATTTGTGTTTATTTCATGTGTTTGTTTGTTTATAATTTTGTGAAAACCAATAAAAAAATTGGGGGGAAAATGGGGGGAAAGGGAGAGGTTCCCAAAATTCAGAAGTGAAGGGGAGAAATACTTTGCACATGCTCAGGAACACATTTAACTCTTCCCATGCTTGAGGCCTAACCTATATGAGGCGATTCCAGAGGCCCATAATCTTCCCACTGCCCTGAGTTTAAGCCTCCACCATAATTTTTTAAAACAGAAAAAAGGTTTTTCAAAAATAAATAAATGGTTTGTTAAAAAAAAAAAAGTGACCTCTCTAGGCTTTCCCTCTCTTTTCCCCCGTTAAGTCCTCCAGCCACCCATAACTCTCCGCGGCCCTGCCCGCTAGCGCGCATGCGCGCCTCTCTCCGGCCCGCTCGCCCCAACCGTTCCTCGCTTCCTTCCCCCTCCCAATCTCTTATCTAACCAACCAACCAACCTTGCTTTGGGGGGGGGGGAAGGGGCGGGGCCTTCCTTCCAACCTTCAACGCACGTCGGCGTGCAAAAAAAACAACAACCCAACCCTTCTCCGCCCCTCCTCCGCCATTACCTCATTGGCCGGGGCGCGGCCGCTCGGCCAATCGCTTCGCCTCGGCCGCGCGCGCCGGAGCCCGCCTCTCGCCTGAGGGGGCTCGCCCGCCGATTGGCTCCCGAGGAGAGAGATGTGGGTGGGAAGGCCAGAGCCGAAGCGCGCGTCCAATCGGGCGCTCCCAGGCGCCGCCGCGCGGCGTTCCTATTGGCCGCGGCGCCCGTCGCTCGGCTTGTTGCTGAGGTTGGGTTGAGGCGCGTCAAGTTAGGTCGGCGGCGGCTGGGGCTGAGGAGGAGGAGGAGGAGGGGAGGAAGGAAGGAAGGAGGTGGCGGCGGCGGCGGCGGGGGGAGAAAAACCACACAGAACCGCCCCGGTCAAAAGAGCGAGGGAGGCCCGGCCAAGCTGACGGAGCCAGGCCGCTGCCGCCGCCTCCTCTCCCTCCCGTTCGCCGCCGTCGCCGGTGGGCGGGTGGGCGGCAGCCATGACGCTGGAGTCCATGATGGCCTGTTGCCTCAGCGACGAGGTGAAGGAGTCGAAGCGCATCAACGCCGAGATCGAGAAGCAGCTGCGGAGGGACAAGCGCGACGCCCGCCGGGAGCTCAAGCTCCTCTTGCTCGGTCAGTCCTGAGGGGAAGGAAAGAGGGAGGGAGGGAGGGAGGGAGGGGCGCGCGCGGACGGAGACACACACACCCTCCGAAGTGGGGGGGGGGCTCCCCATCCCGACAGCCCCACCACCCCAATCGATGCCCGTTAGGAACCGAACCGGAACAAGAAAACCCTCCACGGGGCCTCCGTTGAATGTCCGCCTTGCCTTGCCTACCCCCCATGCTTATATATTATATACACACGCACAAATCTAATATATATATATAGATACAAATATGCATGTGTACACACACACAATGTATACACACAGATACAGGCATAGGTATAAATATGCCTTGCCCACCCCCCATGCTTATATATTATATACACACGCACAAAACTAATATATATATATATACACACATATATGCATGTGTACACACACACACAATGTATATACACAGATAGGAACCGAACCGGAACAAGAAAACCCTCCACGGGGCCTCCTTTGAATGTCCGCCTTGCCTTGCCTACCCCCCATGCTTATATATTATATATACACGCACAAATCTAATATATATATACACATATATGCACGTGTACACACACACAATGTATATACACAGATACATATCGCGGCCCGTTAGGAACCGAACCCATGCTTTATATATATATATATATGTATATATATATATATACACACGCATATACACAAAACTAACATATAGATACAAATATGCATGTGTACACACACAGAATGTATACATACAGATACAGGTATAGGTATAAATATGCCTTGCCCACCCCCCATGCTTATATATTATATACACACGCACAAAACTAATATATATATACATATATGCATGTGTACACACCCACAATGTATATACACAGATACATATCGCGGCCCGTTAGGAACCGAACCGAAACCAAAAACCCTCCACGGGGCCTCCTTTGAATGTCCGCCTTGCCCACCCATGCTTTATATATATTTATATATATGTGTATATATATATATATATACACACACACACACACACATATACGCAAAACTAACATATAGATACAAATATGCATGTGTACACACACAGAATGTATACACACAGATACAGATACAGGTATAGGTATAAATATGCCTTGCCCACCCCCCATGCTTATATATTATATACACACGCACAAAACTAATATATACATACATATATGCATATGTACACACACACACACAATGTATATACACAGATACATATCGCGGCCCGTTAGGAACCGAACCGAAACCAAAAACCCTCCACGGGGCCTCCTTTGAATGTCCGCCTTGCCCACCCATGCTTTTTATATATATAGATATATAGATATACACACACGCACACACACACGCACAAAACTAATATATATATACATATATGTGTGTGTACACACACAGAATGTATACACACAGATACATATACAGGTATAGATATGCCTCGCCCACCCCACCCATGCTTGTATATATACTGTACAGTATACAGAAAAAAAGTATATGGATTCACACATGTAATATATATGTAAACACACAAGAAAATGTAAACACACACGTATATATGCCACCCCTCACCCATACATATAGACAGAGATATGTACATGCACGCATAAATATGTACACACAGAAAATGTATGCACACACATATATTTATGTCTTCCCCCACTCCACCCCCCATGGGTACACACACACACACACACACACACACACACACACAAAAAAAAAGATATGCACCCAAATGTGTATATAAATGTACACTCAAAAATGTATACATATATACACACATACAGTGGTGCCTCGCAAGACGAAATTAATCCGTTCCGCGAGAGTCTTCGTCTAGCGGTTTTTTCGTCTTGCGAAGCAAGCCCATTGACGGATTAGCGCTATTAGCGCTATTAGCGGTTTAGCGGCTATTAAAGGCTTAAAGGCTTAGGGGATTAGCTGCTAAAAGGCTAGCTAAAAGGCTATTAAAGGCTTAGCAGATTAGATAAAGGGGAAAGCGAAAAAAAATCTCAAGACTCGCAAGGTATTTTCGTCTTGCGAAGCAAGCCCATAGGGGAATTCGTCCTGCGAAGCAACTTCAAAACGGAAAACCCTTTCGTCTAGCGGTTTTTCCGTCTTGCGAGGCATTCGTCTTGCGGGGCACCACTGTATACACATGCATACACACACACACATATATATGTACACACAGAAATATGTACATATGTATATATAATTAATAATAATATTTTTATTCTTTATAACCCACCCATCTGGCTGGGTTTCCCCAGCTACTCTGGGTGGCTTACAACACATAAAAAATGGTGAAGCATTAAACATTTTTTAAAAAATCCCGATACAGGATTGTCTTCAGATGTCTTCTGAAAGTTGGATAGTTGTTTGTTTCCTTGACATCTGATGGGAGGGCGTTCCAGAGGGTGGGCGCTACTGGAAGGCTCTCTTCCAGTACACACACAAATATGTACACACACACATATAGAGCAAAGATATGTGTGTGTGTGTATACATATGTAGAGATATAGCTATAGGTATACACACACACAAATCTTTCTATCTAAACTAAAATCATAGAATCGTAGTGTTGGGGGGAACCAAGGGGGATCATCTAGTTCAACACCCCCCCCCCAAAGCAGGAATGTGTGCTTTTTGCCCAATGCGGGGCTTGAACCCATGGCCCCGAGTCTGAGCTACCCCATAGATGCAACTGCAACACCTGTCCCCCATGTGGTATCTCACAGGGACCGCCGCATCCCCATAGTCACCTTTGACTGGACTTAACCACCCAAGGGTCATTTGCCTTTTTTAAAAACCTTTTAATATGTGCCCACGCACACACACACGTGTATGTATATATTGAACAAAATAATTGCTGCATAATCACAATTCATTAGACGAGTTATTGAACAAAATAAATTAAAAACCGCTGCTCTAGGTCCGATGAAGAAAAGGGCACATGAATAGTCTTTGGCATCATCTTCAACGTCGTTTGCTATCTGCCGTGGATGCTTTAGTGGAGATTCACACGTTGCAGGGAGTTGGACTAGATGGCCCTTGGGGTCCCTTCCAATTCTTTAAGATTATATATGTGCATAGAGTGAGTGAACATATACATCTGTATACATATGTACACACACATACCTATAGATACACATACACAGGCACACACAGCTATATACATATACATACATAGATTTATTATTATTTATTAAATTGTTGTTCACTTTAAATTGGCCAGGACAACCTAAAGCAACTTACAACCAACCAAAAAACCCCACTGAGATGCATTAAAACCAATACATTAGAACATCTCTCTCTCTAGGTTGAATCCAAACTAAGTTTTAAGAGTAGACTCGCCAGAAAAAAACCTCAGTGTGTCTTAAGGAAACCATGTACATTTATTCCAATGAGTCCACTCTCTTAATGTCTTCATGCAAAGGCATCCTGGGTTGAAGCCGAAGTTTCACTCGTGAGTAGGCCCAGCTGTCAAGAAATCACAAGTCAGTTGTGCCCATTTCATTCTAATAGATCTTCAGAGTCAACCCATAATGTCTTAGCATTAAGTTCTGCTCAAGAGTAGATCCGCTGGAGAAATCATTGGACCTAAGGAAATTATGTGCATTTTGTGTAATGTAAATAATTTTTAATGGATTTGTTGTTACTAAAGTTGGATACAGCCCATAAATGGATGCTAAGAATGGTGGCCTATTGAAGTTAATGGGTTGTGTCCAATGTTAGCCTTGATTTGAGTAGACTAATTGGAGATAAATGACTCCGCTAATGGGTCCATTGACTTCAGTGGTCTGCTCTGAGTAAAGATGCAAGTTTGGTTCAACCAATTAACATCAGTGGGTTTACATCCTTAGTATTAGCTTCTGAGTTGTATCCTTGGTAGACTCGTTGAAATTTGCTTGTGTCTGTGAAATATCCATGATTTACCTGGGGCCTTTGATTTTCGGTGGGTTCACTCTTGAGTAGAACTTAGTTGGATTCAACCTGAGATGTCTTAGAATTCAAGTGCATTACTGACTTGGGTCCATAGACGTCGACAGATCTACTCTGAGTAGAACTTAGTTGTATGCAACCTATTAATTTCAGTTGATATAGCATTCTTTTAGCCCCTGAGTAGCATCCTTGGTTTTCAGTTTACAGTATAGGTTGCATCCAACGTTACTCGCACTTTGAGTAGGCCCATTTAAATTAAATGAGTTTAAGGCCCCTTGATACCAGTGGTTCTACTCTTATAAAAGGGCATAAATATAACCTGTTGTTACTATTTTTAAAACCCAAACTTAAAACACACCAGTAGTCTATCCTTTCTGAAATTTTAAGTTCTTCTGAGGTCCATTAACTGCAGTGGATCTGCTTTGCATAGTATCTTGTTAGGTGAAACTCATGTTGTAAGTGCATGCATCCCTATTTCATTTCCTCGTTGACTTTCATGTAGGTTTATCCCTGTGTGCCTTTAACTTTCAGTTGTGTCCAATTAAGTTCTGCTTTGAGTATATAGACATGACTAACTTAGATCCATTCATTTCAGTGGGTCTGTTCTGAGTAGGGGATGGTTGGATACAATTCTGTTATGGGCAATACGCTATATGTTTATGTACATACACTCAAACATAACACACACACACACACACACAAGAATGTGTATATATGTTTATTTTATGTGTGTAATACAACTGCAGCTGCTTAGCTATTTTATTTTTTAAAACATTAATATACTGCTTGATTGTAGAAAATTTCAGAACGGGTATACAAAATATATATTGCTGCTTATTTGTCCTTATAATGTTATGCACATACATTTACAGATGTGTGCAACATGGCAACCTATATATGTATACAGTATTAGGCTCTATCCTACCACTTTAAACCGTCATGACTTCCCCAAAAGAATCACGAGAACTGTAATTTGTTAAAGGTGCTGAGACTCTGTATTCCCTTCATGGAGCTACAATTTCCAGAGTTGTGTAACAGTAAATCCCTCTTTCTAGGAAACTGGGAATTGTAGCTGTGGGGAATAAGTATCTCTTAGCAGCTCTTAGTGCCTTAAATGGGGCCTTACAGTCTCAAACATCATCTCCCTGTTCTCTCTTCTAAGGAACTTAGGGTGTGGTATATTTCTCTTCCTGCTGTTTTTTTTTTTTAATCCTTGCAACAACCTTGTCAGGTACAAAGAGAGAGGCAGACTTTTTTCCAACTAAGAACTTCCTCTCCATATCAATCCTTTAAAGACAAACTAAACATAAGAATCTCCTTCTCTTTGTATGCTTAAATGTGTATGCCCCTTTCTTCTCTTCCACTCTTTCCCTCTCCCTTATTTTTAGCATAACCACAGCCCAGTGGAGCAGGTCAGGTCGAAAGAGAATGTGGCAGAATCTCTTCTACTGTTTACACACAAATAACTTCCCTTCTATATTGCCTCCTCAATAAGAAACCAAACATAAGCCTGCCTTCTAATCTTCCTAGTAGATTTAAATCTATTTACTCATTTGTGTACATTATCCCCTCAGAGCTTAAGGTGGTGTCTGTGGCTTTTGTCCTTCCACCTTTCTCCCTCCCTCATTTTTTTATCCTCACAATAATGCTGTGAGGTAGGTTAGGAGGAGACCAGGAATTTGTCCCCACATCTTCTCAAGAGCAAATCAACCACCCAAGTGCACCTACTCATATCCCTCTTCTGGGGTCTTCTCACCACATGCAGAGTAACAGGTGGGCTTTATTGGAGTCTCTCATCCAGTGTTAGAAACTCAGATATATATAAGCTAGGTGCCAAATGGCTCCTTAAACTAAGGTTACAATTGCGAAAACAGAATGTCTAGTTGCCATTTGGGGCAAGGCGGTTCTAAAGTCTTATTTGTCAAATGTGATTGATTATCAGTTAAACATCTGGCTAGTCCAGAGGACAGCCTTGAGCTTGGAGAACTTAAAGAAAAATCACTTTATTCAGGGACTGTCCACATATATATTGCCATATTCCTACCTCCTTTTCTTAATGATGACTTGGACCATTCATAACGTATGAATATTCTACACAACTGTGAGCAGGGCATTGGGGTGCGGGGTGGGGAGTGAAGACTAGCAACAAGAATTAATTATAACTTTCACTTCTCCTGCTCAGGCTGCCCAGAAAAAGCATTTTGGTTCCTGAAATTTGTTCTGATTGTGCAGATAAAATATCTGATAGAATTCAACAGGATGGGGTATGAGTGTTTTAAAACAGTCAACATCCAATGACCCCGAAGCATATTTTGGAGATTTCAGGCGCCATCCTTGCGCCCAGGCATCTTCACTTGGTCGCAAGTGAATTTTGAATACTGGCAAATTTTGAATACTGCTCTCACCCTGCCGCTTCTCTTCCTCTTCCTGATAGTTCCCTCTTCACCCCATAGCATCTAATTCCCAGTCGTCCTCGGCTAGCATTCCACATTGGTATTTTATTAACGACAGAATTATTGAGAACAGGAATTACTTTCTTAGATTTATTTATATGACACTCCTTAGCTTTTTTTATTTCTCCCAAAAGCTCTTGCTCCCTTCTTCCCCATTAAGGACCTTCCACCTCTCCTTGATGAGCAAGATCGGTGGCTTCAGGAGCCACAGAGCACTGGGTGTCAGTTGGGGGTAAAATAAAAGTGGCTGGTGGAGTAAACTGACGTGCTTGAACCCAAGTGCTACCTGTGGCTCTCCAGATGTAGGTGAACTCCACCTGCAATGTAGTCGTTGTCCCGCAACATCTTGATCCCATTCCATTTTGAGCATGTGTGCATGGAGTAAGGGTTGGTACCTAATGTAATTTCATAGTCACAGCATACGCGTTGAAATCGGTGGCCTTGCATCACTGAAGTCCTGTTGATTTAGTAGGTCCATTCAGAGTTTGACTTGGTTGGATGTCACCTAAGAAGTGGGGGAGGTTGGGGGCGCCCTTCATAGGGGTGGAGACTGCTGGTTGTTTCGAAGCAGGATATAGAAGTTTTGGGAACAAAAATAATTATCAGAGGGGTAGCCAGAGCGCTGAAAGTCGAACTGTCATGGTGGAGGGTTCTGCTGTCAGAAAATGCAAGTCCCTTTGTGAGTCTTACTGACTAAAGGAGCAGACTGTAAGAAGCAGTCGGTTCTATTATATAATGCAGCTCTTCCTGGGATTTATATTCCACTCCCTAGCCAAGGAGACTCTCGTTGAGGCTCCCTTTCCTGACAGCTGACTTCCTTTCCTTCTCAGAATTGCTGCATTTTTAAATTATTTTTAAAAAACGAAACAAAATAGAATCGAAAGTAAGGGCCCCGCCTCAGTTAAGAACACCACACTCTCTCAAACAACTTCATTCTTGGCCCTTTTCATCACGTCTCTCCAGAATTTTTCCCTAGGATTTATATCCTGCTTCCTAGCCAAAAGACTGCCATGGTGGCTCTTCTTCCTGATATCCGCCTTCCTGCTAACCCCCCCCCCCCTTTCCATAATTGCCTCCATCTGTGTGTGTGGAATGTTTGCCTTCCTCCCTAAGGCATAGAATCCAAGGCATGAATATTTCTTCTCTCTCCCCCCCCCCTCCATTTCCAGCCTTTCTGACGACTCTCTTCTTCCTTTTTGACATCTTCCCATCCTCTTTGGGCACATAGCGACCTCATACCTCAACTTTCAGCCTGTACTATATGCTCCAAGGCGCTCTCTCGCCTTGTGTCCGCCCCACCTCCCTGTGTGCCAGGCGTTTAGTAGTGCCACCTCTGCAACCCACACCTTTCCAGGCTACCAGCCCTGTAAATGCTCACCTCTTGTAGAATATTCCTTCTGCCCTCCATCCACTTTCTGCTCCTACTGCTACCCCTCCCAAATGTAGTGTAGCACAGTAACGTGTCTCTTCAGATGAGAGAGAAACAACCTTAACATTTTTAAGCTGCAGCAAAATAAAAAATTAAGCAGTTGGTTTCGAACTTTAGGTGCCAACCCAGACTGAAAGCAGTTATGAATATGGTTAAACTAGCAGAGTGTTTCTCTTGAGCGTCTCTTCGTTTTGAGGCGGCGATTCTCTCCTCCTAGTTGAGAGTTCTTTGGCCTCTAAATATGACCCCGAGGAGCGAAGGACTGGTTGAAATGTGGCTTGATGAGATGTAGACCTCTTCTGGGCTTGCTTTCTAGGTTCACAAAGTTGTAATCCTTCTCTCAGCTTAACGTTCAAGCCATTTTTAAACCTGAAATAATCCTTCGAAGGAAGCAGCTTGTGGTAGTCTTGCTTCTGACCCTCTAGCTCAGAGGGAGCCAGTATTGTGTACTCCAGATGTTGTTGGACTCAAACAATCTGGTAAAATAAAATGGGGGTCCCTGCTTAACTTCTAAAGTTAAGTTATTTGTATCCAGGTACTCCATCTCCTTAAACCCATATAAATGTGCAGGGGATAGTTGTCCTAACTTGGCTCAGTACATGGGCACAATCTTATTTTTACATTGATTTTCATAACTTAGTCCTGGCAGTAACTAGCGTTGGGAGTTTTGCTGTGACGCAAATTAAAATCATAAATGTTCCAGCGCTTCACAATCTTCAGGCTGAATAGCCTTAATAAGAAATTTGGGGGAACTTGATCTCGCTACAAGGATACCTTTGACCCTCAAAGCAAAGTTTCTAATAAAATTGTGCTGTACCGTCCGACTAGTACCACACCAGTCTGCCAAACTAGGAAATTATGGAGATCAAACTGTGTTTGGATGTATTTAGAGAGTGCGGAGCTAATTTGAGTCCATTGAGCTACCTAAAGGTTTTTGAACTATAGTTGCTGCCTTTCCAACATGAAATTGGTCTACAACTGACCTATCGTTTTCTTTATGTGGTCCTGGGTGCCTCAACTAAGGCTGGAAAATCCCAAGCTTTTGTCCAGGTTATTTTAAAAAAAGAAAGGGTGCCATTATTTATACACTCAGATGTTTTTGCACTCCCTCACGTGTTCAGAAATACATTGGTATGAAAACTGAGAATTCAAAGCTTCAGGTTTCCTTGTGCTCTGCTTGCGACTATACCTGCTGGTGGAAGAGGGGTGCTCATCTTTTGAAGCAGGAAACTCTGACATCTCCTTGGTTACATGGTAACTTTCAAAAGTTTTTTTTTCCTTCCCAGAATCTAGTCCCCAAGCAAGTAGCAGGGTGTTCCCTGTAGCTGGTAGCCATTGGCAATCAAAAGTTATTTTACCGGGATATTCTGCCCCCTACCCCATAGCAGCTATTTCAAAAAAACTTTTTTTGTTTTGTTTTGTTTTGTTTTTTGGCGCAATTGGCTGTTCAGAAGTCATGATGTGTTTATCTCTTCTTGGTAATGTCCCCATTACAGTATTATCTTTTCTATATGGGATTTATTTTTAGGAGATATATATTTATATATATTTTTAAAGGACTGGCAGTTGCTAACTTGGAGGTGTGTCTGACTGTTATCCTGAATCATCCTGGGATGTGTAGCTTTTGAGACTTGGGGTTAATGTTATACTTCTTCCACAGTCACCTGGGCGAATGAGAAACCCCTCCAGGTGTCCACATATAGAAACTCTACAAAAACTGACCCTTTCAGGCTACAAACCTTTGTAGTGGACATGCAGAAGCTGGCTATTAAACATTTTTTGGAGGTTAGCAGTTTTCATGTAGATTGGCTTGTAGAGGTATGAGTTTTGCGGAAATTTTCTGGGAAATTTTGCGCTGCAGGTTCAGGTAATTTGCATTGGAAATTTTTCTGATTACCTAGAGAGAGTGGTTCAATTTGGCATGTTTATTTCAGTAATAGTGTTGTGTGTTTTTTTGTTTTGTTTTGTTTTGGTTATTTTAACCTGCTTAATATTGTATTTGCATTTGGCATCCATTCATGGTAGCTAATGAATTTAGGGAATAAAAATGTTTCCTCAGGAAAATAAAACACCAGGAAACCTTCCACCCCAACACCATTGCTGACTTGAAAGATTTTAGGGGGGATCTGAGCAGGTAAAAGTATTGTCTTAGGTGGGCCATTGCCCAGAGCTTGCTCTAAAGCAGGGGTAGGTAATCTAAGGCCCCGGGGGCCGGATGCGGCCCAATCACCTTCTCAATCCAGTCCACGGACAGTCCGGGAATCAGCGTGTTTTCACATGAGTAGAATGTGTCCTTTGATTTAAAAGGCATCTCTGGGTTATTTGTGGGGCCTGCCTGGTGTTTTGACATGAGCAGAATGTGTGCTTTTATTTAAAATGCATCTCTGGGTTATTTGTGGAGCATAGGAATTCGTTCATTATTTTTTTCCAAAATATAGTCTGGCCCACCACATGGTCTGAGGAATGGTGGACCGGCCCACGGCTGAAAAAGGTTGCTGACCCTTCTTCTAAAGCACAGGCTCTGTTATGTTGATCCTAGCATCGTTTAGGGCAGTGGTCTTCAACCTTTTCAGGCCACCTTTTGCTCAAACATGCACCTGGAGATACACTTTTTAATTTTACACCATAGATCTGAACAGTGGTGGTACTGCTGCTCCAACCCACCTTAGATCAGGCCTTGACTCACCACATGCAGAGCAGTGGTCTACGTGGATGTCCTTATGGAGGACTGGTGCTGCCCACTGGAGCAACCAACTACAAACTGTGCATTGAGGAGGGGAACCCCCATTTTATTTGCTGCTAGTTCACTTGGATTAGTGGGATTGTCTTGTGGGGAGGGAGTCCCCAAATAATGATGGTCATTCATTCTGAATCCCCATACCTCTTTCCTGCTTCTGTTGCTCATCTGGAGTGACCTAGGGATGTGTGTGCAGGATGTGGTTTGATCTGTTCATCTACACCCCATGGGTGAGGGGAACCGTGGTCCAGAACGTCTAGACTGTGCCCGGTTAGCTCCCCAGTTCTGCACTTCCTTTTGAGTCTTCGCTGTTGGGTCATTCTGCAGCCTCTAAGCAGTCCTTGGCCTCTGTGTTGCCAGCCTCTTTCCCAACCCCTGAGGCTGCCTTAGTTTTGGAAGTTTTAGAATGTAGAGGGACAGGAATATTCCTTGAGAAACGAAGCCACCTCAGTGATGTTGGGCAGAGGATTTTCCGCAGGAAATCTTCTTTTGTTATCGCTAAAAATCTTCCTTTCTTTCGAAACACAGTACTTCATTCAATTATTGCATAAAATTGTGAATCTGTAACAGGTATCGGTCAGACCTGGCAGTTGGAATTTATACGTTCTCACAGCCTTGTCACTAGGCTGTGGAATTATTTATCAGTCTCCTGAGAGGCTGGTGGGCTAGTTAGAATGGCAACCAAATGGACAAAGGATGGAGCAGTCACTCTGTCTGTCCTCCACTGGTCACCTCTGTGCATCCTAGGTGCTTGCCCCTTGACACTGCTTGAGAAGTTATATGTAGGGATTCATTACCTGTCAAATTTTATCCCGAGAGAGTTTTAAAAGTGATGCCTGAAACAATGTACAGAGTTTATCGTCTCACCTGTGTTCAGTGCCTCCATTTTAAAAATAGCAACCACCTAGAAGTATAGGCAGTTCAGCTACCATGCCTTAAATTATCTACGAATATTCTAATGAGGGAATTTCCAAGTAAATCTCTGAATTTGCCCATAATTTAAACCACATCTCTTTTTCCCCCTTGTATTTTTATTGGGTATTTCATTGCTCTTTTTTCCTTCCTTCCTTAATCAAAATGAACACGGCATCCTTTTATATATATATATATATTTGCTTTGTTTGCCAAATAAACATGCAAGATCAGATATTGATCTGTATTAGGCAGTGGAAAACATTTTCTGGAAAACCCACATCGCCAGCCACTAGGGCACTGCTGTGTGTGTGTTTGGAGCAGGGATAGCTCAGTCAGTAGAGCACGAGACTCTTAATTTCAGGATGATGGGTTCCAACCCCATATTGGGCAGAAGATTCCTGCATTGTGGGGGGTTGAACCAGATGACCTTTGTGGTCCCTTCCAGCTCTACAATTCTATGATTATAGGCCTCTCTGCCAATAGATAAGCAGGTCACAATATACTGGCATTCCTCTGTTGCAGTCTCCCTGAAGACCCACTACCGCTGTGATAAACATGCAATTCGTGTGCCCTGACTGGGCAATTGGGGAGGACAGAATGGGCAATATTAATTGGGACTGCCCTGAATTTGCAAAGATAAAGCCTGGCTGGTTGTTCTGCGAGCAACTTGAGAAAACTCTATAAACGTGCATTTCAGGTTCTGTTCTCCCCCTCCCCCCTTCCCATTAAATAAATGGTATTCTGGGTATGAGAAATATGGGAAATAATTGCTTCATCGGAAGAGAGTTGGGGTATTCTTTGGAAGCGTTTGTCAGAAGTCCCCATACGTGCAGGAGGAGAATTTCTGAACTCACGTAAACATATCCGTGAGTTGCTGGCTCTGTTTTCCAGAGGGGAAGTCAGCTGGCAGCCATAACTAGGAGTGGATGTTGTCTAATCCAGGATCTTTGCAGACAACTTGCTGCATGCAGGCAGGAGGGTGTTTCTCGGTTGACCAGGGGAGAATAGAAGGCCAGGCTCCTCCTACTATTGATATACCGGGCCTGGGCAAGTCAGAGAGCTCGTAACTGGCTGCCAATCACAAGGCTGTTTGCATCTGTGCCTGAAGAAGGGACTGAGCACAACTCCTTTCTGAGGCCTGAACTTTAGGAGAGGCGCTTGTCTTGCAGCAGTTGAAACCAGTGGCCAGTGGTGTCGACTTTCCGGAAATTTCTGAATTGGGAAAATTTTCCCTGTGCAACTTAGGGTGATTCGAGTTGGGTAATCGAGCGGCAGGGGAAATTTCCCAGTTTGTGAAGGGAGATGTCCCAGTGCCCTAGAATGACCCAATTTAACACGTTTGTTTTCTTTGTGTTTAGTAAATGAAGCAACAAAGTTGCGAGCTGCCAAGTTTGCTTAATATTTTATTTGTAATCGACATCCATCCGCTGTTGCTAATGAACATAAGAAACTGATTTTTCTGTGGGAAAACAAGCAGTGGAAAAAATATATAAAATGTTCAACCACACATTACTGTTGGTTATGCAGAGTGGTGGTGAACACCAGTTTAAGGTGGCTCATAGATTTCCTGTTGGCTTGAGCCCTCTGCACATCTTAAATCCTGCAGATAAGGGCTGCGAGGCTTGCTCCCGTGGCATGCAGCTCCCCTCCCCCATCCTGCCCCAATCCACACAATATTTGTGGGTGTCTGAGGCAAAAAAATAAATCGCTTTTTGTGTTTGCCTTATTATTAATTTAGTAAAGTTATATTCCGCCCTTCCACCCAAAGGAGTTCAGGTTGGCAATTGTTGCTGTTGTTTAGTCATTTAGTCGTGTCCGCCTCTTTGTGACCCCATGGACCAGAGCACACCAGGCTCTCCTGTCTTCCACTGCCTCCCGCAGTTTGGTCAAACTCATGTTAACAGCTTCAAGAACACTGTCCAGGCATCTCGTCCTCTGTCGTTCCCTTCTCCTTGTGCCCTCCACATCAGGGTCTTTTCCAGGGAGTCTTCTCTTCTCATGAGGTGGCTAAAGTATTGGAGCCTCAGCTTCAGGATCTGTCCTTCCAGTGAGCACTCAGGGCTAATTTCCTTCAGAATGGACAGGTTTGATCTTCTTGCAGTCCATGGGACTCTCAAGAGTCTCCTCCAGCAGCAGAATTCAAAAGCATCCAGTCTTTGGCAATCAGCCTTCTTTATGGTCCAGCTCTCACAATATCAGTGCATTCTAAAAACAGTTTAGCAATCGCATTATCTCAGCCAAGGTTGCCAGGAACAGTACCTTGCAGCCCTTGAATGCCTTCATAAAGAGGAATGTTTATAAATTCCTCTTGAAAGTCTAAGGGCATTCCACAAACTGGGAGGTGCCAAAGAGAAGGCCCTGTCAACCGGGCAGCCCCCAGTGGCGGCATCACCTGCAAGGTTGCTCACCTGCTGATCGTAGCGTCTCAGATGGGGAAGGTGCTTTATTTAGGAGCCTCGGTCCCAAGCCATTCTATGAATTTCGGAGCCTTGTTGGTGCAGGTTTCTCGGATCCAGGAAAACCACCATGCCAAGCTCAACGTGGGAAGGCTTCCTCTCCGCGGGTAGCCCACGTGGGCTGGGGGGGGCGGGGAGCAAATCCCTCTTTAGGTATATTATGAGACCTACTCTGAACCCATGAGCTTGAAAATTTGATGTTGTGGCCTACTAATTGCTTCAGATTATTCAGTTTATGGTGACTCTCCGGGGAGGGAAGTGGGTTAAAGGGGTGACAGAGAAGATATTGTCTCGTAAAGTTTTGATTCTGGCTAATTAGATTTGTAAGTATTTTTCAGCCCCCACTGTAGATAGAAATGGCTTTTTCATGCAGGTTGCTTTGTGATTTTGGTAACGGCTAACTCAAAAGATTCTTCAGAATTTTGTCATTTTAGTAAAGATGTCTCTGTTAACTCTTAGACGGGTGACTTGTGGTTCTCTGGTTCTTAAACATTCTGAGCTGCCTCAGGAGTTTTTGGTGAGGATGCAATTGCTATCAAATGCTTTGTGTTGCGTGGTGCCTCTTGTTTTCCTAGATGGAGTAGGGAGAGGACTTGTGTGTGTGTTGCACTTGTGTCCTCAGGCTTGTGGGCTTCCCTTGGGCATCTGGTTAGTCACTGTGTTTGACTGGGTGGGCCTGTGGTTTGATCCAGAACTGCTCTTACATGTAGAAACTTCTAGCCTATGTTTGGCCACTTGGTGACAGATTGAATCAGAGAACTAGGAGGAGAGGGAAGCTAAGATTTCAAGCCTGGGATTCGTAGGGGTGGATGGGAAGAGATGCTGAACGCTTTGCCTGTAAGAAAACTGAAAGCACTCCGTTCAAAAGCTTGAAAAAGCCACTTCCGAGTGATCTGACAAGGAAGAGGCAAGGATTTATTGTAGATGACTAGTCTCCTAGGCCTATTAAGGTGGGTGAGTGTAAGGTTTTATTTTTAGTAATTGTCTGCCAGGATGCCATTTTTTCCCTTGCAACAACAAAAGCTGGGGTTCTCCCTCTCCACCCCCACTTTAAATTGCAGCCTCAATCCCAGCATTTGAGCAAAAATTATTTTTTAAGCACCAGGCTATGCCACAAATACTCAGGATTCTGCCCCTCCAGCCACTTGGCGGTGGCCTGATCTTGATCTTTAAAAATCTTTCTCTTCTCACATCCCACAACTGCCTTTCTAAACAAATACATTGAGATAAGATTATAATAGTGGACTTCCCACTTTACATTCTTAAGCCAGTAGGTTACCCCAGCTCTTTTTGGGTTAACAAAGTACCTGGTTGTGGCTTGGAACTGTGATAGGGCATGAAAATCTTTAAAAAGCTGGTCTCTTATTCTGAGGACGAACAGCAGCCAAGCTACAGGTTACAATCAGCACAGTTTTTAGCCCCCCTTTCTTCTGAAGATGAAGCAGTTTTCAGACGCAAATTGGAAGTGTGTTCTCTTTCTAGCTTTTGTTTTTTTAAGGTGGGGTGCTCAAAACCCAGAAGATTAAAATGGTTTAATTGGCTGTCAGCCTTCCTTTGTGCCTGCCTGTGCAATGGAAAGATGGTGATCCAACCCGAGTCATAGTCAGAACAACCATACCAGGCCTCAGAACCACTTTCACGGGCCGTGCTAGATTCCCCCCCCCAAAAAAAACCCCCATAGCTATTGTGCTACTGGTGTGTGCAAAATGCTTCCCCCCCACCCATCACACGCGTAGACACACACACATACACACACACACACTAGGTTCACCATGGTAACGGTCTGATTTAGGAATAAAATTCAGCTTTTCTCCTCCATAAAATGTTCCTTTCGTCAAGGGGAAGGAGTGAGAGATGGGATGGCAGCTCCTCCTCTTCACAGGCTGGGGAAACAAAGCGGCAGCAGTTTAATATTCCCCCCTCCCAAAGTAATATGCAGTGAGGCGTTGCTAGAAGTTGAATGTGGAAGCAAACTGCTTGCTGTCGGTCGTAACGCAGCGCTGGCTCTGCTCCCTTTGTGATGCTCCCACGCTGACTGCCTCGTCGTCTTCTTGTGTCCCTTTCACCCTGCCCCACCTATTTACTCTCCAGGCACGGGAGAGAGCGGGAAGAGCACGTTCATTAAACAGATGCGGATAATCCATGGCTCGGGCTACTCCGAGGAGGACAAGAAGGGTTTCACCAAGCTGGTGTACCAGAACATCTTCACTGCCATGCAGTCGATGATCAGGGCCATGGAGACCTTGAAGATCCTGTACAAGTATGAACAGAACAAGGTGAACCGATGCAGCTCCCATTCCTGCATCCCAGCCTATACACAGCCTCCACCCCTGTTGTCTCGTTGTTGGTTGTCTGTAGTGGCATGTATGCTGCTCAGGATTCCCTGAAGGGCTTGCATCAACCCCCCTGGGGTATCGAATGTTCAGGGACCTGCATCACACCTGTAGCAACCAGAATAGTTCATGCGCTGTGTGTGCTTATAATTATTATTATTATTGTTGTTGTTATTATTACAGTCAAACCTTTGTTGTCGAACGTAATCCGTTCCGGAAGCCCGTTCGGCTTCCAAAAGGTTTGACAACCGAGCCGTGGCTTCCAGTTGGCTGCAGGAACTTCCTGTACACAAGCAGAAGCCACATCGGATGTTCGCCTTCTGAAAAACATTTGAAAACCGGGACATTTTCTTCTGGGTCTTCGGCATTTGGGAGCTGACATGTTCCAAAATGGAGGCGTTTGGGAACCAAGGTTTGGCTATATTATTAACAGGGACATGGGTGGTGCTGTGGTCTAAACCACTGAGCCTCTTGGGCTTGCTGATCGGAAGGTCGGCGGTTTGAATCCCCGCGACGGGCTGAGCTCCTGTTGTTCTGTCCCAGCTCCTGCCAAGCTAGCAGTTCAAAAGCACACCAGCGCAAGTAGAGAAATAGGTACCGCTGCAGCAGGAAGGTAAATGGCGTTTCTGTGCGCTCTGGTTTCCGTCACAGTGTCCCGTTGCGCCAGAAGCAGTTTAGTCCTGCTGGCCACATGACCCAGAAGCTGTCTGTGGACAAACACCGGCTCCCTCAGCCTGAAAGCGAGATGAGCGCCGCAACCCCATAGTCACCTTGGACTGAACTTAACCGTCCAGGGGTCCTTTACCTTTTTACCTATTATTATTATTATTATTAATATCCTACCTTTCCCCCAAGGAGCTCAAGGTGCTATGTATGGTTCTCTCTCTCTCCATTTCTCCACAACAGCCCTGTGAGGTAGGTTAGTCTGAGAGACATTGGCCACATCCAGTAAGCTCCATGACTGAGGGGATTAGAACCCCTGTCTCTCACCAGTCTCCTTTACCCTGTGCCTGGTGGGGCACCAACACAGCACATTATTGTATAGTGGGATGGTCAGGGGCAGGGTCGGAGGCTTTCCTGGTAACAGTGTTGTTGTTGACGTAGTAATTCAATTAATGATTATTTGCTGTACCTGTATTTACTCGAGTCTAATGCACACCTCTATTATTATTTTTTTGCCAAATTACGTTGCGAAGATTATGGTGCGCATTACATTCAAATAAATACTGTACGGTACTCCCAGGCGCAGATTGGCTCCTCCCAGGCCAGGTGCGACCTCCAGGCCGGCCATCTTGCAGGGAGGGCTTGCCTCCTATTTTACTAGCTTCACGGCTGGCGCTCTCAGGCTGCCCAAACTCAGACGTCTGCCCCAAACGCGGCCAAGCGCCTTGCCTTGCAGCGGAGCCCAAGGCACCAGCGGGCGGGCAGGCAAGCTACGTTGAGGCTGCAGGGGGCGGGCAGAACCTAGCAGTGCAGTGGTGCCCCAGCCCAGCCGGGTGAGCGGAGCGGCACGCCCCGGCCCATTGGTCAAAGGAGAGAGGTCAGTAGGGCTGGGCGATATTTGCTCGTAGTGTCTAATGCATGCTCCTTTTTTTGCCAAATTGCATTGCAAAAATTAGGGCGCATGTTAGACTTGTGTAAATACAGTACATACTGGTCTTCATTTAAAAACAAGACAAAACCCAAAGCTGTGGTCTTGTTGTTAAGAAGATGGTACATTTACTTGCTTTGTGCAGGCAGTGCCGGAATGGATTTGTAGCAGCCGGGACTGGATCTCCAGCTAAGGAGCAGTAGGGGTGGTGGTGGAATGGGATACATGCTAGGCAGGGAGGAGGGTCCTCAGGGTCAGCCTCTTTCAAGCCCCTCTTGCTTTCTCCTCTGCGCCATGCTGCAGGCCAACGCGCTCCTGATCCGGGAAGTGGACGTAGAAAAGGTCTCGTCCTTTGAGCAGCCCTACATAAGTGCAATTAAGACGTTGTGGAACGACCCGGGAATCCAGGAGTGTTACGACCGGCGGCGAGAATACCAGCTCTCCGACTCTGCTAAATAGTAAGAGCTCGCCGTCCTCTCTGTACGGCTCTCAGCACGGTTGCTGCTACACAGCGTCATTTTGGGTCGCTGGGCTCCCCTCCCTAAATGAAATTGTGCCTCTGACAGTTGGTGGGGGGTGGATGGGGGCCAGGAGGAAAGAAAGTAACTTCGTGTTTTAGTTGTTGCCATCACACTGCTCCAAGGAGGAAGGGGTGGTGGTTGTAGTTCTTGCTACTGGTTGTGGGGGCGGGGGGGTGGACTTTAGAAATCCATTTTATGTGGCTTTAATTGATTTAGCACTGTTAGTTGCCTTGCAGTCTCTTTAGACACGTGCTATAAATGAAGTTTAATGAGTATTTTCTTTTCGGTCCTGCCCTCCCTGAGCTTTCAGAATGGCGAAGCTACAAGGTGGAAATCTCAGGTAGTGGGAATAACCTGAAGTAACAAGCCGCTTAGTTGCTTTGTAGTCTTCTCCAGGGCGGTAAACATTAGAGGAAGGTGGCCTGGAATTGTGGTGTTGATGTTTAGATATAGATGCAATAGTGTTGTAGAAGCTGCAGCGTCTAATAGTTTTAAGTTTGTGGGGAAGATGGCCATGGAAACTGGAGAACTAAACTTTATGGGAGTAGTGCAGTATTGCTCAGAAACTCTTATTGCTCCAAATCTGCCTCCTGCCCAACGCTTGATCCGGTGGAAGAGGGGGGCTGGCAGCTCAGTTTAGTCTTCCAGAGCCTTCCCACCCCCCACGATTATAAGCAGAGGTTTAACGTGAGCATCCTCAAAATCATGCACCTTGGCTGCTTGCCCCATCCAGCCAAGGCGTAATAAAATGGGGTGAGGTGCTGTGCCACCGTTTTGCTCTTCACAGTCGGAAGGAAGAATGGTGGTGCCAGCTTATAGGAGAATTTAATTCAGAATTATGGACCACCCCACCCCCCGGGCAGGAGGGAGGGGTCTGAACTGTTTCCGTAGCCTTTGGCTTGCTTCCTTTGTGGCTCATTCTTCCTTCCCCGCAAATATGCTGTAAGGACCAGGGACGTAGAAAAGCGTTCCTTTAGGGCATGGCAAGGGTAGACTCTAAGAGTCCTGGGAGCGTTAGGACCCATGAGAAGGAAGATTGCTCTGCAGGCGTGAAGCTGCACGCTTAGAAACGCACTGTATTTTTCGCTCTATAAGACGCACCAGATCATAAGACGCACCTAGTTTTTGGAGGAGGAAAACAAGAAAAAAAATATTCACTGTGCAGCAAAAGCAGCAATCCCTCTTGTTGTTCTGGCTTCTGGGATAGCTGCACAGCCTGCATTCGCTCCACAAGACGGACACACATTTGCCCTTACTTTTTAGGAGGGAAAAAGTGAGTCTTACAGAGCAAAAAATACGGTAATACTATTAGAGGCAAGGTAATGTCGGAAAAGCGGGTGGTGGGCTTTGTTGAATCTCGAGGGCTGAACAGGATTCCTGAGGATTTTGCATGCAGCTCTTCCTCCCCCCTGGGGGAACCCCCCCCCCAGGAGTGGAATAATTGAGGTTCCATACTCAAAATGCTGAGGCTCTCGGGGCAGGAGCGCTATACATGGCAAGCAAACTCAGGCCACCTTCATCTTTCCCCCCTCCCTCCTTTTTCCCCTGCACGTCCTCCTTGCAGCTACCTTACCGACGTGGATCGTATCGCCCTGCCAGGGTACCTCCCAACCCAGCAAGATGTCCTGCGGGTCAGAGTCCCGACCACTGGGATCATAGAATACCCCTTTGACTTAGAGAACATTATCTTCAGGTAACTTCCAGTGGCTTTTTTCTTTCTTTCTTTCCTCGGAGCGTTTTTACGTTTCACATACTCCCCCCCCCCCCCAAAGCTGCTTCCATTTAAAATGAAAGCCCGGCTCAGTTAAGGCATTGAGTTAGCGGGCTTCTGGAAAGTCGGTCACACGGCTGCCGCTTCCGACCCTTTCTTCCCTCTTCTGAGTCAACAAGTCGTGCTGTTGGCAGGAGCAAAGGCAGGAGAGGGTTTTCCCCCGTGAAGAGACGGTGTGGCCTGCGTCTTTGAAGGCTCTCCACAAACACGGAGCCACCGCCACAACCCATCTGTAGCGGTACAGTCCCAAGGACATAGGAAAAGCCCTGCAGCTGGGTGAGGCCAGAGACCCATCTGTTTGAAGATCCAGTTCTGCAGTCGGAAGCCTGCAAACAGCGAGTTCCCACTTTAGTCCTGCAGCAGCTGGTATTCCGAGACACGCCTGCCTCTAAAAGCAGCCCTTAACATGTGGAATGCCCTTCCTCCTGATATCAGGTGGACAGCAACTGTTGGCCATCGTCCACCCAATCAATTGAAGCCTCTTTTTCTAGGCCAGAGCTTTCCAAACTTTAACTGTTGGAGTCACGCTTTTTAGACATGCATCATTTCATGACACAGTGATTAGGTTTTACAGTGGTACCTCGGGTTAAGTACTTAATTCGTTCCGGAGGTCTGTTCTTAACCTGAAATTGTTCTTAACCTGAAGCACCACTTTGGCTAATGGGGCCTCCTGCTGCCGCCACGCCGCCAGAGCCCGATTTCTGTTCTTATCCTGAAGCAAAGTTCTTAACCTGAAGCACTATTTCTGGGTTAGCGGAGTATGTAACCTGAAGTGTATGTAACCTGAAGCATATGTAACCCGAGGTACCACTGTACTAGCAAACCAGAGGTTGAACTAAACCCTTTCCAGCACGGGGAGCGTTTGCGCGACACACCTAACGGACGCAGTAGCGTGTCACAACACAGAGTTTGGAAAGTTCTGGTCTAGGCTTTTCCCTGACCACTAATACTGATAGTCCCTGTTGCCTGTGGTTAATGGGGTGCTAATAAGTTTCATAAAATTTATACACCTCTTGATTTTATTTACTGCTTGATTTGTATAGTACTTCAAAGCTGTTTGCCAAAACAAAAAAATTGTTAATATAATAAATAGATGATAATTTAAGACTTTTAAACAGTTCAAAACTAAACTGAAAACAGATGATAACTCTCCACAACATCTGGGTAGGCTTGTCTAAGCAAAAATGAATTTAGCAGGCACTGAAAAAGAGTGAAGTGGAAGTTCCTGGTGCCAATAGGCAGGGAGTTCCAGAGGGCAGGTACTTGGAAGTGCCCATGACAGTTCTCCTCATGGAGAACCGATTCCTGCAGAAAACAGGCTTGAAGCCACCGCCCTGCAGCTGGGAGGCAGTGAGGTCGAGCGCTGCTGATTGGTGGTGCCTCAGAGCACTGTTCAGCGCTCCTCAGAAACCCTGCGTGGTGCATTGAAGTCCCAACGAGCATCACTTGATGTCATGGTTTTGTCGGGCATTGCTGGGTTCTTCCTCGTGCCCACATGTCCAGTTTGGCCCGTGAGGGGTAGGGGAGATGTCTTCCAAAGGGGGGGGGGGAGCAAACAAACCTCAGACTTGTTCCTGCTCAGTCTTTTCTCTCTTCCCTCCAACCCAAAAGCAAGTATAAAATGGCGTATTGCGTTTTTAACTTAATGGACTGGAAATCTCTCTGTGTGTGTTAAAGAAGACCTGCCCTTTTTCTCCCTTTCAGAATGGTGGATGTTGGGGGTCAGAGGTCAGAACGGAGGAAATGGATACACTGCTTTGAAAACGTAACCTCCATCATGTTCCTAGTAGCTCTTAGTGAATATGACCAAGTTCTGGTGGAGTCCGATAACGAGGTAAGCACAACCCCTCGCAGCACGTAAGGGGTGGCGTGTGGCCGTTGGGTGGTCCCAGCAACGGCAGAAATGTGCATTTGCAGATTCTGGAACTATTTCTAAAATGTTTGGGGTTGTCGGCCACTCGTGTGCTGTGGGCCAGGACTTACCTGTCTGTTTCCCAACAGCCTAAAGTAGCAGTAAGCCAAATTCCTCACCCTGGGTGGCTAGACATTTCGGAAAGTGATCTGCTTGAGGAAGGGGAGTGTCTGTGCACCAGCTCTGAACTTGTTCTCCAGGGAGGAGTCCAGCTTCCCCCCACCCCCCAAAATGCTATACATGTCCCTCAAAACTTGCAAAGAGGGGGTGCCTCAGAGGGTGGCGTGCTCTTGCTTGGCAAGTGGTTCCTCCAGACCAGGGGTCTGCAACCCACGGCTCCGGAGCCGCATGTGGCTCTTTTACACCTTTGCCGCGGCTCCGGGGTGGCTACTAGCGAGGGGAGGAGGCGCATTGTGCGCCCCGACACTCCCCACTGTGGTGGGCGCTGTATTGGCTGTGACGTCGCATGGGGGCGGTGCGTGCGTTAGTCATGCACCGTTCCGACGTCACCTTCCCGCCTGCCCGCTACATTGTAAGGGGCATGTACGCTGGTCACTGTTTTGAAGGGGAGTGAAGAACACACACACACAAAAAGGTAACTTGTTCATTTAATGTTTATTTCTATGAGGAGGAGTAATTCTGAGGGGTCAAACAAAGAAATAATTTTAAAAAGTGACAAAAAAGTTATTTTTATAATGACGAGTTTTGCGGCTCCCAGGTTTTTTTTTCTTCGGAAACGGGTCCATGTGGCTCCTTTTGTCTTAAAGGTTGCAGACCCCTGCTCCAGACTGAAAATGGCACCCCTCCCGTCCAAAATGAAAGGGCATCTCGGAGTTCTCCGTGGTGCCAGATGTCTGTGACAACCTCTCATTTTGTGCTAGGAGCAGCAGCGACGACGGCTCGTTTCCCATCTGTGCAGGGAGGGGCACGAGCAGTAATAAAACGTTGGGTGTGGGCCAGGGGTGGCCACTGGGCCTCCCGACTTGACCATCTGTGCCCCACAGGAGGGGCAGGAAAGGCTTTCCCTGCATTCGTGTTAAGCTCCGAGGGTCCTGGAAGGGTGCAGGATTTCTCTAAGACGGAAGTCGCATCAAACTGTCGGTGGCTCTTCCCTCTTCTCCCCCCCCCCAGCCTTGCCGTACACGCTCCTTGCACATGAAAGGGTGAGGGACCAGCCCTGTGTACACACTCGTAACACAGCTTTGGCAGCCAGGCATGGCTCGAGCCCTCCTGGCGCTTGCCTGACACCAGTTGTTTCTGCCTTGGTTTTCTCGCACTGCTTAAAAGTTTCCTTTTCCTTTTATTGGAAAAAAAAGTGGGGTGAAACCTGGCTGGTACTGGTGGGTGGATTGATGAGGGCAATGGATCCGACAGAGGGCAATGTCCACGTGAACAGATCTGCAAGTCGCAAGTAATGCTACTTAGGAAAGCTCTGTTAGGTTACCTTTACTAACGCATCACAGTAGGCTTTTTCATTTCTTATTCAGTTTGCCCCGGGCTAAAGACTTTGGGGGGCGCGGGTGGCGCTGTGGTCTAAACCCCAGAGCCTAGGGCTTGCTGATCAGAAGGTCGGCAGTTCGAATCCCCGCGACGGGGTGAGCTCCCGTTCCTCGGATCTCTGCTCCTGCCCACCTAGCAGTTCGAAAGCACGTCAAAGTGCAAGTAGATAAATAGGTACCGCTCTGGCGGGAAGGTAAACGGCGTTTCCGTGCGCTGCTCTGGTTCGCCAGAAGCGGCTTAGTCCTGCTGGCCACATGACCTGGAAGCTGTACGCCGGCTCCCTCGGCCAATAAAGCGAGATGAGCGCCGCAACCCCAGAATCAGCCACGACTGGACCTAATGGTCAGGGGTCCCTTTACCTTTTAAGACTTTGGGAGTGAAGAAAACCTGACTGCCGATGGACCGCTCTATCAGAACAGCTGCTTTAAAGCATACACCGCAGTGGCCTAGATGTAACTGCGGCAGGAAGCCTCCATCTCCCCCTGCATCCCTGTTAAAAGGAGTTTTTTAATTGCGGGGTGTTTTTGAAAGGGGACCACGTGGCACAGTTGCCCGCTCTTCTGTGCGGCCATTGCTCTCGAGTTGGGGGTCAGCAGAAGCCGCTGGTGGCGCCAGCTGCCCACCCCATCCACTGCTGGGTGATTTGCAGAAGAGCTGCGAGGGTTCTTGACTTCCAGCTGTGTTTATCAATGGCGGGAACAAAAAACTGTCCCGGCCTCCTCTCGGTTGGACTGATGAAATGAAGAAAGCTGTGGGAGCGAGGGCGAGAGGAGAAGGACCCGGGAGTGTGAAAGGACTGTGTGCTCAGTTCTTGTGCTGAAAGGAAATTGTTAGTCTGAGTGTGCTTGCTGTTCCTGGACTCTACTCCCCTGCCAAGACACTATTTTGCACCAGGTTCCTGTTGGTGTGTCTCTGGAACCTGCTAAAATAGCTTCCGCAAGGCTGAAATGTGCCCGACAGCGCTTTTGAGTTGGTTCTCTCTCTCCCTCCTTCCTCCCCACTCCCTCTAGTAGCCCGTAGACTCGTCTGCAGACTGTCAGAAACTGGATGAAATTATGCGCACCCCTGGGGGAAACTAGATTTCGCCTGGGTCAGAGGAAATGGGGCTACTGTTCCTTCCAAATTTAGCATGCCTTCTAAAATCGTTCCCCTGACAGAGAGCAGGGTGAGGTGGAAGGAGTCCGCTTTTGGGGGTGGGGAGTTTGCTTTTTGAAACCTTGCTGGCATACTTAGTTGCCTTGGCAGGTTTGGTTGTATCGCAGGGCCTGAATTTGAGAAATAAATAGCACTCTCCACTTTCTGCGGCAGTTGTTAGCCCTTTACCAAGGTTGTTTTAGCTCTCTCTGCGTTCAGCCGTTTGGCAGAAGCATGTTCTGCTCTCTGCTGGTCCTGGATTTCCAAATCTGTATTTAGACCAGATTATTTGACTCTCATGTTTTTAATTTGCGATTCAGCTTTACTGTGCATCACCCCAGAGAGGGAACGTTTTGCGGGGGTGGCGGGGTGACAATAAAAATATCTCCTACTCACCGTGTGGGGTGGAAAATCTCCCATTCCTTAAGTTTTCATCTGTCAAAATGAATGGGTGCTAATTGCAGGTACTGTGTTAGGTAAGCTTGGTGGTTTCAAAGCTCTTCGTTTCGTTGACTAAATGCACGTAAAATAAATGGACTCACTGAGATCCCGTTGGAAAATTTTCTGGTGCAAACTGGAAAAAAATTAATTGAAATACTGCGCACGTTTTCCAATTTGAAATTTTCCAGGCAACCCACAAAGCTGCATTTTCTCTCTCAATTAACTAGGGCAGGGGTGGGAACGCATGGCCTTTAGGATGCTAGCAATCCCCAGCAGCCTAGAGGGGTCAGGATTGATGGGAATTGTAGTCCTTCAACACTGGCTCCCCTTCCCTGACCTGCGTGAGATTGCACAACTCCTTATTTGCTAAACGTTACTGGCATACAGTGGTACCTCGGGTTACATACGCTTCAGGTTACATACGCTTCAGGTTACAGACTCCACTAACCCAGAAATAGTGCTTCAGGTTAAGAACTTTGCTTCAGGATGAGAACAGCAATCATGCAGCGGCAGCAGGAGGCCCCATTAGCGAAAGTGGTGCTTCAGGTTAAGAACGGTTTCAGGTTAAGAACGGACCTCCGGAACGAATTAAGTACTTAACCCGAGGTACCACTGTAGTTTGAAAGTAGTTACAGGTGAAATCTCGGGCACAGGTGAAAATGTGGCGATAACAGAAAAGGCAAGCAGCTGGGCATTGGCTATCTCCTGTTTGCCACGTTAAGCCAGATAAGGTTTTAATATGATTTTGGGCAAGATCTTTGTACTCAGCCCTTGTTTCTTCATTGTCCTGGTGGTACCAGTGGCCCATAGCTGAGGGCGCCTGGTGTAAAAGTATGCCTATTCTCTCTACCGCTTTAACAACACACACACACACACACACCACCGGTGATGCATTTTATCTCTTACCTTGTTGCAACCGTGACACCTCGAACCCCTCTTTTTCTCCTGGCAGAACCGTATGGAGGAGAGCAAAGCCCTTTTCAGGACCATCATCACCTATCCCTGGTTCCAGAACTCCTCCGTCATCCTTTTCCTCAACAAGAAGGATCTGTTGGAAGACAAGATAATGTACTCTCATCTCGTGGATTATTTCCCAGAGTTTGATGGTAAGAAACATTTATTTTTTAAAAAACAACACCCCGCTCTTACCAGTCTCTCTAAAACAGACTTGAAGTTACAAGAAAATAGATTCTGACTTAAACATCAGGAAGAACGTTCTGACAGCGAGAGCCGTTCGGCAGTGGAACGGACTCCCTCGGGAGGTTGTGGACTCTCCTTCCTTGGAGGTTTTCAAGCAGAGGTTGGACGGCCATCTGTCTTGGCTGCTTCAGTTGCAATTCCTGCACTGCAGGGGGTTGGACTGGATGACCCTTGGGTATCCTTTCCAATTCTGATTCAGGTGTTTTGGGTCACAGCTCCCATCTGTCCCAGCCAGTGCTGTTTAGGGCCGATGGGAGTTGTGATCCAAAACATCTAGATCAGTTTTCTCAACCTGTGGGTCCCCAGATGTTGTTGAACTACACATCCCATCACCCCTAGCTAGCAAGGCCAGAGCTCAGGGACGATGGGAGTTGTAGTCCAACAACATCTGGGGACCCACAGGTTGAGAACCGCTGATCTAGATGGTATTAAAGTGGGGAAGGAGAACTGGAGAGAACGCCAATACAGTGGTACCTCGGGTTACAGACGCTTCAGGTTACAGACTCCGCTAACCCAGAAATAGTGCTTCAGGTTAAGAACTTTGCTTCAGGATGAGAACAGAAATCGTGTTCCGGCGGCAGCAGGAGGCCCCATTAGCTGAAGTGGTGCTTCAGTTTAAGAACAGTTTCATGTTAAGAACGGACCTCCGGAACGAATTAAGTAGTTAACCCGAGGTACCACTGTATATATCACATCTGGCAACCACTGGGCCCCTTTGGTTTCAGACAGTAGGTAGCCTCCTTGGCTTTTATTATTTATACCCTGCCCATCTGGCTGGGTTTCCCCAGCCACTCTGGTTGGCTCACAGCAAATCTAAAAACATCCAACTGTTAAAAACCTCCCGATACAGGGCTGCCTTCAGATGTCTTCTAAAAGGTGCGTAATTCTTTATCTCCTTGACATCTGAAGGGAGGGCTTTCCACAGGGAGAGGGGCCACCATAATAAGTAGCAGTAACAATGAAGTCGTGCAACGACCATGAAAACAATTTACACAGTCCCATCAACTGCAACACCACTCGAGAGAGACGGAGAGAGAATTCAGATATAAGCCCCTTGAAAGAAACAAATAGGTCTTTCTAAGGCCTCCAAAATGCAGGTAGCGCTGTGGGTTAAACCACAGAGCCTAGGACTTGCCAATCAGAAGGTCGGCAGTTCGAATCCCCGCGATGGGGTGAGCTCCCGTTGCTCGGTCCCTGCTCCTGCCAACCTAGCCGTTCGAAAGCACGTCCAAGGGCAAGTAGAAAAATAGGTACCCCTCCGGCGGGAAGGTAAACGGCATTTCCGTGCGCTGCTCTGGTTCGCCAGAAGCGGCTTAGTCCTGCTGGCCACATGACCCGGAAGCTGTATGCCGGCTCCCTCGGCCAGTAAAGCGAGATGAGCGCCTCAACCCCAGAGTCAGCCACGACTGGACCTAACGGTCAGGGGTCCCTTTACCTTTTAAGGCCTCCAAAAAGACTGGCTTGTGGTAGTTTTCCAGAGGTAGAAGGCCTCAGGTTGAACTGTGGGCATATCCTCGGAGGGCTGAGAGCCCCATGTCTGAAACTCGAAAAAGGCGGTCCAGGCAGGACCAAGCTAGAAGGGCCCAATTGTCTTGGCTCTGCATGAGGCAGCTTCCAAGGTCCCTGACACTTTGCCCTCCTATCTCGAAAGTCTGCCAGGGGTTTGGGTAGTCTGGCTGGACAGGCATGTGGGCCACGTGATCTCTTGCATAGGCCATAATTGAACTGCAAGAGGGGTCAGCAAACGTTTTCAGCAGGGGGACAGTCCACTGTCCCTCAGACCTTGTGGGGAGCCAGACTATATTTGGGGGCGGGGGGGAAATGAACAAATTCCTGTGCCCCACAAATAACCCAGAGGTGCATTTTAAATAAAAGCACACATTCTACTCATGTATAAACACGCTGATTCCCGGACCATCCGCAGGCCGGATTGAGAAGGCGATTGGGCCGGATCTGGCCCCCGAGCCTTAGTTTGCCTACCTATGTCATAATACCTCAGCCAAGGTACATGGGGCCCTGCCGGTTTAAACACCTCCCTGTAGGAACCAAACAGTTTCTTCACCACAAAATCCCCTTAGGAGTTGGGATGCTTCTAAAAACTATGCCTCTGCGGTTGGTGATTGCCACCATCTTGACATGGCTTTGAGAAAGGATCAGGCATACTCCTGGACCAAGTTCCTCATCCCTAGCTAGCAGGACCGGTGGTCAGGGATGCTGCTATGGGGAGACAGTGTTGAGGGGTGCTCAGCTCGTACAGATCAGTTTGGCCTATCTCGCTTCTCCTCCACATTAGCCGCCAGTCCCTTTGTGTTTATGTAAATGCATAGACTTCTTTCCACCTATAAAATCTCGGTTTGCAAATAGGGCCGTTAAAATTGACCCATAGCAATCGAAACCCCCAGGCGGTGATTTAATTTTCGGCAGTGACGTTAAACCAGAAGCAATACTGCCGCCTCTCAAATCTCAGCGGTTGGGGGGACGCCAGGGTAAACATGAGTGGGAATCTCCTAATTGGAGCCATTGTTTTCCTCCTTGTCCCCACCCCATGTTTTCTCTTTTTTTCCCCAAGTAAATTTTTATTGTTTTCCTTACATATTCTTTTCCAACAAACCATATTAATGCCATACATTCCCTTTGACTCTGCCGAGTCGCGACTCCCCTCCCTCCCTGCAATTGGTATATTGAGAGTTTTTTTGGATTGATATCCTGGCTTTCACTCACCCTAAGGAGTCTCAAAGCGGCTAACATTCTCCTTTCCCTTCCTCCCCCACAACAAACACTCTGTGAGGTGAGTGGGGCTGAGAGACTTCAGAGAAGTGTGACTGGCCCAAGGTCACCCAGCAGCTGCATGTGGAGGAGCGGGGAAGCGAACCCGGTTCCCCAGATTACGAGACTACCACTCTTAACCACTACACCACACTGGCTCTCTTTCTATTGTGCACATCATTCTCACATTAGTACTATTATACATTGAAGGTATTATGTCAATCCTGCTAGTGTCTTGACTTCTTTACAATTCTCCTTTAAATATTCAATAAATTTACTCCAATTATTTTGGCATCTTTGATCTTCCTGGTCCCGGATCCTCCCTGACAATTTGGCAAGTTCTGCATATTCTGTCAACTTCACCTGCCACTCCTGGATGGTTGGTACGTCAGCCCCATCCCATGTTTTCTGTCTCCAACCCCATCCCATGTTTTCTTGTCTCTCCTCAGGCCCCCAGAGAGACGCCCAGGCGGCTCGGGAGTTCATCCTCAAGATGTTTGTGGATCTAAACCCCGACAGCGACAAAATCATCTACTCTCACTTCACATGTGCCACAGATACGGAAAACATTCGGTTTGTCTTTGCTGCCGTCAAGGACACCATCCTCCAGCTCAACTTGAAGGAATATAACCTAGTCTGACCTTCATTTGCCTGCCCTCTTCTTCCCCACCACCCCCCCGCCCCCCCGCCCCCCCCCCCCAGGTATCCTCGGGAGACCTTTTGTTGTGAAGAAAGTTAAAAGACGAGAGAACCCCGTGAATTTAAACAAAACAGAAAAAATTGTACAGGGGGGGGGAAGAATCTTGATTTTTAATGATGTAATGATTGCAAATTGATCTGTGGAGTGGCAAGGTCTTTGGGGTTATTTTCGTTTCGTTTCGTTTGCTCACTTGTCATCATGGAGTCTCTGTCTGCTCCACAGAATAGCTGGTGGTGATGATGATGATGATGATGATGATTTTTTTAAAAAACAAACAAATGTGCTTTTATTTCACAGTTTTAAAAAAAACAACAGGGGACACGTTTCCACACTCTCTCTCTCTCGCACTTTGTTAATTTCCCGCTTTCTGGTCGACAGCCCAAGGCGAGCCTTCCTCTCGGACTCTGTCCTTCTGCGTTAGCCAATTCTTACTGTTCCTTTCTGTTCCAGCGATAAGATGGGAGTCCGCAGGCTTCTTGGCCAAGGCCTGGCAAGCACTCTCTCTCTCGCTTGGCCGTGGAAGATACTGGGTGCTCCTTTGTACCTTCGCCTCGCGTGCCGTACGATTCCCCTGGAGCAGCTTTGCTTTTCTGCCGGGGAACTTTGGCGTCTCCTGCCCAAAAAGGACTTGGGGTTACCTGGATGACACCTTGGGAAGAACAGGAGCTTCTGTCTCTTTTAACAGTAGTGCAAAAAAAACCAAGCTATCTCTTTTCCTTCCTCTTTTTTTTTTGTACCACCTTAGTATAGATGCTCTTCCCTTCCTTATCAATTATGAAAGTTATATTGAGACTGTGATTTTTTTTTTTAAATTATTGTACTATATATAGTTTGCTACATCATAACGCTGTACTTTTGTTGTTGTTGTTCATAGACTTACAAACCGAGCGATAGCTAACGAGCCTGCGGGGGGCGGGAGGCGGGGAAGTGCCTGAACGTTGTTGTTGCCGTATTATCTTTTTAAGAGAAAAGTAAGCTCGCCGTAGGGAGTTTCCTCGCCCGGCGGGAGGACTCTGCCTGTTTCGCATGGCGGGGGAGCGGAGCCAGAATTGGGTTGTGAGAGAGATCTGAGGTTCTGATTTATTCTCCTAGATCCTCTCCCTCGCCCATATGAGTGTGTGCAACATGCCAACAACCGCTTGGGTTTGTAAGACAAACCCCCCCCCCCAAAAAAAGTGTCGATCCTTCAGGGGAAGGATCCACCAGGTTTTGTGGCTTGCAGAGGCTTCTTCTTTTATCTTGGAAGGTTCTAGGAAAAGAGTCGGAAGCTCTCTGCAACCGTTTGCCACCTCATTTGCCAGGGCTAGTGTGAGCGGTAGCTACCACTTAACCTCCCGCGCCCCTTAAACTTCCAAAAGCTTTGTTACCGGAAGCAGTTGCACAGGTATTTATTCCGGGGGTGGGAAGCCCACCTGCAGCGGCGGCAGGCCAGCGTCGGAACTGGCGAATCTGCTTTGGCCGAGACAGCGGTTTCAGCTTTTCAAAGCGGGGCAAGAAGAAGAGGTTCCGCTCCCGGACTCTCTTGTGCCAAAACGTGTTCTGCAAAGCCTGCTTTTTGGAAGCCAGCAGGAGACGGTGCCAAAAAAAAAACCCCCACACAGCCAACCCCGATGAGAAATTCTTCGCTGGTTCGCCAGGAAGGAGAATCGCCACGGGGCTGGAGCAAGGGACGTTTTCGCGAGGGCAGGCGAGCTTTTTCAGTCGCGCCCTCTGGATGCGAGGAAGTAAAGACAAACACTAATGTGGCTTCAGGAGCGCTCACAGCCAATTTCTCAGACGCTACGGAGGACAGCCTGAGACTTCTACGTATTTCCGAACGGCCAGGTTGGGCCAGCAAAGGGAGTGTCAAATGTGCTTTTAAACGTCGCTTAGGGCAACACTAGGTAAACTTCTTTTTGCATTTTTCTCTCGACACTACTAAAAAACCCTAATTGCACGTGGATACCTGCAGCATTCCAGGGGGGGGTTGAGGCGCAGAGTGCTGCCTCCAGGTTTTTCTGGGTCTGCTCCACGTCACCAAACACTACAGAAGAAAGCAGAAATGAGCCGTATTTCTTCTTTCGTTGCTTTTGGTTTTTTGGAAGGGGATTCCTGGCTTCTCTCTCACACCCAGCACCACGAGCCTGATAAGTTCTTCACTTGGGAGACGGAGGAGGAGGAGGAGGAGGAATCCCATGCACGCTGAGAGGTCCTGTTGAGTCGATGAAAGGCAAGGCAGCCTCTGCTTTCTAGAATAACATTCCTGATTTTGTCTAAATGTGTGTGGGGTTTTTTGGGGTGGGGTGGGGAGTGACAACGGTGAGGGAGGGGAGGGCCTTCCTGCTTAGGCCAGGACAACCATGTCAGTTTTTGTCATCTTGCCAACTCTACAAGGGGAAGTTCTGCAGTTGCAAACGTGCCATGGCTTTCCTCTCGCCGTCGCTCCCCTGGAGTCTTTTGCACACCTCGATCTGCAACGTCCGCTGCAGGCATTGGACGTGTGTACCTGAGAAATCTAGGAGCCGGGAAGCCAGGTTCTTGAGCTTAGCGTTTCTCGTATTGACTCTTTCGGGGGGCCGCGCTCCCTACCTGAATCCGGCTTGGCTTGTCGAACGGTGGTGGCCCTCTGCAGAGAAATATCCGTTGGGCGACCATTGATGCCGCAGATTCGAGGGCGGAGCGGGATTCGCGCTCGTCGCGAAGGCGATGTTGGTTCTTGCAAGCGACACCCGCCCACCCCCACTCGGGTGCTGTTGCGAAGCCTCCTTTTACGGACCAGCTTTTGCGATGGGCCTGGTCATCACTTGCTCTCAATGTGCCAAAGCCATCCCACAACGTCGTCCCTCTTTCCCCAGCTCACCCGACGGGAGCTGGTTTGGGGTTTCAGATGTGCCAGACCTGGGAGTTCTCGCGTGTGGTGGTGGTGGAGAAACTCGAAAAAAGAAAAAGGAAAAAAAAAAGCCAAGATGAAGGAGCAACCTGTTGACCAAGTTCTGATCACAGTGCACTTTAAACGGGAAAAAAACCCAAGCCCCACTGAAGAGGCACCTGCTCTCAAACCCCATCACCTCCTTTTAGGAAGAGGATTGTCAAAAATACACACCCGCCATCATTCCATTTCCTTGTGATCAGCCCCTCCGGCAAACCACCCCTCCCCCTCCAACTTCCACCGTGTCTTCCCTTTCCCTTCCCGGAAGCGAAGAATTATTTGTTTGTTCATTGCCTTCAGTTGCATGTTTAGTTCATCCTCTGCACACTGTTTTTGTTTTGCTTTTTATAACTACTTTTAAAAACAAATGCTTTCCCCCTACTTCTGGCCATTAATTTGTACTACGCTTCACTGAAAGCAAAAAGGTGGTTTTGAGTCCAACAGAGGTTCAAGTCTGTAACTCAGTACTCTCTGTATGTATGTGTGTGTGTGCGTGTGTGTGTGTGTGTAAATTTTTTTTAAGCGTTTATGGTTTGTGCCAATGCCCCATACTTCTTTTTTTTCTCCCCCTTTAGTTACCAGAGACTCTCTCTTACAAGTGTGGTGAAAAATTATTTGGTTATACTTGTATATTATAAGAGATCCTGATTTAAAAAGAAGAAACATTTAAACATCCTATTTAAAGAGAACGGAAACTACTATATATATTAAAAAATGCTGTTTTTAAAAGGGAGGGGGGAAACCTTTTCGTCATTTTGAAAATTGCATGTGATGTTTAACGCGTGAGGGGGCGGGGGGGTGGGAGGGGATTCTGAATCATGTGGCCCGGGATCAGTTTTTTTGGCCCCCCGTCCTTGTCTCTCTCTTTATTTCTGTCCAGTCTGTGAGGCAGGATCGGGGCCTTCCCGGAACCCATCAGTTTCTCTCGTCTGCTGGGTGCTGACCCTCGTTGTTTAGAAGTACCTGATGGAAATCAATTTTCATATCTTTCTCCTGAAATAAAATTGTTTGAAATTGGAATAAAATCTGTTCCTTACCAAAAAACAACAACAAAAAAACCCCCTAACATACTTCTCGGCCTGTTTTCTCCCTTCCCTTTTTCGATAGAGTTGGGGTGGGACAGGGTAACAAAACTTCCAGCAATTACGTCACCTAGGATATACAAGTCCATGAATATCACTAGCCCTGAGTTTGTTTTTCTATGAGTTGGAAAGGATCCTCCAGGAATCCCAGGTAAAAGAACCCCCTGACACATGGTCCATCCAACCTCTGCTTAAAAACCTCCAGGAAGGAGAGTTTACCACCTTCAGAGGAGTCCCAGCTTTTGCCGTCTCAAAGTTCTTCCTAATGTTTAGTCTGAATCTCCTTCCTTGTAAATCCAAGCAAAGGAACTCCATTCTCTGTGGTTTGGAGGGCGGGAATTATTTAGCCGGCTGCCAAGAACTAACCACCGGGCGCTAGGTGTTATTTCAGTATTCTAAAATCATGACGATAAAAGTTTCTGGGAGGGATCCGAGATTCCCGTTTCGAAATGGGAAAAGAGGATGCCTTTAGATGGAATACGGATCTCTCTCGTGACACTAGAACATTTTTTTCTTCTTCTGCCAGCTCCACCCTGTTTGCAAGGCAACCTGCGAACCATTCACCCCAACCCATCAGTGTGGTAGGGAGATCTGAGCGGCTGTCTCCTCTCCCAATAGGGGCAAGCAAAAAAGGCTGGTGTAAGAGGGGGTGTTGGTAATGGGTCCCCCCCAAAAAATTGGGCGTGTGTAGGAGAGAGATCTTGATGGGCAGAGCAAGATCTAGATGCCAAACGCTTCAACTGCCTGCTTTCAAAGCTGTTTGCTTTGTTGCAAATCCGAGCACTGAAACCTGTACAGTGGTACCTTGGGACACATACGCTTCAGGTTACAGACTCCGCTAACCCAGAAATATTACCTCTGGTTAAGAACTTTGCTTCAGGATGAGAACAGAAATTGTGCTCCAGTGGCGCGGCAGCAGCGGGAGGTCCCATTAGCTAAAGTGGTGCTTCAGGTTAAGAACAGTTTCAGGTTAAGAACGGACCTCCGGAACGAATTAAGTACTTAACCCGAGATACCACTGCGCTACCAATCTTACTGTTTCTTGAATATTTTTTAATTTTCTCAGGCCTGCAACCATTCCAGATATTTGGGAGTACAATCGCCCCCCCCCCACCTGCCAGCCCCAGCATCATATATGTGGTTCCTGGGGGCTGATAACTCAAAATATCTGGAAGGTGCCACGTTGACCAAGACTGACAGGGTGGGGTTGGTCTAAAGCAGGGGTCAGCAAGCTTTTTCAGCAGGGAGGCGGTCTGCTGTCCCTCAGACCTTGTGGGGGGGCTGGACTATATTTTGGAAAAAGGAATGAACGAATTCCTATGCCCCACAAATAACCCAGAGATGCATTTTAAATAAAAGGACACACCATAAAAACACCAGGCAGGCCCCACAAATAACCCAGAAATGCATTTTAAATCAAAGGACACATTCTACTCTTGTAAAAACACACTGATCCGCGGACCGGATTTAGAAGGCGATTGGGCCAGATCCAGCCCCCAGGCCTTAGTCTGCCTACCCATGGTCTAAAGTGTCTAATTCGCATACATTTGAGCTGTCTTTTCCTTTATAAAGGCCTGGTTTCTGACAAGCCACCAGATGTCACTAAGGAGCAGCAAATTTTTGGTCACTTGAGACACTGGTGAGGCATAGCGCAGCTCTCTAGGCAAAAGCGTTACAAGAACGCTGTGGATCGGGCCAGTCTCCCATCATCGTCCGGGGTTCTGATACCACAGTGCCCAACCAGATCCCCGTGGGAAATGAAGAACCAGCTCGAGAGCAACTCTCCCCTCCTGCAATTTCCAGCAACTGGTGTTGGGGAGTGTCGCTGCCTCCAACTAGTAACCATTGATGCCCTTCTCCCCCCTGAATTTGCCCCATCTTCTTCAAAAGCCACACTGCGCAATCCAAGCCATCGCCGCCTCCTGGAGAAGCGAGTTCCATAGTTTTAACAATCCAACCTCACAAATCTTAGAACTGTAGGGACCACGAGGTTAGTCTAGTCCAACCTCCTGCAAGGCAGGAAATTTGCCCAACGTGGGGCTCGAACCCAGGACCCCTGAGATTAAGAGTCCCGTGCTCTTACCAACTGAGCTACCCGGAGAGCCAAGAAGTCCTTCCTTTCATCTGCCCCAAACCTTCCAGCATTCCACGAGTTCTAGAGGGACCTGAGACCCTCCTTGCCTGCGGACTGCCTCTCCTTAGTGGTGCATGCTCTGGTTTTCTCCCGCTTGGAGATGGAAGGGCTGTCTTATGTTTTCATGGAACTTCCAGGGCCACAGGCAGTCTATCTTGATTCCTCCGTTCTCTCTGGGCGTCTAGTTATCTCCCGCTTGGACTACTGCCATGCGCTCTCCGTGTGGCTACCTTTGAAGCTAACTCGGAAACTGCAATTAATCCAAAATGCGGCAGCTAGACTGGTGACTGGGAGCAGCCGCCAAGACCACATAACACCGGTCCTGAAAGATCTTCGTTGGCTCCCAGTACATTTCCGAGCACAATTCAAAATGTTGGTGCTGACCTTTAAAGCCCTAAACGTCCTCGGCCCAGTATACCTGAAGGAGCGTCTCCACCCCCATCGTTCTGCCCGGACACTGAGGTCCAGCTCCAAGGGCCTTCCGGCAGTTCCCTCCCTGCGAGAAGTGTGGTTACAGGGAACCAGGCAGAGGGCCTTCTTGGCATTGGCGCCTGCCCTGTGGAACGCCCTCCCAGCAGATGCCAAGGAAATAAGCAGCTATCCTGTTTTTAAAAGACATCTGAAGGCAGCCCTGCTTAGGGAAGTTTTTAATATTTAATGCTGTGTTGTTTTTAACACTCGATTGGGAGCCGCCCAGAGTGGCTGGGGAAACTCAGCCAGATGGTCAGGGTATAAATAATAAATTATCATTATTATTATTATTATTCACTTTGTCCATGCCAGGCATCCTATAAACCTCGTATCCTTTCACCTCTTAGCTCACCTTTTCTCTAAACAATAAATGTATCCCAGCGCTGCAGCTGTGCAGTCTCCTCCCAAAGCGCCGGCGCATTTTGCACTTGGCTGCAGATTTTCCAGACCAAGCGCTAGGGAATCCCTGCAAAGTGTCCCTGCTGCTGCTGCTGCAATCTAGCCCTGAAGTTGTATAGCTGGGACAGAGCCCTGTTTTCAAGAGGGGCTTTGTTGTACCACTGCAGAAGACTTCCTTTCTTTCAAGGGGGATGAGAGAAAAGATCAGGGACATATACGGTAAAATAAAAAACAGGCCCCATGTTACAGACAAGTAAAAAAAAGGGGGTCCATAACGGCTGGAGACAAATGGCTTAGCCAAAGCAGGATGTTTGAAGTGTGCTTTCACAACAGAGGTTTTATAAAAATTATGAATGGCGTAGAGTGGATTTCTAATGCCTTGGCCACAGTCCGGCCTGACGAAACTGGCCAGCGAGAATTTTCGGAACCAGACGAAAGGAAACTCTCTTCTTCGCCCAAGTGTAAATTGCAAAAAAGGTGGGTGGTCTGAACGCTGTGTGTTTTCGCTGCGCTTTCGGAGAGTGATGGACGACTCTCTACATACCCCTTCTTCCTTTCCCCGCTCTGTACTCTTAACCAGGAAAGCAAATCCTCTAAACATTTGGAACTTCTTATAAACAGCCTGGGTGCGGAGAAGACAAGCACGCCCAAGGACTCTGGTTCCTTCGTGTCCTTTGCAATACTAATATTTATCTTGGTCCTGCTGCCGCTGCCGCTGGCTGGTTGTGTTTCCTGGGCGCGAGATGGCTGGGGTGTTTTTTTTTGCGGGGAGGGCTTTGTCAGATTCCTGGCAAGGGGTGAAGACGCTCAAGTTCAATGCCTTGTGTGGAAAGGGTTTGCTCTCCCCATCCCAGATCGCCTGACACTTTTCAGTTTCCACACCATGCTTAGTGTCAAGCCAGCAGATCAAAAGCCTCTCCAGAGACATCTAACTTGGCTGCGGTGGGTTAGGAACGTAGATGTTGGAATCCTTGGGCCACCGACACTGGCAGCAGCTCCTCTAGGTTTCAGACAACAGACATTCCCAGTCCTACACGGAACTGTAGATCTCTGGAGATGGAAGGGACCCCAACGGTCATCTAGTCCAACCCCCTGCAATGCAGGAATCTCAGCCAAGGCATCCATGACAAGTGGCCATCCAACTTCTGCTTAGAAACCTCCAAAGAAGGAGAGTCCACCACCTTCATGGGAGGTTTTTAAGCAGAGTCTGTTCCACCGTCAAACAACTCCTACTGCCAGATCAGAAGGTCGGCGGTTCGAATCCCCGTGACGGGGTGAGCTCCCGTTGCTCTGTCCCAGCTCCTTCCAACTTAGCTTTTTGAATGCACACCAGCGCAAGTAGATAAATAGGTACCGCTCTGGCGGGAAGGTAAAAGGCGTTTCCATACGCTCTGGTTTCCGTCACGGTGTCCCGTTGCACCAGAAGCGGTTTATTCCTGCTGGCCACATGACCCAGAAAGCTGTCTGTGGACGAACGCCAGCTCCCCGAAAGTGAGATGAGCACCGCAACCCTAGAGTCGCCTTTGGCTGGACTTAACCGTCCAGGGGTCCTTTACCTTTTTACCTTTACTGCCAGAAAGCTCTTCCTGATGTTAAGTCAGAATCTCCGTTCTTGTAACTTGAAGTCACTGCTTCGGGTCCGACCCTCCAAAGCAGAAGAAAAAAAGCATAGTCTGATGAAGATGGCAATTATTATTATTATTATTATTATTATTATTATTATTATGCCACCCATCTGCCCCCGTCACTCTGGGTAGTTTCCAACACATATAAAAATAGCAATGAAACATCAAACATTAATAATAAAAATCTAATCCAATATTAAAAGTCACAATAACTTTGAAATAAACAGCTTCTAGCAAATAAAGCAATATTCAATAATCCATTAGAATCCCATAGTCAATTAAAGTAAAGGTAAAGGGACCCCTGACCATTAGGTCCAGTCGTGACCGACTCTGGGGTTGCGGCGCTCATCTCGCTTTATTGGCTGAGGGAGCCGGCGTACAGCTTCCGGGTCATGTGGCCAGCAGGACTAAGCCGCTTCTGGCGAACCAGAGCAGCGCACGGAAACGCCGTTTACCTTCCTGCCAGAGCGGTACCTATTTATCTACTTGCACTTTGACGTGCTTTTGAACTGCTAGGTTGGCAGGAGCAGGGACTGAGCAACGGGAGCTCACCCCGTCGCGGGGATTCGAACCGCCAACCTTCTGATCGGTAAGTCCTAGGCTCTATGGTTTAACCCACATCAGCAAATACAGTGGTACCTCGGCTTAAGTACTTAATTCATTCCGGAGGTCTGTACTTAACCTGAAACTGTTCTTAACCTGAAGCAGCACTTTAGCTAATGGGGCCTCCTGCTGCTGCGCCGCTGGAGCACGATTTCTGTTCTCATCCTGAAGCAAAGTTCTTAACCTGAAGCACTATTTCTGGGTTAGCGGAGTCTGTAACCTGAAGCGTATGTAACCTGAAGCATATGTAACCCGAGGTACCCCTGTAAACAGTTTACACTTATCAATTACAATACAGAATTACTAATCTATCATCAATGTCTCTTCTCAATTCCCCCTTTACCAGGCTAAACAAACCCAGCTCCTTCAACTGTTCCTCATCAGGCTTGGTATCTGAAGGGCTGAGTAGGTCAATTGGATACAACTTGGGTGTTTTTAACACTTTTTGGGTGGGTGTGCGCGCAATGAGCTTTATTTTCCTTGTACCTGGGTTGCTTTCGGTTTAACCATCATTTGCAATCTATCACACACGCCATAGGGAAATAAAATCAATGCCACCCCCCTTGTTCCTTATGCAGACGGGGAGTTGTGGGAATTCAAACGTACAGCGGGCGGCTGAGGTTTCGCAAGGTACCGAAAGAGGAAGGGGAACTCCTTCCCCACCACATTTTCAAAAACAAACTAAGCCCAGGGCCAACAAAAGTGCAATTTCTGTTTGCCTTTTGCGAGCGAGAACTAGGGGGGAAGTTTTGTGGATTGGTACATCTCAGTTGGGGCGGTGAGCAAACAGGATGAGGCCTCCTTGCTAGGAGGAGACTTACCAGAAAGGAAAGTTCCCCTTGCAACCTTCTCGGTTCTTTTGGTGCAGAGAAAGCAGTTGGCAGGCCTCTCCTCTCCAGGTCCGTGTTGCGGCATTTTGGGAAGATAATTTAGGTACTCCCCTTTCTGACGTCCTCTTCCTCTTGTCTGTCCTCTTCCTTACTGACCCTGATGTTCTGTGTTCTGTGTGTGGACCTTTTTTTTGCAGATAGATCAGGTGCTGTTTGGAGCACAGGTGAGAAAACAGTCCCTGCCTGTTGTTGTTGTTGTTGAGTCATTTAGTTGTGTCCGCCTCTTCATGACCCCCTGGACCAGAGCATGCCAGGCACTTCTGTCTTCCACTGCCTCTCGCAGTTTGGTCAAACTCATGTTCATAGCTTCGAGAACACTGTCCCACCACCTCGTCCTCTGTCGTCCACTTCTCCTTGTGCCCTCCATCTTTCCCAACAACAGAGTCTTTTCCAGGGAGTCTTCTCTTCTCCTGAGGTGGCCAAAGTCTTGGAGCCTCAGCTTCAGGATCTGTCCTTCCAGTGAGCACTCAGGGCTGATTTCCTTCAGAATGGAGAGGTTTGATCTTCTTGCAGTCCATGGGACTCTCAAGAGTCTCCTCCAGCACCAGAATCCAAAAGCATCCATTCTTCAGTGATCAGCCTTCTTGATGGTCCAGCTCTCACTTCCATGCATCACTACTGGGAAAACCATAGCTTTTACTATACGGACCTTTGTTGGCAAGGTGATGTCTCTGCTTTTTAAGATGCTGTCCAGGTTTGTCATTGCTTTCCTCCCAAGAAGCAGGCGTCTTTTAATTTCGTGGCTGCTGTCACCATCTGCAGTGATCCTGGAGCCCAAGAAAGTAAAATCTCTCACTGCCTCCATTTCTTCCCCTTCTATTTGCCAGGAGGTGATGGGCCCAGTGGCCATGCCTACGAAACAAAAACCAGAATTGTTCCTTGCCTGGGTGCAGATGCACCTGCCACTCTCAGTTCTTCCTTTTCCCAAATCTTAAAATTCAGCTCCCTGCATTCCCACATCAGTTTTGCCTCGTTGGCCTTTTTAAGTCCTCGTGAAAATTCGGCAGCGTTTGAAGGGCCAATTTCTCCTTCTTGAAACAGGGAGGGAGCGTAGTTCAGGGACAGGACATGTGCTTTGAGTGCAGAAGGTTTGAACCCCAGCATCTCCAACTAGGAGCGAGAAAGACTCCTGTCTGAAACCCTGGAGAGCTTCTGCCAGTCAGTGCAGACAAGACCAATTCTCTGACTCAGGGTAAGTCATCTCTTTATATCCCTCCTAAAATATGTAATTTTGCCCAAAAGCACATTTTTGCAAAGCAATTTCCCCTTTGTAGAATGCTCTTTTTTTTTGTATGCAATTTGCATCAAATGTGCATTTCCCCCTAATATATTCACTTTGCAAATACCTTGCTTGTTTGGAGAACGGTATTGCAAAATCCCGACAATGGCTGTCGTTCCGTTTTGCGTATTGTTTCAGAAGGTGTGGAGTAACCACAATACAGCCTTGAACTTCCTCCTCACTTCCCTTTTAACATTTATTTTTTAAAATGATTCCCCCAAATTATTACAGATGGAACTGAATCACTTTAATACGACGCCTTAAAATCAGGTTTCTGACTCCTGTCAATCATTTTCCTCCCGTAGCTGAATCGTTTATTTAGTGGCTGGTTGTTATCCTTCGCTTGCAGTTAAACCGTTCTTCCAGCTCCCCTCTTTTCCCTCCTTACAAACAGCACCTCTGCTGCATCTTATAAATTTAAAATCCAGTTTGCATATACATTTTAGTTCATGGGTGGGCAACTAAGGATCCGGCCCAATCGTCTTCTAAATCTGGACTGCGGACGGTCCGGGAATCAGCGTGTTTTTACATGAGTAGAATGTGTCCTTTTATTTAAAATGCATCTCTGGGTTATTTGTGGGGCATAGGAATTCGTTCATTTTTTATTTTATTTTTTCAAAATATAGTCCGGCCCCCCACAAGGTCTGGGGGACAGTGGACCCGCCCCCAGCTGAAAAAGTTTCCTGACCCCTGTTTTAGTTGCCGACCTGTTTGTGCTGGGAGAGTTCATTACTATCTTCCATTGTTCGGTTCCCTGCAATGTTTATCGGGATGGCACAAAGTCACATTCCATTCCTTCCGCTGTTTTCAGACTAGCTTACGAACGAACCACAGCCTCTCTGCTTCTCTTGCTGCTGCTTACAGCCCAAATCACGCCGCTCCCTTTGCCTCGACCCCGATTCCGTTTCTTTCATTTTATTGACCTATAAAAAAATAGCTATATATTGCTGTTCGTAAACAACAAGCAGAGTGGTTTATAACAATCTTACATAAAACCATACAATAAAAACCACGTCAAAATTAGTAGGCCTGACGGAGTGGGGAAATTCCCGGCAGGCAATATCTAAAATGTGATATCTAGTGGCAGAGTGTTCCACAGGACTGGGCCGTTGACACGGAAGGCTCTGTTTGTTGTTGTTAAATGAGCATTGCAGGGGGTTGGGCTAGATGACCTTTGGGTCCCTTCCAGCTCTATGAGCCTCACCAACTTGGGGAACGGCCAGTGAAGCTCTTGCAGTTAATCTCAGGGATCTTTCTTCCTTCGGAAAAGCAGCTTTTACTTGCATGCAAATTGAATGGGTAAGATCAATCAACCACAACTTTGTAGATTAACCAGCCGGAACTTGTGCGGTTAACCAGTCAATGAACCAGATCGCTGGCCTTCTTCCAATTCCATGCAAATTAGCTACTGGGCTAAGTTCAAGGCACTGGTTTTGACGTAAAGGTACCTCTGACCGTTAGGTCCAGTCCCGCACGACTCTGGGGTTGCGTGCCCATCTCACTTTCAGGCCAAGGGAGCCGGCGTTTGTCCACAGACAGCTTTCCGGGTCATGTGGCCAGCAGGACTAAACCGCTTCTGGAGCAACGGGACACCGTGACGGAAACCAGAGCACACGGAAACGCCGTTTGCCTTCCCGCCAGAGTGGTACCTATTTATCTACTTGCGCTGGTGTGCTTTCGAACTGCTAGGTTGGCAGGAGCAGGGACAGAGCAACGGGAGCTCACTCTGTCAAGGGGAATCGAACCGCCAACCTTCCGATCGGCAAGCCCAAGAGGCTCAGTGGTTTAGACCACAGCGCCACCTGCGTCCCTTGGTTTTGACATAGAAAACCCCCAAACCCCAGGGAACCAGGATACCTAAAGGTGGTCTCACCCCTTATAAACCCACTCCGCCACTGCAATCTGCAGGTAAGGGCATCCCGCAGGTGCCATCGTATCAGGAAGTGCCTTGCGCATGTTGTAGGAAACCGGTCTTTCATGAAACGTTTCCGAATACCAGTTGCCAAAAACTTCAGGAAGGGAGAGAGTTGCTCTTCTTGCACTTAGGTCTTGCTTGAGAGTCCACCAGAAGTGGAATCTGGTTTGTTACTGTGAGAACAGGACAAAGGACTCAATGGGCTATTGGCCTGACCCACCGGCCTCTCCTTATTGTGGTAGCACCTTTGGAACTCCCCTCCCCTTGAATTTATGTCAGGCGCCATCTCTGTTGTTTCTTCGGCCCCTGGCAAAGACCTTCATCTTCCAACAAGCTTTCTAAGCTGAGATCTTCTCCAGACAAGACAGAAGCACTGTTTTTGGGGGACAGGAGGCGGGCAGGTGTGGAGGACTCCCTGATCCTGAATGGGGTAACTGTGCCCCTGAAGGACCAGGTGCGCAGCCTGGGAGTCATTTTGGACTCACATCTGTCCATGGAGGCGCAGGTCAGTTCTGTGTCCAGGGCGGCTGTTTACCAGCTCCATCTGGTACGCAGGATGAGACCCTCCCTGCCCACAGACTGTCTCACCAGAGTGGTGCATGCTCTGGTTATCTCCCGCTTGGACTACTGCCATGCGCTCTACGTGGGGCTACCTTTGAAGGTGACCCAGAAATGACAACTAATCCAGAATGCAGCAGCTAGACGGGTGACTAGTTGCTGCCACTGAGACCATATAACACCGGTCTTGAAAGACCTACATTGGCTCTCAGTACGTTTCTGAGCACAGTTCAGTGTGTTGGTGCTGACCTTGAAAGCCCTAAACCGCCTCGGTCCTGTATACCTGAAGGAGCGTCTCCACCCCCATCGTTCAGCCCAGACACTGAGGTCCAGCTCCGAGGGCCTTCTGGTGGTTCCCTCCCTGAGAGAAGTGAGGTTACAGGGAACCAGGCAGAGGGCCTTCTCGGTGGTGGCACCCTCCCTGTGGAACGCCCTCCCATCAGATGTCAAGGAAATAAACAATGATACGACTTTTAGAAGACATCTGAAGGCAGCCCTGTTTAGGGAAGTTTTTAATGTTTGATGTCTAAACATGTTTTTAATATTCTGTTGGAAGCCTCCCAGAATGGCTGGGGAAACCCAGCCAAATGGTGGGGTATAAATAATAAGTTGTTGTTGTTGTTGTGATGATGTCTGTATCTGCGCTGAAATTATTTTTAAGATGTTTGTACTGTTCTATCTCTGGTTGTCTGCTGCCCTGGGCTCCTTTGGGAAGAAAGGCAGGATATGAATTTTATAATTAAATAAAGATTATTTAAAAACAAACAAACCAACCACTTTGTTTGATAGAAAAAACTATCGGTGTAGGTGGAGGTGATTGTGAAGAAACAAAAGTGAACTGGGACTAACTTCCTTCCTTTTTAAAATCCTTTTCTCTTATCTGAAGAGAAACAATCCACACCTTGCTTTTAAAAGCTCCTGGATCACCTTGCGGTCGCTGGAAGGTGGATGCTGAGCGGTTCCGATGAGTGGAATGGAATTTACGGCGGTTGGGCACAGCTCCTACGAATGGCAGTGGAAACTTTCGCGAACAGTTAGCTGCCCGCGTGTCTGACCTCAGCCCAAGTATTTGCTTTCCTTCTCCATGGGCAACCTCTTGGATCATACAATTCCCATGAGATCCCTCACCTTGCCAGCTATGGATCCTGGAAGGCTTCTGTGATCAAGCCTCTGGATTCCCTGTTCTGCTGAAACTTGATCTCGCACCGTCTCTTCCTGGGTCCCTCCTCTAAGGAGGAGGGCTTGGACCGTGCATCCGTGGACATTTTTCTTACCAAACCTTCTGCGTTTCAAAAAAAAATTATTCGTGTGCATGCTTTTCATCAGGGTGGGGTCTTTTCCGTCTGGTCCGAGATTGGTAAGGGGGGACCCCATCTCACGTCCCACCACGATGGTCTGGTGCCTATGCTTTCTCTCTGAGGAGGAGAAAAACGCCGTCGCCATAGATAAAGAAATCAACCGGCTTCTCCAGGAACAAAAGAAACGAGATCGGTGGGAGCTGAAGTTGCTTTTACTGGGTGAGTAACAGCTCCTCGGACAAGGAGCTTGCTAGCTAGGTTGGGGAGAGGCTTGAGGCTTGAGTGATGGGCTTGGAGCATGATCTAGCCTTCCATATTTTTTTTCCCCAGTTTGTTTAGTCGTTTAGTCGTGTCCGACTCTTCGTGACCCCCTGGACCAGAGCACGCCAGGCACTCCTGTCTTCCACTGCCTCCCGCAGTTTGGTCAGACTCATGCTGGTAGCTTCGAGAACACTGTCCCTCCATCTCGTACTCTGTCGTCCCCTTCTCCTTGTGCCCTCCATCTTTCCCAACATCAGGGTCTTTTCCAGGGAGTCTTCTCTTCTCATGAGGTGGCCAAAGTCTTGGAGCCTCAGCGTCAGGATCTGTCCTTCCAGTGAGCACTCAGGGCTGATTTCCTTCAGAATGGATCGCTTTGATCTTCTTGCAGTCCATGAGACTCTCAAGAGTCTCCTCCAGCACCTACCATACTAGCAAGAAATAATACTCTCCCTTCCTCTTTTTCCAAGCTTTCTCAATTGTGCCCCATGGATAATTGTTCCCCAAAAGCCCCTAAAGCTCTCTTATCGACCTCGTAATGTAACTTGAGGGTGCCGCTGTGGGTTAAACCACAGAGCCTAGGACTTGCCGATCAGAAGGTCGGCGGTTCGAATCCTCCGTGACGGGGTGAGCTTCCGTTGCTCAGTCCCTGCTCCTGCCCAACTAGCAATACAAAAGTACGTCAAGTAGATAAATAGGTACCACTCCGGTGGGAAGGTAAACGGCGTTTCTGTGCGCTGCTCTGGTTCGCCAGAAGCAGCTTAGTCCTGCTGGCCACATGACCCAGAAGCTGTACACCAGCTCCCTCGGCCAATAAAGCAAGATGAGCGCCGCAACCCCAGAGTCGGCCATGACTGGACCTAATGGTCAGGGCTCCCTTTAATGTAACTTGATGGAACTATTCCAGTTATACCCCACTGTTTTCTCCAAAGAGCTTGGCATCCATGGTTCTCTCCCTTCTCATTTAATCCCATCAACAACCCTGTGAGGTAGATTAGGCAGAAAGGGAGCGGCTGGCCTTTGGGGTCACTCTCAGTGAGCTTCATGGCCAAGTGGAGGCAACTTGAACCCTGGTCTCCCAGGCCTGAGCCTCCTGGGCTTGCCGATCATAAGGTCGGCGGTTCAAATCCCCGCGACGGGGTGAGCTCCCGTTGCTCGGTCCCAGCTCCTGCCAACCTAGCAGTTTGAAAGCATGCCAGTGCAAGTAGATAAATAGGTACCACTGCGATGGGAAGGTAAACAGTGTTTCTGTACGCTCTGGTTTCCATCACAGTGTCCTGTTGCGCCAGAAGCGGTTTAGTCCTGCTGGCCACATTACCCAGAAAACTGTCTGTGGACCAACGCCGGCTCCCTTGGCCTGAAAGTGAGATGAGCGCCACAACCCCATAGCCACCTTTGACTGGACATAACCGTCCAAGGGTCCTTTACTTTTACCTTACCCTCCCAGGTCCTAGTCTGACATTCTAACCACTACTCTGTCCTGAGTAGATCTGCTGGTGTGTGATATACCGTATTTTTTGCTGTATAAGACTCACTTTTTCCCTCCTAAAAAGTAAGGGGAAATGTGTGTGCGTCTTATGGAGCGAATGCAGGCTGCGCAGCTATCCCAGAAGCCAGAACAGCAAGAGGGATCGCTGCTTTCACTGCGCAGCAATCCCTCTTGCTGTTCTGGCTTCTGAGATTCAGAATATTTTTTCCTTGTTTTCCTCCTCCAAAAACTAGGTGCGTCTTGTGGTCTGGTGCGCCTTATAGAGAGAAAAATATGGTACTTAAACATTGCTTGGTTGGCAAAGTTCAGAGAAGAGCAAATTTCGAAGGATGGCTGTTTTCCAGTGCGCATATTGGCCTGGAAAGTGAGGATCGGGTAGTTTCTCGCTGAAATGCAGTTGAAGCGATGGGCTCTCCTTGCTGGAAAGGAGATTCTAGCTAAACATTAGGAAGAACCATTTGAGAGTTGTTTGACAGCAGAATGGGCTCCCTCGGAAGGGGGCAGGGTCTCCTTCAGACGAAGCTTTGGAAGAGATGATGGGTGGCCCTCGGTCAGGGATTCTTCACTTGAGATTCCTGCATTGCAGGGGGTTGGACTAGATGACCCTAGGGTCCCTTTCCAACTCTGCAGTTCCGTGATTCAGAGAAGAGCGGATTTTGAAGGATGGCTTCCTTTTAGTGTGGATATAGGTTTAGAAAGTGAGAATCAAGTCGTTTTTCGTTTAAAATTAAAGCTAACATTCCTCTCCCACTTGAAAGCACCATCGCTTATCAGGGAAGAAGAAGAGTTTGGATTTGATATCCTGCTTTATCACTACCCGAAGGAGTCTTTAGCGGCTAACATTCTCCTTTCCCTTCCTCCCTCACAACAAACACTCTGGGAGGTGAGTGGGGCTGAGAGACTTCAAAGAAGTGTGACTAGGACACACCTTTTCAGATAATCCTTGCCATGACTAGGGACGAGTAGATTCATCTATTTCTAGACTTCGGCCATACCCAACTAGACCCTGTTCCGAGTATACACTCCAAAATTAACAATAATTTATTTCAACGGCACTCCTCTGAATAGGAGTAACGCTGGCTACAACTTTGTGCCAATATGAATTTTGTATTTGATCTAAAATTGTGCATGTTGTTGTTGTTTAGTCTTTTAGTCATGTCCGCCTCTTCGTGACCCCCTGGACCAGAGCACGCCAGGCACTCCTGTCTTCCACTGCCTCCCGCAGTTTGGTCAGACTCATGCTGGTAGCTTTGAGAACACTGTCCCACCATCTCGTCCTCGGTCGTCCCCTTCTCCTTGCGCCCTCCATCTTTCCCAACATCAGGGTCTTTTCCAGGGAGTCTTCTCTTCTCATGAGGTGGCCAAAGTCTTGGAGCCTCAGCTTCAGGATCTGTCCTTCCAGTGTGCATATCTTACCTTATAGAATAGGTTATTTTGTCACTGGCTTTGTTTTTCATTCAGTTGCAAAATTCAGAAAAGTGCAAAGGACCCAGCTTATTTCTCTAATTTTAAGTTGCTTTAACCTGTTTTTAATTTTATGTTTTAATTGCTGCAACTTGCCCAGGGACCCTGGAGTGAAGGGCACATAAACAGTACTGATTATTGTTGTCGTTTAGTCGTGTCCGACTCTTCGTGACCCCCTGGACCAAAGAACGCCAGGCACTCCTGTCTTCCACTCCCGCAGTTTGCCAACACAGTACCGATACTACCACTAATTTTTAAAATCTATTACTTTTCTGATCCGTGCATTAGTTTGGAAAGGTATACACCCATCTGGGGTTGTTTAAGCTGAATGAAATCCTTTTTGAAGTCTAGCTGAGACATATCAATATATATATATGAAAAATTGGGGAAATATGCTGCTGTGTCAATATTCTATTTAACTGTTTGCCCATTTTGATCAGTCACAGTCCTGGAGTCTTAACTCCTCATAGGAAACTGTGCGAGGTTTGGGCGTTCTTTAGCCTGAAAGGAGAGACGATTAAGAGACAATATGACACCCAGCTTTAAATCTGGGAAGGGCTGGAGCCGTGGATTGTAGTAAAGGTAAAGGTAAAGGGACCCCTGGACCATTAGGTCCAGTCGTGACCGACTCTGGGCTTGCGGCACTCATCTTGCTTTACAGGCCGAGGGAGTACAGCTTCTGGGTCATGTGGCCAGCATGACTAAGCCGCTTCTGGAGAACCAGAGCAGCGCACGGAAATGCCGTTTACCTTCCCGCCGGAGCGGTACCTATTTATCTACTTGCACTTTGATGTGCTTTTGAACTGCTAGGTGGGCAGGAGCAGGGACGGAGCAACGGGAGCTCATTCCGTCTCGGGGATTCGAACCGCCGACCTTCTGATCAGCAATCCCTAGGATCAGTAGTTTAGACCACAAGGCCGCCTGCGTCCTCTTATGCTACCTGAGTCAAATACCACCGGTACATCGGACCCTAGTTTTCATACGCCGCTTTGAGGAGTTTTTTAAAAGAAAAACGAACAACTGGTGTGTGTGTGTATAATAAAACGAAATGAAGAAAAATAATAAGAGCTATGGGATTTCTTTTAGGTACCGGAGAGAGTGGGAAAAGCACCTTCATCAAACAGATGAGAATAATCCATGGCTTGGGCTATACGGAGGAAGACCGCAAAGAATTTGCCAAGGTGGTTTATCAGAACATCTTCATGTCCATCCAGGCTATGGTCAAGGCTATGGAGGTTCTCCAAATCTCCTACGCCCAGCCGGAAAATGCGGTGAGTAGTCCGACAGCATGGGAAGAGGAACCCACGGGGTGAGACCAAAGCATTGAGGTTGAATCCTGACATGACCAAAGTACTGTTTCTGGGGGACAGGGGACAGACAGGTATGGGGGACACCCTGGTCCTGAATGGGGCAACTGTGCCCCGAAGGACCAGGTGCACAGCCGGGGGGTAATTTTGGACTCACAGCCGTCCATGGAGGTGCAAGTCAATTCTGTGTCAAGGGAAGCTCCATCTGGTCCGCAGGATGAGACCCTCCCTGCCCGCAGACTGTCTCGCCAGAGTGGTGCATGCTCTGGTTATCTCCCGCTTGGACTACTGCCATGCGCTCCATGTGGGGCTACCTTTGAAGGTGACTTGGAAATGACAACTAATCCAGAATGTGGCTACCAGACTGGGAGCTGCCACTGAGACCATATAACACAGGTCCTGAAAGGTAAAGGACTTCTGGACGGTTAAGTCCAGTCAAAGGTGACTATGGGGTTGTGCGCTCATCTTGCTTTCAGGCCGAGGGAGCTGGCGTTTGCCCACAGACAGCTTTCTGGGTCATGTGGCCAGCAGTACTAAACTGCTTCTGGCGCAACAGGACACCGTGGCGGAAACCAGAGCGCACGGAAACGCCATTTACCTTCCCGCCGCAGCGGTACCTATTTCTCTACTTGCGCTGGCATGCTTTTGAACTGCTAGGTTGGCAGGAGCTGGGACAGAGCAACAGGAGTTCACTCTGTTGCAGGGATTCGAACCGCCAACCTTCCAATCAGCAAGCCCAAGAGGCTCAGTGGTTTAGACCACAGCGCCATTCGCGTCCCCATACAATGTAAGAGATAAAAGAAGTAAATGCTTTTCTCTTACCAGAAGCTGCCCAGAAGGACACTTCCTTCTTTAACAAACGTGTTACGGTCGAATCAAAATAAATACATCGGTGCCTTGGTTTACGAACTTAATCCATTCCGGAAGTCTGTTCTTAAACCAAAGTGTCCTTAAACCAAGGCGTGCTTTCCCATAGCAGCAGGGGATTCAATTTACAAATGGAACACATCCAACACGTTCTGATTCCAAGGCAAAGCTCACAAACCAAAACACCTACTTCCGGGTTTGCAGCGTTCTTAATGCAAGTTAAACTAAGCTGTTCAAGATCTCGGTTTTTAACTCCCCTCGTGAATAAGTTCCATCTCCCAATCCAGCCTTGGATAGTGTCCCTCTTTTTGCAGGATTCTGATTGTTGGATTACTGAGATGACAGCTAATTTCCTGCTTAGTGTGATGAAGAGGAAAGCGGCACTAACTTCTTCCTTAACACCACAGATGCAGTCGATACGCCGCACAACCGAACGAAGTTCCAAGTAGCCTTATTGTACAAGGACAATCGAGTTAGGACTAATCTGAGGAGCTGAAGGACCCTTTAACGGTCCTCCTCCAGCCTCAGCAGCTTTTGGTTTTTTTTTTTTTTTTTCCACTTTCTTTAAGTATTCGCCCAGGACGATGTCTACCTCTACCTCCCCACCCCCATTTTATGTTGTTATTTCAATGTATATCATGCTATGGCCACTCGGCTAATGCAATAAAATCTATTAATTAAAAAAAAAAAACTAAGCTGTTCTTAAACCATGGTACCACTGTAACAACAACAATATTAAATTACGTTATTCTCTCTGCTTCTAGCAAAATGCTCAGCTGCTGATGGGTGTGGATACTTACAAAATGAAGGAGATGGATGCGCGCCATGCAAGGATGATCAAAAGCCTGTGGAGAGATGGCGGGATCCGAACCTGCTATCAGAGGCGAAGCGAGTACCATTTGCTGGATTCCACTTTCTAGTGAGCGCATTTGCGTTTGACGCTTAAGGACGGGCAAATCTGTCGGGTTTCCGGGTGGTGGGTTGCACCCAGTCTTGTCCTACTCAGAGAAGACGTATTTGGGTTGCTTGCAACTAAGTTCTGTTTAGAGCAGATCCACTGGAATTATTGAACTGCCTTTCTCCCAGAACCAAGACTCTTTAGATGATCCTTGGAGTCCATTTCCAATTCTACAATTCTATGATTCAAGCTTACAAGATTCAGGCTTACAAGAATCGAAGCAAACATAGACAAAAACACAGAATGCTTAAAAACAAATCAACGATAGTAGTTAAAAAGTAATCAAAATATAATGGAAATTAAACAACAGAAAATCTATGAAATCTAGTAAAAAACACCACCAACAACAACCTGTGCAGCACTATCAAAAGCCCTCAGTTGGTTAGAGTAAGGTAAGGGTAAAGGAACCCCTGACCATTAGGTCCAGTCACGGATGACTCTGGGGTTGCGGCGCTCATCTCGCTTTACTGGCTGAGGGAGCCGGCGTTCAGCTTCCGGGTCATGTGGCCAGCATGACTAAGCCGCTTCTGGCAAACCAGAGCAGCACACGGAAACACCGTTTACCTTCCTGCCAGAGCGGTACCTATTTATCTACTTGCACTTTGAGGTGCTTTCAAACTGCTAGGTGGGCAGCAGCAGGGACCGAGCAACGGGAGCTCACCCCGTCGTCGCGGGGATTCGAACCGCCGACCTTCTGATCGGCAAGTCCTAGGCTCTGTGGTTTAACCCACAGCGCCAACCATGTTGGTTAGAGTATGAGACTCTAAATCTTAGGGTTGTGGGTTCAAGTTTCACGTTGGGCAAAAGATTTGTGCATATATACAGCCTCGGCCCAGTATACCTGAAGGAGCATCTCCACCCCCATCGTCCAGCTCAGACACTGAGGTCCAGCTCTGAGGGCCTTCTGGTGGTTCCCTCCCTGCAAGAAGCGAGGTTACAGGGAACCAGGCAGAGGGCCTTCTCGGTGGTGGTGCCCGCCCTGTGGAACGCCCTCCTATCAGATGTCAAGGAAATAAACAACTATCTTACTTTTAGAAGACATCTGAAGGCAGCCCTATTTAGGGAGGTTTTGATGTTTTATTGTATTTTTAATATTCTGTTTTGAGTCGCCCAGAGTGGCTGGGGAAATCTAGCCAGATGGGCAAAGTATAAATAATATATTATTATTATTATTATTATTATTATTATTATTATTATTATTTCAATTAGATGGCCCTCCAAATTCTACAATTCTTTGATTCTACGTTAGGCCCGATCTCCATTAGTCTGAGGCTATTTTCCTGGAGAGAGAGAGATTAGCAATCCATTCTCTCCAGCGACTTCACAACAAACACTTAACACACCCAAGATATGCTTAGACTTGAGGTGGTAGGCCTCCATCTGGGTTCCACTATTATGGTACTGGAGGAGACTCTTGAGAGTCCATGGACTGCAAGAAGATCAGACCTTTCCATTCTGAAGGAAATCAGTCCTGAGTGCTCACTGGAAGGACAAGTCCTTCATCAGCCCCGGCTGCAACAAAACATGTCTCTCCCACATCGGTCTCTACAGCCACAGCAGGCGCTGTAACTGTCCAACAGCTTGGCTTCGCCTCCCAAAGGCGCCCTCCTCCATTGCCTCCCGAAACAAACAGATGCCAGCCCAGTCAGATGAAATTGCATCCTTTCCATGCGCTTTAAACGCCCTTGTGACTTTGCCACAAAGATCCAGTCTCGCTTAATCATTAACTAGATTCAGGTAGGTAGCCGTGTTGGTCTGACGCAGTTTAAATAAAGAAAAAATTGTCCAGTAGCACCTTAGGAAACCAACTAAGTTTGTTCTGGGTATAAGCTTTCGTGTGCATGAAATATCTGAAGAAGTGTATCTGAAGAAGTGTGCATGCACATGAAAGCTTATACCCAGAACAAATTTAGTTGGTCTCTAAGGTGGCGCCTTTGGTTAAACCACAGAGCCTAGGACTTGCTGATCAGAAGGTCGGCGGTTCAAATCTCCGCCACGGGGTGAGCTCCCGTTGCTCGGTCCCTGCTCCTGCCAACCTAGCAGTTCGAAAGCACGTCAAAGTACAAGTGGATAAATAGGTACCGCTCCGGCGGGAAGGTAAACAGCATTTCTGTGCACTGCTCTGGTTCGCCAGAAGCGGCTCAGTCCTGCTGGCCACATGACCCGGAAGCTGTATGCCGGCTCCCTCGGCCAATAAAGCGAGATGAGCGCCGCAACCCCAGAGTCGGTCACGACTGGACCTAATGGTCAGGAGTCCCTTTACCTTTAAGGTGCTTGTGGAAGGATTTTTTTTATTTTGTTTTGACTACAGAAGACCAACACTGCTGCCTACCTATACCCAGAACAAACCTAGTTGGTCTCTAAGGTGCTACTGGACAATTTTTTAATATAATCATTAACTGTTAGGCTCTCTGCAGCTCTTGCTTAGCTTTGACAGACGCGCCATGCTACGCAGGACACATTCAGACACATTACAAAGTTATCTTCCCATTTCCTTTTTTATATATAATATTTTTTATTAATTTTAACATATAAATTATAAAATGTACCACAAAACTTTTCACTTATACAATCTTTTTAGACTTACATCAGCACCTCTGATCCACAGTTTTAACCACTTCTTACGCATTTCTTAACTTTATATTGCCTTTACATCTCTTAACAAATCATCCTCCCCCTTGTCCATTTTTACAATACTTCCAATAATACTCCTCACAAAACTTATTGCAACCCTACAAACGTCATCTGTTCTTCACAATTAATTTTCAAATAGTCCGTAAATTTACTCCAGTCTTCCGTGAATTTCTGGTCTCACTGGTTTCAAATCCTTCCTGTTAGTTTATCTAATTCTGCATAGTCCATTAACTTCATCCTCCATTCTTCAATCGTCGGTAACTCTTCTTGCTTCCATTTTTGGGCCAATAATATTCTTGCTGATGTTACTGCATATAAAAAGAGCTTACATTCCTTTCTATTTATGTCACTCCCCACAATGCCCAATAAAAATGCTTCTGGTTTCTTTATAAATGTATATTTCAACATTTTTTTCAACTCATTATATATCATCTCCCATAAGCATTTCACCTTTTTACATTCCCACCACATGTGATAAAATGTTCCCTCTTTTTCTTTACATTTCCAACATTTATTACTGACTTTATACATTTTCGCTAACTTGACAGGTGTAATATACCATCTATACATCATTTTCATCACATTTTCTTTTAGGGCATTGCATGCAGTAAATTTTAAACCTTCCTTCCATAATTTCACCCAATCACTCAGCTGTATATTATACCCAAAATCTTTGGCCCAGTGAATCATAACCGACTTAACCTCTTTGTCCTTCAAATGCCATTCAAGCAGCAATTTATACATTTTAGACAAAATTTTTGCATCATTACTTAATATCTCTAATTCAAACTTTGATCCACTTTCATCAAATCCTTTTTCTTTGGAGTCTTGTTTAAACATTTTGTTGACCTGGCGATAATGTAACCAATCATTAACATATTCTTTAATTTCTTCATATTGTTTCAGTTTCCATTTACTTCCTTCCAGATATATTAATTTCCCATATGTTATCCATTTCCCACTCATATTGACCTTTTTTACACTCATTGCTTCTAATGGAGATAACCAATGTGGTGTTTTTCGTTCCAATAGGTTTTTATACCTATCCCAGGTTTCTATTGGAGATCTTCGAAATATATGGCTTCCAAATCCTTTATGGACTTTTGTCTTATTATACAGTGGTGCCTTGCAAGACGAAATTAATCGGTTCTGTGAGTCTCTTCGTCTTGCGGTTTTTTCGTCTTGCGAAGCACGGCTATTAGCGGCTTAGCGGCTATTAGCGGCTTAGTGGCTTAGCGGCTTAGCGGCTATTAATGGCTTAGCAGCTTAGCGGCTATTAAGAAAAAGGAAACAAACTTGCAAGAACTCGCAAGACGTTTCGTCTTGCGAAGCAAGCCCATAGGGAAATTCGTCTTGCGGAACGACTCAAAAAACGGAAAACTCTTTCGTCTAGCGAGTTTTTCGTCTTGCGAGGTATTCGTCTTGCGGGGCACCACTGTACCATAAATATGCATGCCACCCAAATCTGTTATCATAACCTCCTAAATCCAGCAATTCAGTATTTTCTAATTTCATCCATTCCTTCAACCAACAGAGGCAAGATGCTTCATAATATAATTTCAAATCTGGCAGGGCGAAGCCTCCTCTTTCTTTAGTAAGTTATCTTCCCATTTCCATGTACAATTTAAACAACTATCCTTAACGTGCCTTTGCAGCTTCCTGTCTAACCTGGACCGCATTGCAGCGGCAGGGTACGTGCCAAGCCCCCAGGACATCCTGAGGACGCGGGTGCCGACGACGGGCATCAACGAGTACTGCTTTTCGGTGCAGAAGGTGAGGCTCAGGTGAGCAAAACCGGGAGCGGGATCTGAAGCCATGCAGCCTTGATGGCTTTGACTGGCCGGCTAAACCAGGTGAGAGATGCCGATGGGTCTCAAAGCCTCCGTAGTTGATCTCTGCTGAAATGAGTGTAGCGGCAAATTCAGAAGGGCAAAGTCCCTTTGTGATGGTCACAACATAGCCCTATCTCATGGTCCCCTTCTAAGATTATACAACTTCATCGGACGCCGCCTCCACCACGAGAATAACCTTAGTTGGGTACAACTTCATATATACTCCTGTGTGTGTATGTAATTTTTATTAAATTATCTGTATTACAATTTACTCATTTAAACCACAGAGCCTAGGGCTTGCCGATCAGAAGGTTGGCGGTTCGAATCCACGCGACGGGGTGAGCTCCCGTTGCTCGGTCCCTGCTCCTGCCAACCTAGCAGTTCGAAAGCACGTCAAAGTGCAAGTAGATAAATAGGTACCACTCCGGCGGGAAGGTAAACGGCGTTTCCGTGTGCTGCTCTGGTTTGCCAGAAGCGGCTTAGTCCTGCTGGCCACATGACCCGGAAGCTGTACGCCGGCTCCCTCGGCCAGTAAAGAGAGATGAGCGCCGCAACCCCAGAGTCGTCCGCAACTGGACTTAACGGTCAGGGGTCCCTTTACCTTTAAGACTTCCCTTCTTCTCTTTCCATGGTTCATTTTGCATATCATAAATCCCTGCATATTTTACGTAAACTATACCATTCAGTATTCCATTACTGCAGCCATCAAAACTTATTTTCACTGTTTAATTTATCTAAACGCTTCCAACGTTTTCAGGTGTACACAATTCCCCCCCCCCCCAATATATTCAATAACTGTTTTCCCATCTTCTCTAAAGGCAAGTACTTCTTGTTCTCTTATTCTAAGTCTGTGAGTTGTGCATATTCTGTCAGCTTAAGTTGCCGTTATTCTTTGCTTGGGACCTCACTTGTTTTTAGACTAACAAATCACAGGCCGCAGTTTTGTTGTTTAGTCGTGTCCGCCTCTTCGTGACCCCCTGGACCAGAGCACGCCGGGCACTCCTGTCTTCCACTGCCCCCCGCAGTTTGGTCAAACTCATGCTGGTAGCTTCAAGAACATTATCCAACCATCTCGTCCTCTGTCCTCCCCTTCTCCTTGCGCCCTCCATCCTTCCCAACATCAGGGTCTTCTCCAGGGAGTCTTCTCTTCTCATGAGGTGGCCAAAGTCTTGGAGCCTCGGCTTCAGGATCTGTCCTTCCAGTGAGCACTCAGGGCTGATTTCCTTCAGAATGGAGAGGTTGGATCTTCTTGCAGTCCATGGGACTCTCAAGAGTCTCCTCCAAGAGCAGAATTCAAAAGCATCCATTCTTCGGCGATCAGCCTTCTTTATGGTCCAGCTCTCACTTCCATACATCACTAACGGGAAAACCATAGCTTTAACTATACGGACCATAAAAAACCTTTTTTGACACCTTAATTTTAAATACTCATTTAAACCACAGAACCTAGGACTTGCCGGTCAGAAGGTCGACAGTTCGAATTCCGCCCCTTTTTTTTACAACTTCTACACCTTTTTTGTGGGGGAGGGGCAACTTCTATATCGGTTTCACTGGAGCCAGGGGTGGAGGTTACCTTAAACCCAGGAGGTGAGTATCTGTAGCCGCCCAGAAGCCAAAAAAACCATGATCTCCCTTCCTGTGCAGGATTGTTGATGTAGGCGGCCAGAGGTCGGAGCGCCGTAAATGGATCCACTGTTTTGAGAACGTGATTGCCCTGATCTACTTGGCTTCGCTCAGTGAATATGACCAATCTCTGGAGGAGAACACAAGCGAAGTAAGGAGGGGGATTTTTTTTTAAAAAAATGCATGTACATTTCCCTGTTTGTGTGTGCTGAAATCAGGTTTTAAGATCACAAGAAGAGCAGGCCAAGGGAGGGAGTTCCGCTGTTCTCCCTCCTGCATCAGGGAGTTCCGCAGTTTACTGTATTTTTCGCTCTATAAGACGCACCAGACCACAAGACGCACCTAGTTTTTGGAGGAGGAAAACAAGAAAATAAATATTCTGAATCTCAGAAGCCAGAACAGCAAGAGGGATCGCTGCGCAGCGAAAGCAGCAATCCCTCTTGCTGTTGTGGCTTCTGGGATAGCTGCGCAGCCTGCATTCGCTCCATAAGACGCACACACGTTTCCCCTTACTTTTTAGGAGGGGAAAAGTGAGTCTTATAGAGCAAAAAATACGGTAATTTGCAGGTGAGGCATCGCAACTCCTGGCAGATCCAACCTACCTCACTGCTGCCTATTCTCTGCCACCCTCCAAGGCCAAAGTTGGGCACTTAGGGGAAACTGCTGTCTGCTCAGATCGAGATGCCGCTCTGTCCAGGTTTAAAAACTGGCCAGGGCCTCCAAGCATTAGATTTTATGCCCATATGTGGCACTGTGGGTTAAACCACAGAGCCTAGGGCTTGCCGATCAGAAGGTCGGCGGTTCGAATCCCCGCGACGGGGTGAGCTCCCGCTGCTCGGTCCCTGCTCCTGCCCACCTAGCCGTTCAAAAGCACGTCAAAGTGCAAGTAGATCAATAGGTACCGCTCCGGCGGGAAGGTAAACGGTGTTTCCGTGCGCTGCTCTGGTTCGCCAGAAGTGGCTTCGTCATGCTGTCCACATGACCCGGAAGCTGTACGCCGGCTCCCTCAGCCAGTAAAGCAAGATGAGCGCCGCAACCCCAGAGTCAGCCACAACTGGACCTAACGGTCAGGGGTCCCTTTACCTTTTTATGCTGATTTAAGCTTCTCATGTCCTTTGGGATGAGAAGGAGGCATCCCTGCACCTTTTGTTATCAGGATTTTTTCCTTTCCACGTTACCTGGAGGGGAACGGGTGAACAAAGCACTGCACCCCCTGCAAAGGTCACCTTCCTCTGAGCTTCCTAGGTAAGGTTGCCATATGTCCTCTTTTCCCAGGACACGTCCTCTTTTTCAGGGGTAAAAATTCTGTCCGGGTGGATTTTTTTTCCCAATTTGCCAGAATGTCTCTGGCTATAATTTTTGGATGAGACATAAACATAACTGTGGGCTAAAGACTTGCTTTCCTCTTCTCCTGCCCCACCTCAGCAATAAAATCACAGCTTCTATATCCTACTTATGGTAGGGGTATTTAAAATGAGAGTCGTCATAGCCAGTGCCAGATTTACATATAAGCTAAACAAGCTATAGCTTAGGGCCCCACTCTCTTGGGGGCCCCCAAAAAAATTTAAAGGAAAATAACTGGATGTACATTTCCAAAATATAAGATTAAAAAACAAATAAAATAAAACCTATATACAGCAACAGTGTTTTGTGTTGTGTAGGCTCCTATGATGTAAGTCATGGGCCCCACCTGCTCCCTAAAATATCACTGGTTTGCTCCTTTCTATATATAGGGTGCCTACATTCTGCATGGACTGGTTGCAGGGCAACATGGGCAAATGGCTTTAGATACCTGTTGGCTCCATAAATTACCATATGGCATAGATTCAACACCAAAAAACAGCGGCAATTTGTTGTTGACAAAGGGCAGCTGGACATATAAAGGGCCCCATTACCTTCAGTAGCTTAGGGCCTCATCAAACCTAAATCCGGCCCTGGTCACAGCATCCTCTTTTTTGCTCTTCAAAATATGGCAACCCTAGCCGGCCCATTCCTGTTTAAATAAGCCCTTCAAAGTCACGAGGACTGGAATATTGTTTTATTTTTATTTTTTAAAGAAGAGACCGTAGCTCAATAGCAGGTCTCAGGCTTGGCATCTTCAGGTAGGGCTGGGAACTGTGCCCCTGCCTGAAACCTGATAGTGATAACAGCAAGAACCTTTATTGCACTACGTAACTGGGAAACAGGGGCAGAGCAGCTGCTTATATACATACCTGAAAGCCTGGGCCACTCCCACTCCCAACGTGATTGGCTCTCTAAACTTCCAAGCTGCGAATCACGGCTCAGAGCTCAAGGGCCAATGGCAGAGGCCCGAATCCTGAAATGTTCTGTGATTGGACGTCATGTATCGAATCAGAGCACAGGGGCTCAGAATCCTTAGTCTAGACTCAGGCAAACACAGTCCGCTGAATACATAACATAAAACAATGAGGACTAGGCTCTTAGCTTCACTTTGAGGGGGAAATGGTAGAGCCTTTGCTTAGTGGGAAGAAGGTCTGAGGTTCAGCCCTGGGCATCCCTGGGTAGGGCAGACTCCTTTTCTCTGAATCCCTGCTGCTTCTGGGCAGGGAAGGCACGACTGACTGAGAGGCCCGATTCCTTGCAAGTGTTCCTAAGTGCTTCCTTTCCCCTTTTGTCTCCACTTCCATGAGTTAGAACCGGATGAGGGAGAGTCTCGACCTCTTCAGAACCATCCTGGAGCTTCCGTGGTTCTGGAATACTTCCATCATCCTTTTCCTCAACAAGGTGGACATACTGGAGGAGAAGATCCTGAGCTCTGACCTGGCTGCTTATTTCCCAAGTTTCCCAGGTAATACTTCCTCCTCCCTCCAGCCAACTAGTGCAGAGTCCGGCATCCTCCAGCGTCAGTTATGGGCCTGGGAGATTAAGATTCAAATCCTGACCCACTGGGTGACATGATGGGGTGAGCTCTCCCATCGCTCTTTCCCAGCTCCTGCCAACCTAGCAGCTTGAAAGCACACCAGTGCAAGTAGATAAATAGGTATTGCTGTGGCGGGAAGGTAAACGGCGTTTCCGTGCGCTCTTGTTTCTGTTACAGTGTCCTGTTGTACCAGAAGTGGTTTAGTCCTGCTGGCCACATGACCCGGAAAGCCGTCTGTGGACAAACGCCAGCTCCCTTGGCCTGAAAGCGAGATGAGCGCCGCAACCCCCTAGTCGCTTCTGACTGGACTTAACCGTCCAGGGGTCCTTTACCTTTTGCACGCCTGTGACGTTGCATGTCTCTCTCGTGCTCAGGAGGAGCCTGCCTTTGATGCTGAGCCCATAATAATAATAATAGTAATAATAATTTATTATTTATAACCCGCCCATCTGGCTGGGTCCCCCCAGCCACTCTGGGCGGCTTCCAACAAAACACTAAAATACAATAACATATTAAACATTAAAAGCTTCCCTAAACAGGGCTGTCTTTAGATGTCTTCTAAAAGTTTGGTAGTTATTTTTCTCTTTGACATCTGGTAGGAGGGCATTCCACAGGGCAGGCGCCACCACCGCGAAGGCCTTCTGCCTGGTTCCCTGTAACTTGGCTTCTCGCAGCGAGGGAACCGCCAGAAGGCCCTCGGCGCTGGACCTCAGTGTCCGGGCAGAAAGATGGAGGTGGAGGTATACTGGACCAAGGCCGTTTAGGGCTTTCAAGGTCAGCACCAACACTTTGAATTGTGCTCGGAAACGTACTGGGAGCCAGTGTAGGTCTTTCAAGACCGGTGTTATATGGTCTCGGCGGCCGCTCCCAGTCACCAGTCTAGCTGCCGGTGCTCAGAGATTCAGCCTCCTTTGCCCCCTCAATATTGGGCAAGGCTGAGCCCCCTGCTAAGGAATATTGAGGGGGCTGACAGCACCACTGCCCCCTAGCGCTGGCACACCTAAAGGCTATCTCCTTGTATTTTCCCAGGCCCCAAGCGAGACGCTCACGCGGCCAAGCAGTTCATCCTTGAAATGTACATGGACATCTTCAGGAAGTTCTTGGTCCCTGGCGGGGACTTCGGAGGCGGTCCTTCCGGCGATGTGCACAGGCCACGGATCCTTTACTTCCACTTCACCTGTGCCACGGACACGCAGAACATTGGCACGGTTTTTGAGGACATTAAGGACGCAGTCCTGGCTGCCTACCTTGATGAGTTCAACCTGGTCTAGAAGGGTCTTGCGGACACTTCTAAAGGATCCCAATGACTCCACCCGTTTGCCTTAGAGGAGGCCTGGCGCATGGAATGCAAAACCGGCGGCTCTAAAGGCCCGTTTTAAAACGCCGGCGGGCACCGAGATCTGTCCAGCAGCATCACCCCTTGGGAATCCCAAAGGTGGGGGGGGGCGGACCTGGCTATTGCAGGCTGAGACCCGCTCCATTCAAAAGGGATTTCAAAACCCTGTGCTCTTTGGCCACCCTGCATAGCTGTCAACCGTCCCTTATTTGGCGGGAAAATCCCTTATCCCAGTGCCATGTCCCGCTGCTGTCCCTTATTGATGATGTCCCTTAAATTTCCCGGGTTTCAAAGGAAGCAGCTCCTCTCCCTCCCTCTCTGCCGGCCAGGGAGGAGGGAGGCTCCAGCTGTGTTGCTTGGCTGCATTGCTCACCCAATAAAGAGTCTAAGAATGACTGGGGGGTGGAGCCAATCAAATCGCCTTTGCTCAGCGCTTCCCAGCGGAGAGGTGACGGTGGTTTTCCTTGCTGCATCCCCTTTGCTGGGTTGCTGCGCTGTGGGAACCACCGCTTGAGGCTTCATTTGGCTGCTGGCTGGGCTTTCTGCCTTTGGCTCGGAGGGGCTCAGAAGTTGAACATACCTGTGCTTGGAAAATCCCTTATTTTGGCTGCTGATCCCTTATTTTTGAGGCTGCGGGTCCCTTATTTTCAAATCTGTAAGTTGACAGCTATGCCACCCTGATGAAAAGAGAAACGGGAGCAGAAATCCTCGGTCTCTGCTTCCTGGCCCCATGTCCGGAACTCGACCCAGCGGACAGGATCAGTATTGGCTGTTCCTTCCAGTCCACAGACAATATGTGGTTGATGAGGGCTGGATCTGTACGTTTCAGGAAAACGCGTTGTAAAGCTCATAATGGGAAAATTGCCAGAGGATAGGACTCTACAGCGCCATCTGGTGCCACAATGTTATAACGCTGAAAACAAAACAAAGCATCGCTGAGTCCTAGGCCTTGACTCCAGCTCACTTCCTGAGGCAGCGTTCACACAGCCATTTGTTCCGTTCCCCTGCTTATTTCTGCACCATATTCGAGCTTTCGCACAACATGAAACCGCTTCCGGAAATCTAGTGGAACACGGTGGAGGTTTAGCTCTCGCTTCCGTGTTATCTGCTCCAGAAACGACTTGTTTGCAGCCCCACCAGCCCAGAAAATTGCAGGAATAAAGTGACAAAATCTGGGGCAGTATATGGTTTTCTTCCTACTTTTTTGGGGGGGGGGGGATCATGGGGGAGCAGAAGCCGGTCTGTGCAGAAAGAGTGCCCTTTTCTTCTTGCAACCTGGACATATCTGTCAAATCGGGTCTATATTTTCCCCTGAATCTTAATTTCACTTCTTCACATTTCCACAGCAATTTGTAGTGCACACTGTGTTTATTTTCCAGATCCTCCTGTGATAGGTCTGCCAGCATTTTAGTGCAAATTTCTCCTCAATAAACACATTTTTTGTATGCATCATTTTTTTTAAAACTCACATACACCTTTTTGCAAGCAATATTAAAATGCACACAGAATCGTATTTCTCCTCCATTCGTAGCAGGGCTTCGGGGAGAGACCCAGCTGGTGCAAACTGCTGCGTGTGAGCCAGTGTGGTGTAGTGGTTAAGAGCGGTGGACTCGTAATCTGGTGAACCAGGTTCGATTCCCTGCTCCTCCACATGCAGCTGCTGGGTGACCTTGGGCTAGTCACACTTCTCTGAAGTCTCTCAGCCTCACACACCTCACAGAGTGTTTGTTGTGGGGGAGGAAGGGAAAGGAGATTGTTAGCCGCTTTGAGACTCCTTAGGGTAGTGATAAAGCGGGATATCAAATCCAAACTCTTCTTCTTCAAACTCTGCTGTGGCCATTGATGGGGACATAAGTCGTGCTCAAATGCTTGCACTGGGTGCCCGTACGCTGCCAAGCCAGGTTCAAGGCTATTGTGGGTGGTGCTGTGGTCTAAACCACTGAGCCTCTTGGGCTTGCCGATCAGAAGGTCGGTGGTTCAAATCCCCACGATGGAGCGAGCTCCCGTTGCTTGGTCCCAGCTCCTACCAACCTAGCAGTTCGAAAGCACACCAGGGCAAGTAGATAAATAGGTATCACTGCAGCAGGAAGGTAAACGGCGTTTCTGTGCGCTCTGGTTTCCGTCACGGTGTCCCATTGCGCCAGAAGCGGTTTAGTCCTGCTGGCCACATGACCCAGAAAGCTGTCTGTGGACAAACGCCAGCTCCCTCGGCCTGAAAGTGAGATGAGCGCCACAACCCCATAGTCGCCTTTGACTGGACTCCTTTGTGTTTGCCTTTACCAAGGTTCTTGCATTAAGGCCCTTAACAACGTGGGGGTGTATGGGGTGTTAGGGAAGGGGGAGTACCTCTGGTGGTGGCATACAGTGGTATCTCGAGTTACATACGCTTCAGGTTACATACGCTTCAGGTTACAGACTCCACTAACCCAGAAATATTACCTCGGATTAAGAACTTTGCTTCAGCATGAGAACAGAAATCGTGCTCCGGCGGCGCAGCAGCAGCAGGAGGCCCCATTAGCTAAAGTGGTGCTTCAGGTTAAGAACAGTTTCAAGTTAAGAACAGACTTCCAGAACGAATTACCGTATTTTTTGCTCTATAAGACCCACTTTTTCCCTCCAAAAAGGTAAGGGGAAATGTGTGTCCGTCTTGTGGAGCAAATGCAGGCTTCACAGCTATCCCAGAAGCCAGAACAGCAAGAGGGATTGCTGCTTTCACTGCGCAGTGATCCCTCTTGCTGTTCTGACTTCTGAGATTCAGAAAAAAAAAATTCTTGTTTTCCTCCTCCAAAAACTAGGTGCGTCTTGTGGTCTGGTCGTCTTATAGAGCGAAAAATACGGTAAGTTCTTAACATAGAATCATAGAATCATAGAGTTGGAAGAGACCACAAGGGCCATCGAGTCCAACCCCCTGCCAAGCAGGAAACACCATCAGAGCACTCCTGACATATGGTTGTCAAGCCTCTGCTTAAAGACCTCCAAAGAAGGAGACTCCACCACACTCCTTGGCAGCAAATTCCACTGTCGAACAGCTCTTACTGTCAGGAAGTTCTTCCTAATGTTTAGGTGGAATCTTCTTTCTTGTAGTTTGGATCCATTGCTCTGTGTCCGCTTCTCTGGAGCAGCAGAAAACAACCTTTCTCCCTCCTCTATGTGACATCCTTTTATAACATCCTTTAACATCCTCTATGTGACATCCTTTTATATTAACCCGAGGTACCACTGTATTGTGCTCCACCTGGGGTAGTTTGTCCATCTTTGGTCCCCACCTTGCAATCAGCTCTCGCCTGCGGCTCCCAGAAGCTGTCAGCATGCAACAGCGGCCACAATCCCTGTCCGGCTAAACCAGGTGAGGGCAGCCGGTGGGTCTCCAACCCTCAGTGAGTTAGGAGTTTTCCTTGCATGTGAAGACAGGCTGTGGTGGATTGAGTGGACGAGACCAAGACTGTGTCCAACAGCCAAGAAGGCAGTTTCTGCATGTGCTGTAGAGGCAAATGAGAAGCAACTTGGGAAAGTAGTCCATCGAGAAGGAAAGCACCAATCCTAAACCTCTGCCTAAACTTGCAGGTTATCTTGGAGAGAAGACGCAGCTCAGGAATAAACCCTACACAAATCTGGAGTGGAGTCCTGCAGCCAAGCCGGTGCCAAACGTCTTGCTCTGCTTTCCTTTGGACGCCCATCTTCAAGGTTGAGAGGCGGGGTCTTGTCGTCTCATTTCATTTTCGTTTTTTAATTTGTATACCATCTTTCTATCTTACAACACTCAAGGCAGTTTACAAGCTGAAGAAGCAAAAAATGTACATCTTGTAACAATGCAAAAGTGTGATAACAAAACTTTAAAATAGGCAACCTACATCAAAACAGTAACTTTCAACAATCATTAAAGGTAAAGGCAAAGGGACCCCTGACCATTAGGTCCAGTCGTGACCGACTCTGGGGTTGCGGCGCTCATCTCGCTTTATTGGCCGAGGGAGCCGGCGTACAGCTTCCGGGTCATATGGCCAGCAGGACTAAGCTGCTTCTGGCGAACCAGAGCAGCGCACGGAAACACCGTTTACCTTCCCGCCAGAGCGGTACCTATTTATCTACTAGCACTTTGACGTGCTTTCGAACTGCTAGGTTGGCAGGAGGTGGGACCAAGCAACGGGAGCTCACCCTGTTGCGGGGATTCGAAAAACAGTAACAGTAATACATCAAAACAGTAACTTTCAACAATCATTAGAATAGTATTAAAAAATAATAACATATAAAAGATAAACAGAAATCCACTCAACAGTTACAATAAATAATTTCTAAACTATAATCAATCAAACAACGGCAAGCCGCTGAAATATACTCGGAGTTGAGAGTGGATTTCATGCTCTTTATTCAGCTCTTAGAGGTGAGGAGGAATGGAAGTTCCCCCAGAATGTCTGCTTTATCTACATTATTTACCCCAATGGGCCCCACGTGATTGGCTAATTCCGGGATTCACCTGTAGGCCAATCAGGTTGCAGATTCACTTCCACCTGGAGCTGGATTGGGTGGCTCCTGTGGACCAATCAGACTGCTGCATTCTGAATCCTGTTGTTCTAGGGCCAATCAGACTGCTGCCTTTTGGATCCTATTCAACTCAGTACATAACAGCCACGGTACATAAAATAATACAATACAAATTGAGATGCAGAGACTAGAGGCCTTGCCTGATGGAGTCTCCCCCTTACAGTTCTTCTTCCAGGACCAGCTTCCTTATGAGGAGTCCCAGGGCCAGGCTTGCACCCCAGAGAGGGGGCGTTGTGATAGGAATTTTGAGGTCTTAGATATATGGTAATGTTCATAACCGCACGGACATAGATCAGCACAGGAAGACCGACCTGGAACCATTTTGATTCCTAAACTGAGCCAATGTTTTCTCTGCAAGGTCAAAGTGGAAAAGCCTCCCCATTGTCTCTTTCCTCACAAATCCTGTCTTAAGGGCACATTTGAGATATGAATAGGGTGTGAGCCTGTGACCTGGCCCAGGAACTAAGTATTTATCACTACAAAAGACTGGCCAGGATCCCCAGGCAATCCAATCAAGTAACCTGCCAGACAGGAGAAAAACAACATTCAAATTTCTGTTTTAGACCGCCTTTTCTGTGATGTAGGTATGATGTATCTGAGGGGTGGTCTGAGGTTACACCCCTTCTGTGATGTAGGTGTGATGTATCTGAGGGGTGGTCTTAGGTTACACCCCTTCTGTGATGTAGGTATGATGTTTCTGGGGGTGGTCTTGATCTACAGGGTGGCAATTTCAAAAGTCTTTATAAGGCCTTGAACACCATTTTTCTGGGTCCCTCCTCTCTCCTGCGTGTGAGGGGAGCACCCTGTTGCAACGGATCAATAAAGATCAAGCATACTAGCTGCTTTGCTTCCCAATATTCTCTGGTTGGCCTCTGTTATTCTCTCCTACCAATAGGGAACCTATGTAAGGACTCTATATGGGCTCTTGGATACCCCATAAGGGAAATGGGCATTTTTTTGTTTACAACAGCGTGTTCCATTGTCTCTCGAGACAGATGGATTGCAGCACCAAAAACAACTTCTGCAAACCTGGGGAGGGGTGGTTTCCTTGCAGCTGCTTACACTTCCGTCTTGGGAATGAATGGGGCAGTTTTGATGGCTGATGTTGAACGTCTCCCAGATCCTAAGCATATAGGAAACGGAAGGGTTTTGCACTGCCTTGGCCAGAACAGGTACTGTATTTTTTTGCTCTATAAGACTCACTTTTCCCCTCCTAAAAAGTAAGGGGAAATGTGTGTGTGTCTTATGGAGCGAATGCAGGCTGCGCAGCTATCCCAGAAGCCAGAACAGCAAGAGGGATTGCTGCTTTCGATCCGCAGCGATCCCTCTTGCTGTTCTGGCTTCTGGGATTCAGAATATTTTTTTCTTGTTTTCCTCCTCCAAAAACTAGGTGCGTCTTGTGGTCTGGTGCGTCTTATAGAGCGGAAAATACAGTAGTCGAAATGAGCTCACGAGTTCCTTTGACTCACTTGGTTGGGCCAACAAGAAGGGAAGGAGAAGGAGGGAAAGAGGCTGGTGGAATTATCTCAAATGGATGCTTTGCTTGCCAAGGGGAGAGAGACGCCTGGTGTTTAATTGTCCATCGCAAAGACTTTTTAAAAAATTATTATTAAAAAACAACAACCACTGTGCATTTGATTCCTCTTCCTTGCTTAAAATGGCAATCAGATAGATGATTCGTGTGGTTTGATCTTGGCAGGTCCCCAACTGCCGCTGAGAAATGGGCCGAACTGAGAAACTGCTCCAGTAGGAGCATAACCTTCAAAGCCCTATATGGCCTATAGGGCCTATAGGACCCTCGTTGTTGGCTATTTGCAGTATGTCTCCAGATGTCTCAAATGTGCTGCCAAATCACCACCAGGCTGCAACTTCGTCTGGTACAACTGCTTGAAAAACGTCAATGCAGACGCTGACTCTTTTCTAACATGCACTGCTGCAAGACTGTCCCACATTTCTTTGGCAGTTTTCTTATTCCTTATATAGACTACTTGCTGGTCGCTGACTGCCAAATTAATTATCGCCCTGGCTTTTGCATCTCCTTTCGACCAAGCATTAGTTACAGGGTTAGGAGGGCCATCAGTTACATAGGTCCATACATAAGTCTAGAGGTCAAAAGCGCCTCCACCCTAAAAGACCATAAACTATAGTTCTCATCTGTCAGCTGTGGGAAGACCAGAGCCTTCTCAGCTTCAGGAACCCGGTCAACCATTCTGGAACTCTTCCAGACCCACAGAACTACGCTAACAGGAGAAGGAGTTTTCAAACCTTTCTCAGAGTCCAAAAACATGCAGTCATCCACTCAGCAGCTGGGCCCATAACCAAAGATGTTGGCTATTTGCAGTATGGTAGCGCTGCAGAGAGCTTGCTGGGGAGACCATGCATTAAAAAGGGACTCAAAAATAACTTAAACAAGGTTTTAATTACAAAAACAAAACTCCTTATACACTAAATACATCAACAACAAACCAGACCCAACCACCAACCCATCCCCCAGGGTAATGGGAGAGCTAGGTGCTGCTCCTTATATACTACACCCAATTGCCAACACAACTTAATCAGTACAACTCGGCAGCACCTGCTATGTTTCACAGCTGTAAAGCTGGGTCTCGTTATCTTGCTCTGGCCCCTTAAAGACATACACATCGAGTGGAACAGTGATGCACCTTTACATTTAAAGAAACCATTCAACACTCGTACCTACGGGACCGCCTCTCCTGGTATGTCCCATGGAGGACCTTACGGTCTTCAAACAAAACATCTTGAAGGTCCCAGGCCACAGAGAGGTTAGGCTGGCCTCAACCAGAGCCAGGGCTTTTTCGGCTGTGGCCCCGATCTGGTGGAACGCTCTGCCACAAGAGACTAGGGCCCTGCAGGACTTGACATCTTTCCGCAGGGCCTGCAAGACAGAGCTGTTCCACCAGGCCTTTGGCCAGGGCGCAGCCTGATTCCCTCCTTTGGCAATCCTCACAGAACATTAGCCCAATGGTTGCCATCAATTTGATTTGAATTAATTTTATAATGAAATGATTTTAGAATGTTGTATTGTTTTATTGATGTTAGTTGCCGTGAGCCCGGCTTCGGCTGGGGAGGGCGGGATATAAATAAAATTTATTATTATTATTATTATTATTATTATTATTATTATTATTATTATTACACCCTCTCCCAACACCCCATACACCCTAGAGAGAAGCGTACTGGGGACAGACTAAAAGACAGAAGGATGTGCAGGGGAGAAAGGGGGAATGATAACAGGCCTCAACCAAATCTGCTTTGTGTAGTTGTTTTTTCTGAAACCATGCAGCATGGTTGCAAACAACCCTCTCCACTTTTTAAAGTGGAAAAGCTGGGAACTGAACCTGGGACCTTCTGCCTTGTTGTTCTTGTTGTTGTTGTGGTTTGAATTTATATACTGGCCTACACCTGGCGGTCTCAGAGAGGTTCACAGAAAAGCTCACAACGTATATAATCAGAATAAAAACAACCACTCAATATCATCTCCCCAGGAAATAGCCACATTTTAAAAGGGTAAAGCGACCCCTGACCATTAGGTCCAGTCGTGGCCGACTCTGGGGTTGCGGCGCTCATCTCGCTTTACTGGCCGAGGGAGCCGGCGTACAGCTTCCGGGTCCTGTGGCCAGCATGACTAAGCCGCTTCTGGCGAACCAGAGCAGCGCACGGAAACGCCGTTTACCTTCCCGCTGGAGCCGTACCTATTTATCTACTTGCACTTTGACGTGCTTTCGAACTGCTAGGTTGGCAGGAGCAGGGACCGAGCAACGGGAGCTCACCCCGTCATTGCGGGGATTCAAAACGCCGACCTTCTGATCGGCAAGTCCTAGGCTCTGTGGTTTAACCCACAGCACCCCCACATCCCTGTTGCTGTATGTAGGTTGTATTTTATTTGTTTTTTATCTTATATTTTGGAAATGTACATCCAGTTTTTTTCCCTTTAATTTTTTTGGGGGCCCCCAAGAGAGCGGGGCCCTAAGCTATAGCTTGTTTAGCTTATACGTAAATCCGGCACTGCCAACTTGGAGGCTATGCCCAGCAATGGAGTATGAAGTAGGCAAACAAAGAGGAGTCCCGAAGCCCGTTTAGGGGTTCTGCCCGTCCTCGCTAGCAGGAAAAACCAGGTAACAAAAGCAGTTCTGTGGGAGACTTCAGGGTGCCCTATTGATTCAGCAAATATCTCCTCTCTCTCCACCCAGCACAAATCCCTCCATCGTTTAATCTGCCCAAAGTATAACAGACTTTTAACCACCAGTTCTGCGTGGAAAATGGCAGATAATGCCAGCTAAAAGCTAATCACCGGCCCCTTGTCATTTATCAAGCAGCTCATGGCATTATCTCCATCTTTCAGTTTGAACAGTCATCTGACGGAAAGACCTCCTTTGCCTCCCCTGCTACAATTAAGGTCATCTCCTGCTGGAAGGCCACTAAGCTATCAGAGAGTTCTTAGAAAGGGAAGGTACATGAGAACATGATAAGATGAGCCCGGACAATGGCCAACCAGAAGTTCCAGCAGTGGGGAACCCGCAAACAGGATTTGAATACAAGAGCAACTCTCCTCCTCTGTGATTTAAGAAGTGTGATGGCCTCCTGTTATGTACTGAGTTGAATAGGATCCAAAATGCAGCAGTCTGATTGGTCCTAGAACAATAGGATCCAAAATGCAGCAGTCTGATTGGTCCTAGAACAATAGGATCCAAAATGCAGCAGTCTGACTGGTCCGAGAACAATAGGGTCCAGAATGCAGCAGTCTGATTGGTCCTAGAACAATAGGATTCAGAATGCAGCAGTCTGATTGGTCCACAGGAGCCACTCAATCCAGCTCCAGGTGGAAGTGAATCCACAACCTGATTGGCCTACAGATGAATCCCGGAATTAGCCAATCACGTGGGGCCCATTGTGTAAATAATGTATATAAAGCAGATACTTTGGGCGGACTTTCATTCCTCCTCACCACTATGAGCTGAATAAAGAGCATGAAATCCACTCTCGACTCTGAGTATATTTCACCTCCGATTGTGCAGGTTGGAACCATGGACGTTGTGGCTCAACCTCTTTTCAAAGCCATCGAAAGTTGGCGGCCACCACAATCTCGTTTGGAGCGGGTTCCATACTTTTAACTAAGCACTGAGTGAGCGACAAGAACCCGCCGACAGCATGCGAATCAATCTGGCTAACCTGATTCAACAATACACACACGCACCCCGCTCACACACAAAAACAAATCTCCCTACAGCCAGCCAAAGACAACCAACCACACCCCAAGCCACCACCAACCTTTCTCACCACCAAAGAAACACAACAAGCAAATAGTAAGAGAACCAACACAAGTGATTCTAGATTCAGGTAGGCAGCCATGTTGGTCTGACGCAGTCAAAATATATAAGAAAATTAAAAATTGTCCAGTAGCACCTTAGAGACCAACTAAGTTTGTTCCGTATAGTAAAAGCTATGGTTTTCCCAGTAGTGATGTATGCAAATGAGAGCTGGACCATAAAGAAGGCTGATCGCCGAAGAATTGATGCTTTTGAATTCTGGTGCTGGAGGAGACTCTTGAGAGTCCCATGGACTGCAAGATGATCAAACCTCTCCATTCTGAAGGAAATCAGCCCTGAGTGCTCATTGGAAGGACAGATCCTGAAGCTGAGGCTCCAAGACTTTGGCCACCTCATGAGAAGAGAAGACTCGCTGGAAAAGACCTTGATGTTGGGAAAGATGGAGGGCACAAGGAGAAGGGGACGACAGAGGGCGAGATGGTGGGACAGTGTTCTCAAAGCTGCTAACATGAGTTTGACCAAACTAAGGGAGGCAGTGGAAGACAGGAGGGCCTGGTGTGCTCTGGTCCAGGGGGTCATGAAGAGGCGGACACGACTAAACGACTAAACAACAACAACAAACAACAAGTTTGTTCTGAGTATAAGCTTTCGTGTGCATGCACACTTCTTCATCATCCTTAGTTGGGCATTTCACACTTTGGGCACACTGCATGGCAGCTTCCTGAACCCCAGCAGGATCCAATCACAAGGTGATGATACATTTATACCCCTCCTATCTGGCTGGGTTTCCCCAGCCACTCTGGGCAGTTTCTAACAGAATATTAAAAAATATGATAAAACATCAAACATTAAAAACAGGTCTGCCTTCAGATGACTTCTAAGAGTCAGATAGTTGTTTATTCCTTGACACCTGATGGGAGGGCGTTCCACAGGGCGGGTGCCACCACCGAGAAGGCCCTCTGCCTGGTTCCCTGTAACCTCACAGTGAGGGAACTGCCAGAAGGCCCTCGGAGCTGGACCTCAGTGTCCCGGCTGGACGATGGGGGTGGAGATGCTCCACATATACTGGGCCCAGGCCGTTTGGGGTTTAAAGGTCAGCACCAGCACTTTGAATTGTGCTCGGAAACGTACTGGGAGCTAATGTAGGCCTTTCAGGACTGGTGTTATATGGTTCCGGCAGCTGCTCCCAGTCACCAGGCTAGCTGCCACATTCTGGATTAGTTGTCATTTCCAAGTCACCTTCAAAGGTAGCCCCACGTAGAGCGCATGGCAGTAGTCCAAGCGAGAGATGACTAGAGCATGCACCACTCTGGCCAGACAGTCTGTGGGCAGGGAGGGTCTCATCCTGCGTACCAGATGGAGCTGGTGGACAGCTGCCCTGGACACAGAATTGACCTGCGCCTTTATGGACAGCTGTGAGTCCAAAATGACTCCCAGGCTACGCACCTGGTCCTTCAGAGGCACAGTTGCCCCATTCAGGACCAGGGAGTCCTCCACACCTGCCCGCCCCCTGTCCCCCAAAAACAGTACTTCTGTCTTGTCAGGATTCAATCTCAATCTGTTAGCCGCCACCCATCCTCCAACCGCCTCGCTATCTGATTGCCGTTTTAGCTTGCTTAAGCTTGCTTGGAACCGCCACTATCAGATTTTCACATCTCCGTTGCTTCCTGGGGAGGTGTAGTCCAACGCTAATAAAAGCTGTGAGTTTGAGGGGCTGGACAGTTAAGTGCCAGGCAGTTCCGTAGCTTGAACGTAGCAGAACGTCAAGATGTTGAGATTCAGTCGGCCTCTCCTACTTCTACTCCTGTCCTTGTCATGGGCCCAAACAGGTGAGTTAAACAAAAAACAAAGGACCGCCTTTGATGAGCTGTTTTCTGCTGCTCCCTTTCAGGCTAAGTCAGTCTCAATTCCTTCCCTTTGAGATGTTCAGGGTGCGAGTGCCGTTCATTTTTATGTCGCCAGAACGGCACCAGCCGTGTGCAAGGGAGGTAAAGGTAAGGGGACCCCTGACCATTAGGTCCAGTCGTGGCCGACTCTGGGGTTGTGGCGCTCATTTCACTTTATTGGCCGAGGGAGCCGGCATACAGCTTCCAGGTCATGTGGCCAGCATGACTAAGTTGCTTCTGGCGGACCAGAGCAGTGCACGGAAATGCTGTTTACCTTCCCGCTGGAGCGGTACCTATTGATCTACTTGCACTTTGACGTGCTTTCGAACTGCTAGGTTGGCAGGAGCAGGGACCGAGCAACGGGAGCTCACCCCGTCACGGGGATTCGAACCGCTGACCTTCCGATCGGCAAGTCCTAGGCTCTGTGGTTTAACCCACAGCGCCACCCTCGTCCCTGTGTGCAAGAGAAGAGAGTGCCAAATTTGCACAGCCAGAGAACATTCATAAACATAAGTTTGTATCCAACCTGAGTCCTAGAGCAGACCCATTCAAATGAATAGGCGTGACTAGAATCGTAGCTCTGGAAGGGGGATCCCCAACTGAGATTATTTGCAATGGGACTACCCAGAGTAGGATTTAGCTGAATGCCTCTCAGGGTTTGCAAGTGGACCTATTGAAATGTACGAGCGTGGCTAAGGTCCATTTATTTTATTTATTTCTGCTCTGAGCAGAAATTGCTTGGAGTCAGCCCTTTAAAAGGGGTGGCAAATAAATTTTAAATGTTCTCCAACTTTGTGGGGTGGACCTCATAAGGCAGCAAGGAGGGGAGCACTCCTGGTGAACTGATCTCTGGGATAGCTCAGTTTGCAAAGCATGAGACTCTTAATCTCAAGGTCGTGAGTTTGAGCCCCACGTTGGGCAAAAGGTTCCTGCCAATGGCTTCAAGTTATAAGAAAGGAGATTCCAACTAAGCAACAGGAAGAACTTTTGATTAATAATAATACTAATAATAATTTATTATTCATACCCCGCCCATCTGCCTGGGTCTCCCCAGCCACTCTGGGCGGCTTCCAACAAAGTATTAAAATACAGTGGTCTGTTAAACATTAAAAGCTTCCCTAAACAGGTCTGCCTTCAGATGTCTTCTAAAAGTCTGGTAGTTGTTGTTCTCTTTGACATCTGATGGGAGGGCGTTCCACAGGGCAGGTGCCACCACCGAGAAGGCCCTCTGCCTGGTTCCCTGTAACTTGGCTTCTTGCAGTGAGGGAACCGCCAGAAGGTCCTTGGCGCTGGACCTCAGTGTCCGGGCAGAACGTTGGGGGTGGAGACGCTCCTTCAGGTATACTGGGCCGAGGCCAGTATAAGAGTTGTTTGGCAGTGGAATGGTCTCCCTTGGAAGGTGATGCTCTCCTTCGTGGGAGGCTTTTAAGCAGAGGTTGGACGGCCATCTGTCCTGGATGCTTTAGCTGAGATTCCTGCATTGCAGGGGGTTGGACTGGATGACCCTTAGGGTCCCTTCCAACTCGACAATTTGGTGATTCTGTAATCTATTGACGCTGCTCCTCCATGACGGTGGTGTGAATCGGGTGTGGTCTCCAAGTGGTCTCGAGGCAAGTCCAGACTCCTTTCCTTTGAAACTGATCTGACTCACCAAGGGCAACCCTGCTCATCTCCCCTTTCCAAGCCTGCCCACCTCTGTCCCAAGCAGGCAGCTGCAAGCTTAGAGGAGAGAGAAATTTAGGGAGACCTTTCTGTGACACAGGGACGCGGGTGACGCTGTGGGTAAAACCTCAGCGCCTAGGGCTTGCCAATCGCATGGTCGGCAGTTCGAATCCCCGCGACGACGGGGTGAGCTCCCGTCTTTCGGTCCCAGCTCCTGCCCACCTAGCAGTTCGAAAGCACTCCTAAGTGCAAATAGATAAATAGGTACCGCTTTATAGCGGGAAGGTAAATGGCGTTTCCGTGCGCTGCGCTGGCTCGCCAGATGCAGCTTGTCACGCTGGCCACGTGACCCGGAAGTGTCTCCGGACAGCGCTGGCCCCCGGCCTCTTAAGTGAGATGGGCGCACAACCCTAGAGCCGGACACGACTGGCCCATACGGGCAGGGGTACCTTTACCTTTTACCTTCTGTGGCACAGCTGCTTTTGGAATACCGGTCGCCTCGACTCGAAAAGGATATTGTTAAGTGCTGGGGAAGGTTCAGAAAAGGGTTAGGGTTAGGTTCGCCTAGGAAGAAAGGTTGCAGCATTTAGGGCTTTTGTTGCTGTTATTTAGAGAAAAGGTGAGTAAAGAGGAAGCATGAAGGAAGTTTGTAAAATGATGCATAGAAAGAGGAAGTTTTCTCCCCTTCTCTTGTAACGCTAGAAGTCGCAGAAGGGCATTCATTGCAGCTGAATGTTGTAAGATACAGGATAGGTAAAGGGAAGTCTTTCATGCACCACAATTCTGTGTCCAGGGCAGATGTCTCCATCTGGTACGCAGGATGAGACCCTATCTGCCCGCAGACTGTCTTGCCAGAGTGGTGCATGCTCTGGTTATCTCCCGCTTGGACTACTGCAATGCACTCTCCGTGGGGCTACCTTTGAAGGTGACCCGGAAACTACAACTAATCCAGAATGCGGCAGCTAGACTGGGGACTGGGAGAGGCCACCGAGACCATATAACACCGGTCCTGAAAGACCTACATTGGCTCCCAGGACTTTTCCAAGCACAATTCAAAGTGTTGGTGCTGACCTTTAAAGCCCTAAACAGCCCAGTAGACCTGAAGGAGTGTCTCCACCTCCATCGTCCAGCCTGGACACTGAGGTCCAGCTCCAAGAGCCTTCTGGCAGTTCCCTCCCTGCGAGAAGTGAGGTTACAGGGAACCAGGCAGAGGGCCTTCTCGGCCCTCCCATCAGATGTCAAGGAAATAAACTGACTTTTAGAAGACATCTGAAGGCAGCCCTGTTTAGGGAAGTTTTTAATGACTGATGTTTTAATTGTATTTTTAATCTTTTGTTGGAAGCCACCCAGAGTGGCTGGGGAAACCCAGCCAGATGGGTGGGGTATGTATGTATAAATAAGAACAACAACAACAACAACAATAACAACAACAACAACAACTTGAGTGGCTTTAAAAGAGAATTAGACTCTGTTAGGCACTAGAGGACAGAAGTGCCTGGCGTGCTCTGGTCCATGGGGTCACGAAGAGTCGGACACGACTAAACAACAAGGCACTAGATGGGCCAGGGAGCCTGATCCAGCAGTTTCATCTCATATTCTCATGGTCTACTCAACAGCTTGTCTATAATGGGAAAATGGAGCTTCCATTCAAGGAGAAGTATACCAGATCTCTTCCTCCTGCCCACCTGGGTGGTGCCCTTAAAACTAGCAAGAGGCAACAGACAGACTCTGACCTCCGCTAATAATAATAATAATAATAATAATAATAATAATAATAATTTATTATTTATACCCCGCCCATCTGGCTGAGTTTCCCCAGCCACTCTGGGCGGCTCCCAATCAAGTATTAAAAACAATACAGCGTCAAATATTAAAAACTTCCCTGAACAGGTCTGCCTTCAGATGTCTTTTAAAGAGAAGATAGCTGCTTATTTCTTTCACATCTGAAGGGAGGGCGTTCCACAGGGCGGACGCCACCACCGAGAAGGCCCTCTGCCTGGTTCCCTGTAACCTCACTTCTCGCAATGAGGGAACCGCCAGGAGGCCCTCGGAGCTGGACCTCAGTGTCTGGGCTGAACGACGGGGGTGGAGACGCTCCTTCAGGTATACTGGGCCGTTTAGGGCTTTCAAGGTCAGCACCAACACTTTGAATTGTGCTCGGAAATGTACTGGGAGCCAATGCAGATCTCTTAGGACCAGTGTTATGTGGTCCTGGCAGCCGCTCCCAGTCCCCAGTCTAGCTGCCGCATTCTGGATTAATTGCAGTTTCTGGGTCACCTTCAAAGGTAACCCCACGTAGAGCGCATTGCAGTTGTCCAAGCGGGAGATAACTAGAGCATACACCACTCTGGAGAGACAGTCTGTGGGCAGGGAGGGTCTCATCCTGCGTACCAGATGGAGCTGGTAAACAGCTGCCCTGGACACAGAACTGACCTGCGCCTCCATGGACAGCCGTGAGTCCAAAATGACTCCCAGGCTGCGCACCTGGTCCTTCAGGGGCACAGTTACCCCATTCAGGACCAGGGAATCCTCCACACCCGCCCGCCCCCTGTCCCCCCAAAACAGTACTTCTGTCTTGTCAGGATTCAACCTTGTGATTTTTATTTTTATTTTTGCAGCACATTTGCGGAGCCAGATCGTCGGAGGCCAGGAAGCAGTACCCCACTCCAGACCCTACATGGCAACCCTCAAAATGGACTTGGGCTATGGCTGCGGCGGGTTCCTGGTGGACCCCCAGTGGGTAATGACGGCCGCACACTGCATGAGGTACGTCTCACTATTCCCTAGTGGTTGCCAGGGTCCAAGCTAATGGTCGGAGGCTGGTCTTCTGTACAGGTGCTGGCAATGCCTTTGTAGCCAGCTGGGGAAGTGAAAAATGTGGAAGCAAATGAGCTTTGCAAGGTGAAGTCTCTCCCTCTCTCTCCCTTCTCCCCGCTGCTGCAACCACCTGCTCTTTGCAAGCAGAGCTGCGGTTGTCAATATTGCACATATGGAAGCAATAGGATGAATAAAAGCGGGCGGAGCTTATGGAATCAAAAATTTCCCACTCCAAAAATGCGGTTTCAAAGCTTTGCTAGCAGAACTCGTTGCAAAACAGACCCAAAACAATTAACATTACATCTGAATAGTCGTGTGAAATCATATGCTTGTCCAGGCCTAGGTTCAGCTTCTTAGAAACATTAAATAACTTCGGCCAGAGCTGTAAACAAAGCTCTCACAGGCTCCATTCCAGCCAAAGTTGTTCTCTCGTGGAGAGAAAACATTAGGACACATGCTTTCTTCTACGGTGCTTGAGAACAAAGACCAACTCCCTCCAAATGGAGATTTGCAGCTGAATACCTTTCCCATGTGACCTAAAGTTATACACCTCTGGGACAAAGCAGCAGAGATGCCGTCTTAGTTCATTACCAACCTATTAGGCAAACTGGTGTAGAAATCTGAAGAGCTGAATTTAAGACTGGGGAAATGGACAGATTCCCCCATCCTGCCTGTCACCAAGAGAGAACGATAGCTGAGGGTTGATTCACAGTTCACTAACCCTTACCAATGCACACTGGTGCCCTTGTTTTCCAGCGAGATGACCGTGGTTTTGGGGGCACACGACCGCTCTGCCATCGAGAACACTCAACAGGTGATCGGCGTTGAGTCGTACCACATCCACCCGGAATATAATCGTGTAACGGTTTCAAACGATATCCTTTTGCTCAAGGTAAGTTGCTCCAGGCTCCCTCTTCCATTCTCAGCACCCTCAAAGCCAGTGGCCTTGGTGGATAAATCTGAAATACATAAATAAAATAACAATTAAACAAAAAAAGGCAGTGACCTCAAGTAGGAAGGGGCAAGTCCTAGGTTCTGTGGTTTAACCCACAGCGCCACCTGCGTCCCTTTTTGCTTCTTACTCTGCCAAAATTATCAGTCTGTCAGATTCTCTTCAGCTGTCAAATTGTATCCTCTTCCCCCCCCCAAAAGGAAACTTGACACAACTGTTTCATATATATATATATATATACACAAAAGAAGGAAACCGTTTCAAAAATCCAAGTCAAATGGTTGCTAAATCTCCATGGCTGTAAATGCCTCTTTATCTCCCATTCACAAAAACGTCCCTTGCAGAACCTGTCCACAGAAATCGGAAGCTGACTTCCTTTTTGGCTTCCGTTTCGCCAAATCAGTCAATTAAAACCTGGTTTCTCTTCTTAAAAACTTTACTTGGCTTTCACCAATTCGCTGCTTCTGGTGACGGTGTGTGGCTTCGGCAATAGGGTGCAGTGGAGCCCGGGGATTGGTGGGGATGAGTTTTCAGCTTGTGTGTTATCTTATTTTAAGAGGGAAACAAAGGGGAAATTGACCAGGAAGAATCCAGCTCGCCGTTCTCTGCACCCATCTGTTGTGCCACAGCTGAGTCACCCACTGGACTTATTTATTCTATTTACTGAATTTATATACCGCCCTATACCCGGAGGTCTCTGGGCAGTTCACAGAATAAAATCAAGATATAAAACCACAAAATACCTAATAAAAATAAAAACAACAACCTAATAGCCCCCCCCCAAAAAAACACATTTTAAAAGGGGATAAGATGTAAATCGGAACAACCAAAGGAACGTTTTTGCTTGGCGCCTAAAGATGTGTAATGAAGGCACCAGGCAAACTTCCCTGGGGAGAGCATTCCACAGAGGGGGAGCCACCACAGAAAAGGCCCCGTTCTCGTGTTGCCACCCTCTGGACCTCTCGAGGAGGGGACACACGAAGAAGGGCCTCAGAAGATGATCTCAGGGTCCGGGTAGGTCCATATGGAAAGAGACAGTGCTTGAGGTATTGCAGTCCTGAGCCATTTATAGGTCAAAACCAGCACTTCAAACTGGGCCCGGAAACTCATTGGTAGCCAGTGCAGTTGGACCAGGATTGGTGTAATGTGCTCAAACAGGGTAAAAGGGAAGGGTAGGGTAAAGAAAGAGAGAGAAATCAGACGGGCAGGAGGGACACTGGTAGAGATGGGAGGGAGGGAAGAGCTGAGCTCAGCGCTCGCCTTAGCAGAGGAGGAGAAAGTGAGAAATAAGGGACAAATAAGGGATAAGCGTTTTCCCTTGAGATAAAGGACAATCCCTTATTATAAAGGACAGGTAAAAAGGAAAAGGTGAAAGGACCCCTGACCATTAGGTCCAGTCATGACCGACACTGGGGTTGCGGCACTCATCTTGCTTTATTGGCTGAGGGAGCCGGCATCCAGCTTCCGGGTCATGTGGCCAGCAGGACTAAGCCGCTTCTGGCGAACCAGAGCAGTGCACGGAAACGCCGTTTACCTTCCCGCCGGAGTGGTACCTAATTATATACTTGCACTTTGAGGTGCTTTCAAACTGCTAGGTTGGCAGGAGCAGGGACTGAGCAATGGGAGCTCACCCTGTTGCGGGGATTTGAACCACCGATCTTCTGATCGGCAAGCCCTAGGCTCTGTGGTTTAACCCACAGCGCCACCCACGTCCCAGGAGGAGGAGGAGAAAGTGAGAAATAAGGGACAAATAAAGGATAAGCGTTTTCCCTTGAGATAAAGGACAATCCCTTATTATAAAGGACAGGTGCAACCATAATTCCAGAGCAGATTGCAAAGGGAGGTTGGATAACCCTCCTGCGTCTCCTGGTTCCTTCCTGCAGCTGGTCCACAAGGCTACTCTGAACAAATACGTCCAGATGATTCCCCTGCCCAAATCTAGCAGCGACCTCCCCGAGGGTACACCCTGCAGCCTGGCAGGTTGGGGCCTGATTGACGACAGCCAGGACACAGAGAGGCTGTTTGAGACCAACGTCACCATCTACAGCCGGAAGAAGTGCATGAAGATCTACCCGCAGCTCAACGATGCGATGATCTGTGCCGGCAGCCACAATGATCTTCGGGATACAAGCCAGGTGAGGGGGAGGTCAGGGATGGAGGAATCTGTGGCCCCCACCCCCCCAGCTGGACTCCAACTCCCATCAGCCAATGCTCAGGAACCATGGGAAAGTTCTGAACCACGCTTGGGAGTCAGACCAGTAACATAATAGTAACAACAACAGCAACAACAACTTACCGTAATATTTATAGTTCAACCATCTGCCTGGGTTTCCCCAGCCGCTGTGGGCGGCTCCCAACAGAATATTAAAAACACGATAAAAGATCACACATCAAAATTTTCCCTAAACGGGGCTGCCTTCAGATGTCTTCTTAAAGTCAGACAGTTGTTTATCTCCTTGACATCTGATGGGAGGGCATTCCACAGGGCGGGTGCCACTACCAAGAAGGCCCTCTGCCTGGTTCCCTGTAACCTCACTTCTTGCAGGGAAGGAACTGCCAGAAGGCCCTTGGAGATGGACCTCCGTGTCCAGGCTGGACGATGGGAGTGGAGACGCTCCTGAAGGTATACTGGGTTTTAAAAAACCCTTCCCTATACAGGATTGCCTTCAGGTGGCTTGGGGATCCAATAACAACTCCATACCCTCCAATATTTTTCCAATGTAAATAATAATAATAATAATAATAATAATAATAATTTATACCCCATCCATCTGGCTGGGTTTCCCCATTCAATCTGAGTGGCTCTCAACAGAATATTAAAACCACAATAAAAGATCACACATCAAAAAAACTTCCCTGAACAGGGCTACCTTCAGATGTCTTCTTAAGTCAGATAGTTGTTTATCTCCTTGACATCTAATGGGAGGGCATTCCACAGGGCGGGCGCCACCACCGAGAAGGCCCTCTGCCTGGTTCCCTGCAACCTCGCTTCTCGCAAGGAGGGAACTGCCAGAAGGCCCTTGGAGCTGGACCTCAGTGTCCGGGATGAGCGATGGGGGTGGAGATGCTCCTTCAGGTACGTCCTAAGGAAAAGTGGGGCATTAAGGGGTCAAATCAGAAACCGGGATGGCATCTCTAAATCAGGGACGTCCCTGGAAAATAGGGACATTTGGAGGGGCCACACTGAGCTGGACTGTAGAACTTCCTTCCAACCCTCAGATGCACTGGTTCTAATTGGAGCCAGAGGCCCAGATCTTTGCAATTGAATGGTGCAGTTTGAGAAGAAGAAGAAGAAGAAGAAGAAGAAGAAGAAGAAGAGGAGGAGGAGGAGGAGGAGGAGGAGGAGGAGGAGGAGGAGGAGGAGTTTGGATTTGATATCCCGCTTTATCACTACTGTCAGGGAACTGACATCGGAGCTAGAGGTGGAGGGAAGGCTCTCCAATGATGCTGGAGAAGGGCCCAGCAGGGAGAGAGGCAGCTCAGCAGATGGGGAAGCAATTCAGTGCAACACCAGGAATAAGGAGGGGCAGATGGGGGAATCGGCGAGAGGGCTCCCAGACTCTTCACCGGACACCAGCGGGGAGAGCACTGGTCCCCCGCTACCCACGCCCTCCCTGCGCAGAAGACTTCCGCGCAGAGAAAGTAGGAGGAGACTGGGTGTCAAACAACTTTTATGTTGGAAAAGGTTTAAGAAACGCCCACTGACGGATTCTGCTAGCGACTGAGGCAGCCACGAATTGAAGGGCTGTCCAGACAGAAAGGTTTAACAAGGCAACATAGCCAGGAGAGGCGGCAACTTACGCACGAGCAACCCCATACCATTATAACTACCTAAAGGAGTCTCAAAGCAGCTAACATTCTCCTCTCCCTTCCTCCCCCACAACAAACACTCTGTGAGGTGAGTGGGGCTGAGAGACTTCAGAGAAGTGTGACTGGCCCAAGGTCACCCAGCAGCTGCATGTGGAGGAGCGGAGATGCGAACCCGGTTCCACAGATTACGTGACTACCGCTCTTAACCACTGCACCACGCTGGCTTGGTTTGAGGAGCTTGTAGCAGTGAGGATGTTTGCTTTTCTCCCCCCCAGGGTGATTCCGGAGGCCCCATGGTGTGCAAAGGCGTGGCACAAGGAATCGTCTCGTTTGGTAACTCATACCCTCCTGGAGTTTACTCTCGCATCGCCCATTTCCTGCCCTGGATCAAGAAAACTATGGAATCCTGAAGAGAAGAAGCAACAGGCAGCAGCACCCTTTGCTCAATATATGTATAAAAAAACCTTCTGCATGCTTAATAACCTGTACGCCTTTCGTTCTGCAATCCCACCCACCCGCAACCTATTGAAGCAAGTGGGTCCATGGGGTCTTCAATTCGCAAGTGCATTTATCTGATTTGCCTCTTCATATAGCGGCGATTCCCAGAGAGGTTGAACAGTCGACCCATCTCTCCAGGAATTCTGGGAAGCGTAGTTCTATGGGGGAGCAAACTACAGTTCCCAAGATTCCTATGGGAGGAAGCCACCATAGCTGTCTAAAGCAGTATAATGCTTGAGATCGCTATGCACAGTATTGTATGATTTCAGTGGATTTGCCCCAAGTCCACTTTGGTTGGTTATATGCCTAAGGGGGCAGGATAGCCAAATGGGGAGAGGAAAAGAAGTTGGGAGGGAGGGTGAAAACTGGAATCAGCCCCTTGCTCTGTTGCACTCTCTCCAACGTATATTATCTAGTAAAGCTAAAAGGCTGAGCATTAATCTTGTACCTTTTTCCTTGGTTCTCCGAAAATGTCGTGAAAACGTCCAGGGGGGGAGGGGTGTCGAATATCACAAGTGTCATTGTTCAGGTGTGTGTGTTGCATTGCAATAATGAAATGAAATGCTGGGACGAATTCATAGAGTTAGAAGGGACCCCAGGGGTCCTCTAGACCAACCCCCGCAATTCAGGAATCTCAAGTAAAGCAACCGCGACAAATCGTCAGCCAACTTCTGTCGTCTTGCTTTGTTCATTTCCCACGAATTGTTGAGCCCATTCCACTTATCGGGTCTTTCCTTTTCGTGACTTTGAGGCTCTTTCCTTCCTGGGTGACAGCAAGAGGCTGGCACAACATTGAGAGACTTCTGGTGAAGCAAAGAATTGGAAGGAGAGTGAAGCTGGTAAAATGTGTGCTGGACGAGGTAACTGTTAGGTGGATTTGTAACTGGTTGATTGACGGAACCCAAACAGAACTCATTAATGGTTGTTAGTATAATTTGTATTATTAATTAAATTTGCATTTCATGAATACCTGTAGGCCTCAGGGGCGGTTGACAACATAAAATTACAATATAAAAAAACACAAAATGCATAATAATAATAGGAACAAAAACAAGCAAGTAATCCTCTCCTTCCACAACACATTTAAAAGGGCACCAGATACCAATCAGCCAAAGAACTTGTTCCTCATAATCCTGGAGGGGGGGGTGACAAGTGGGGTGCCGAAGGGGACTGCATTCCTTCACCCTATTTGCAAACCCCCCACCCCATCTCTTCTTCCTTGTTTTGCAAACTTGCACCAAAAATACCGTATTTTTCGCTCTATAACATGCACCCGACCATAACACGCACATAGTTTTTAGAGGAGGAAAATCTGTAGGCATGCCACCCGTAGGCATTCCCTTCATAACACGCACAGACATTTCCCCTTACTTTCTAGGAGGAAAAAAGTGAGTGTTATGGTGCAAAAAATACAGTATGCCCGGGGCCAATGCCCCAACAGCCCCCCTCACCCTACCCCTGCAACACTCCCCCCCCCAAAAAAAACCACAAACACAATTTATTGACGACACCTGCTACTATTACCAATATAAGCTGCCACCCTGGGTAGCTTAGAGCAAATTATAAAACCACAGTAAAATAGCACGTATTATATGTCTTCTAAAAGTCATGTAGTTGTTTATTTCCTTGACATCTGATGGGACGGCGTTCCACAGGGCGGGCGCCACCACCGAGAAGGCCCTCTGCCTGGTTCCCTGTAACCTCACTTCTTGCAGAGAGGAAACCACTAGAAGGCCCTCAGAGTTGGACCCCAGTATCCGGGTTGAGCAATGCGGGTGGAGATGCTCTTTCAGGTATACAGGGTTGAAGCCATTTAGGGCTTGAAAGTCAGCATCAGCACTTTGAATTGTGCTTGGAAACATACTGGGAGCCAGTGTGGGCCTTTCAGGACCGGTGTTATATGGTCTCAGTGGCCGCTCCCAATCACCAGTCTGGTAGCCGCATTCTGGATCAATTGTAGTTTTCAAGTCACCTTCAAAAGTAGCCCCACGTAGAGCGCATGGCAGGAGTCCAAGCGGGAGATAACCAGAGCATGCACCACTCTGGAAAGACAGTCTGTGGGCAGGGAGGGTCTCAGCCGGCGTACCAGATGGAGCCACCCTGGACATAGAATTAAGCTGCGCTTCCATGGACAGCTGTGAGTCCAAAATGACTCCCAGGCTGCACACCTGGTCCTTCAGGGGCACAGTGACTCCATTCAGGACCAGGGAATCCCCCACATCTACCCTTGTCCCCCAAAACAGTACCTCTGTCTTGTCAGGATTCAACCTCAATTCACCTACCATCTGTATTAATTTAGCCAAGCCTACCTGACAGGACACGGGTGGCGCTGTGGGTTAAACCACAGAGCCTAGGACTTGCCGATCAGAAGGTCGGCGGTTAGAATCCCTGCGACGGGGTGAGCTCCCATTGCTCGGTCCCTGCCCCTGCCAACCTAGCAGTTCAAAAGCACATCAAAGTGCAAGTAGATCAATAGGTACCGCTCCGGCGGGAAGGTAAACGGCGTTTCCGTGCGCTGCTCTGGTTCGCCAGAAGCGGCTTAGTCATGATGGCCACATGACCCGGAAGCTGTACGCCGGCTCCCTTGGCCAATAAAGCGAGATGAGCACCGCAACCCCAGAGTCAGCCATGACTGGACCTAATGGTCAGGGGTCCCTTTACCTTTACCTGACAGGACTATGGCAAATATTCCAGCTTCTGCGTTCTGGAAGAAGGTATAGGGTTATAAAGGCCAGAACTAGCCACCTGAGAAACAGTTTCTATGCAAATGCAATTCTGGTTCTAAACACAGCATAAGGGGTCTCTATAGTATAGTGTATTTTAAAATGGGGTTTCAGAGTTTTTAGGGGGGGTTGAATGTTTTATGTAGTTTTTCAATTTCATTGTTCTGCATGGGTCAATGACAATAAAGATATCGTATATCGTAAAGGGAGGAAAGCGTACACAAAATCGAACTTGCTGGAGAAGCAAGATACAGATATACGTTGCATAGCACATACTATGGAATGAAAGCTCAGAGTGTTTTGGCCCCAGCTGGCACGGGCTCTGTATATTGTGCTCTAATATCAACTGGACAGACTTTTCCTAATCAGATTATCTCTGCTGTTGAGATGGGGCCTCAGGATAATAATGTAACATTTGGGGAGAAAGATGCAGCCGAGGAGACCAGCCCCGGAGGCCAAGATGGAGAAGATCTCCACAGCCACCATGAACTTCCCTTTGGTGCTCAGGTATGTTGGGACAAAGGAGATCCAGACACTGCAAAAGACCAGCATGCTGAAGGTGATAAACTTGGCTTCGTTAAAGCTGTCGGGCAACTTCCTAGCTAGGAAAGCCACCGTGAAGCTGACGAGCGCCAGGAAGGCCATGTAACCTAGGACAGAATAAAACATGGCGACGGAACCTTCATTGCATTCCACTACAATCTCTCCAACCAGGGAATGAAAGTCCAAGTTTGGGAACGGAGGGGAGGTTCCTAGCCACACCGCGCAGATAACAACTTGGATCATGGGGCTGGTTAGGACAATGTAGTTGGTCAGTTGTCTGTCCAGGAGTTTCCTCGCCATGTTTCCTGGCTTGGTGGCCATGAAGGCCAGGACCACGGTGACGGTTTTCCCCAAGATGGAAGAAACGGCAGCAGAGAAGACGATGCCGAAAGCCGTTTGTCGGAGAAGGCAGGTGACCTTCCCGGGTCGGCCGATGAAGAGGAAGGAGCAGACGAAGCAGAGCAGAAGGGAGACGAGAAGGACGTAGGTGAGGTCCCGGTTGTTGGCTCTGACAATGGGTGTGTCTCGGTGTTTAATGAAGGTTGCCAAGACTAAAGAGGTGAGCAGGGAGAAGAAAAAGGCAAGGAAAACCAAAACAAAGCCCAGGATCTCATGATAGGAAAGGAAGTTCATTTTCTTGGAAACGCACTGGTTTCGTTTCTCGTTTGGGTGCTGATCATCTGGGCATTGGATGCACTGAACTGCATCTGGAACAAATAAGCCACCATTTTAAGTACTGTGGTACCTCAGGTTACATACGCTTCAGGTTACAGACTCTGCTAACCCAGAAATAGTACCTCGGGTTAAGAACTTTGCTTCAGGATGAGAACAGAAATCGCGTGGCGGCAGCGGGAGGCCCCATTAGCTAAAGTGGTGCTTCAGGTTAAGAACAGTTTCAGGTTAAGAACAGACCTCCGGAACAAATTAAGTACTTAACCAGAGGTACCACTGTATCTCAGGCATGACAAAATAAATTAGTGTTTTGACTAGTTCAGGTCACAGAGAGATTGAGGGATCCTTCTTCCACCTCGTTATGTGGGGCCAAAAGTACAATTTTCCACTGCATTAAAAAAATTTCAAGTCTTTTCAGACCCTAACCAAATTTCTGGGCTGGTATCAAACATCCTTGTTTCTCATTCAGTGATTTTATGATTTTTATAACTACGGGTTCTTCGTAAAATTGAAAAATGAAATACTAAGCTTTGAAAACTGGAGAAGCAGTTTTGTATTTTATTGTTGGGCATTGTGTTAGTGTTTATTAACATGATGTGTGTGTTTCCCCTATATGGATATTACTGTGACTTTTCGTTACAGTTGTGTTCTGTTTTGTGACGGTGCATAAGCTTGAGATGTTGCTGTGATTTGTTTCCCTGCATATAATCTGTTTCATCGTCGTGAGTTTATTCGTATGGCGCTTTCCCAAGGTCTGCTTTGGATTGGCTGCCGCTTTGTCAATTTGGCTTCTATCGCTTGCGATTGTTAGTGTTTGTCAGCTGGGTGAGTGATTTTTGGTTCGGCAATCCCTCCCCCCCAATTGCTCAACAACCGTGGGCACCCCCCCCAAAAAAGCTTGACAACTCAGTTCCATCTCCCCCCATTTTCTTAAATTTGAGCCCCCCAAAATAGGTGGGCGTCTTACACATGGGGCATTTTATAGACGGAAAAGTACAGTAAATTGTTTCATCACTGTGAGTTTATTTGTATGCAACTTTTCTATGATCGAACCATGTTCATTCATAATTTGCATCTTGTCCATTCCAGCATGTTCTTCAAAACAGCCTGGGTTTGAAAGCCCAAATGTAATCTCATCCCCAGGGGAAACGGTAGACCCTACTCTTTGCCCATGACCTTCCCCTCGTCTTCCCCACCCTCGAAGCCTCCCGCCCTCACTTGCTTCCACCTGTCAAGTCCTGCAAGCAAAACTGGGTTTCCACCCTCAAAATATGAGCTACCTGTCTGGTTAGAGAAGGTACCCTCTGGGCAGCGGACACATCCATAGCAGCAAACAGGCTTCCCCTCTGTCACTTTTACGCTGTGCCCTGGGGGGCACCTCTCCACACATCTGGCAAAACGGTTTGTCTAAAAGGGATAAAAGGGACAGTTGATTGGTTTTCCTGCATTATACGGCATTTGGTCTCTTAACCTTCCACAACAGCATCAATATTTGTCTAATACAAATCAACTTCGTTGGACCGGCCATGTTGTGCAGATGCCTGGTTATCGTCTTCCAAAGCAAACTAGTAAGGTAAAGGTAAAGGGACCCCTGACCATTAGGTCCAGTTGTGGCCGACTCTGGGGTTGCGGC